GGGGGGGGGGGGGGGGGGGGGGGGTTATGATGAAATAAATATTGAGGAGGTAAGGGGGATAAAGGGGATAACTAGGATGAGAGTGGGGTGGGGGAAAACTATAGATGTTCATGCTTTTCTTACTCTTCACAAGAATTTATATTCTTTACTTTTCCTTTTTCAAGGATTAGTATTGGCGATTCGTGATATAACAACAGAAATACATTAATTGTTAGTTTAACTCAAATCCTACATCATTAAACCTCCAATTTTTCTTTTGATGCAAATATATTCTCAATAGTTCTCAAGAAAACATAATGCAAAACAGGCAAAATTTCTATCATAATAAAGTATAATGTGTTACAAGTTAAAAATAAAGTTGTTTTAGTGTTTAGTTATTAATTTTGACCTTTTTTGAGTTTTTAAGGTCAAAACAATTGTTTGCCTACGGCGTACTCCTTCAATAGCTATTTCTTTGATTTATAAGATATGTACCCCTCCCCTTTTTTAGTTCCTAGCCACGGTCCTGCATTTTGATGATTTTATTCTGTTGAAAATAATGGTGCGAAACTTTGATGTCGTCATTCAATGAGAAGCTTAGGTCAAATTACTGTGAATTTCTATATTTAGGAGTTAGATAGTTTAAAGATTGATTTAAATCGATTAACTATTTACAAGCAAGTTGTTTGAAACAGTTGACGAGCTCAATTCATATTTATCACATTTAACAATTCAATATGTTTACCCTGTCAACATTTTCCTACACAATATAAGAGAAAAGTAGCTGTTGAAACTATTTCAGGGGACATTAGTTCCAAAACTAACACTTGGCCCATTTCTATCACTGAGTGTTATAAATGGGAACTAATTGAAAGACTAGGGGTTTTAGGATCCCAGCCTATATTGAGGGAAAAAGTCGATAATAATAACTATTTTATTTAGCGTCAAAAGAACAACAATTCCGAATTTTAAACTTTTTTCTTTAAACCCTTTACTCTTTTCAAGACAATATGTCAGGTTTTCCATTTTCGAACATATCCTGAATTTGAATCATTGTTGCGTTTTCGAGACAAAACTCATTTTCCCGTTTTTAAGTATATCCCACAATTCGAAACAAATCTCATTTTCAAAACTTACAAAATAAATCACTGAAAGTAAAAATTATCTTCTGAAGCCTAAATTAAATGCTGAATTATATTTAGAATCTAAGTTTTCACATTTATATTTGTTAAATAAAAGAATAAAGTTGATTTAGTTTCCTGCATTTAAAAAAATCAATTTCCCGCATTTCTAATTAAATCTACATTACAAAAGAACAATATCTTTTCTTTTTATTTTCTATTTGTTTCAAAATAGAGATATTTTCGTAAATTAAAAAAAGAATCATCAAAATTTACACCTTATTATAAGTTTAAAATTGACAATTCTTGTTTCAATAAATAGCTGTAGCCATTTTTTATAAATGTATTGTGTAGTTTGTTTAACTCGGCTTGGATTTAAAGATATATACGCTTGAAATAGCTAACTTTGCAGATTTGGCCCATTTCTAACATTCAATGTTAGAAATGGGCCAAGTGTTAGTTTTGAAACTACTTTTTTAGCTTTTGACACTTTTTCTACCCCTATACTCCTCTTACCCTGTATCTTTCATTTATAGTAAATACGTAAATACTAGGGTTTCCAAGCGCAATAACGTTTTTTTTATTTAAGGAAATTTTGTGAAAAATTGTCCCAACGGCCACCCCCCCACCCCGCTATTTATTCCTATAAAATTAATAATCTTTTTGCAAATGATATTAATTTAAAAGTTTAGTTTTGCGTAGATCTTGAATCCTTTTGATTTTAACTATACAACTATATATTGAGTGTTGATAAGTTGCCAATAGGTACTGATTTTACATATATAAGTGTATAGGCTGACCCTAACTTGCAGTCGGTCTAAATCGGTCAGGTAGGACGGAATAAAATATTTAAACTATTATATTTTAGGTAAATCCGAAAGGTTTAGTTGTTAAATTTTCGATCTAAGAGAAATTAGTAAACTGCAATTAAACCGCAACCTGCGGTTTAATCCAATCTACTTAGAATTGGGCTTTAAATTTTAGGGAAAGGTTTTTGCGCAATTTTTATGTGTTGGGGAGGGTACAGGACTATCAAAAGGCTGGTCCATGTTAAAAAAGATCTAAAATAGCCATCATTATTTTTGTTATTAAATCTATAGTTCTAATGTTCCCATGTTAAATGGACGTTTGAACATGCATGTTGTAGCTAAATAATTCTCAAAAACATACAAAATAAATTTTCACATTTTCTTGGCCTATTTTAAACTTTTTTTTCAAACCTCCCCTTGCACCCAAACTATAAAAGTTAACGTTTTGATTTTATCAATGAGTCGGCGAGCTGGCCTCGAAAATTTGGGCTATGAACATGCATAGCAGCCCTGTACCATTACTCTAAGGCCTTTTTATTGGGAAAACAGGGAATACATAACTAGGGCTGGGCAAAGTTCCTCTAATGAAAATAGAGGTTTTTGAAAATAAAAGGTCGAGTCCGTTAAACACAGCAACAACCATTAGTTTTTAAATCGTTAATAAAACGGATTAGCTGGCTTTGAAAAAAAATGGTTGAAAAAGAAAATGTAACGGAATTATTTTTTAAACAATGTGAATTAGTTTTTTTTTGCTTAAAGTTGCATTTTCTTGTAAAAAACTATATTTTTTACATGTTTTGATGTTTTTATTTTTTGTTGAGCTTCTTGCCATTAACGCCGCTAATACATCCTTGGATCTTTAATAATAGTAATGGTTGTTGACAATTTTCTGTTAACGCCATTTATAAAATTGATATCGTTAACTAACGGTAACTTTTAAAAAAACGGTAAATGCCGTTAACGAAACAAAGTTTGTTACCTGAGATCTTATTTTAAAAACAGTTGGAACTAAACGTTGATAAAACATTTAAATCTTAACATTTTTCAAAAATGGTATTGTTTAAATCAAAGATTACAACAAAACAAACCAAGTTTACTCCAGAAATATTTCTCCAAATATCTTCCTTTTTGCGTAAGAAATGTTTAAAGTTTTAATATAAATCTTATAAACCACTTTATGAGTCCATATATGTTTCTAATCATGACAATCAAAGAACAACTCTAATCTTTAGTAAAATTCTTATGCCACTTCGTCAAAATAAATTGTTAAAATTTTTCATCACTCATAAAAACCAAGTTTAAAAAAAAAGCTGTGCTGTATGGTGGAGGCCCATTAACTGCATAGCGGAGGCACGGTCTGCATAGCGTAGGCTTTGTCTGCATACTGGAGGCTCGGTCTGCCTAGCGAATCTGGGAGGCTCGGTGTCTGAATAGCAGAGGCTCATGGCGTGCGGGGGTTCCCTCCCTATTCCATGTCAGGCTGTGACATCCGTCTTATGTTTACTTTACAGCCCAGAGACAGTGCACTGCAAAAAATGCGTACACCTTTGAAATAACTATCTTTACAGAAAAATTCTTTGTGTACAATATAAAGCACAACTGCACTGTATTGTCTATTTTTATCACAAGAAATCAGAATTAAGCACTACAATTACTTTTTCAGAAAATTTCCAAGAATTCTCAGGAAATTCCCAAGACTATCTCTGAATTTGGTTTATTTTAGAAAACTTTTTCTTGGAGAGGTTCTGATAAATTCCTTGAATATGTAATGAAAATTTGTTAGAATTGGTTACAAAAAAATTCCTCTCAATTGGATATAAGAAATTCTCTGGAATTGGTTCTGATAAATTTCCCGGAATAATCACTAGAAAATACGGTGTTCATCCCAACACATTCTTAATGGAGAATCTTTACACGGAAATTCTGTTGACATATTCACGTGATTTCCCCTGGAAAGATTCCTGGGAATTTACGCATATCCATGGAAAAAAATTCTGCGAATTTCCGCGGATTTTCCGCAAAATTCTTTTCCTGTGTATAGGGCTAGTATATACATTTTACTGCGCCGCATTGAAAGCTAAAACTTCCAGGAGATATTTTTAAATGTGATGCATGAAACAATTAGAAGCTAAAAATAAACACGTTAAACAGGGTAAGAAAGATTACAAAAAGCTTTAATTTTTGACAACCTAGCTTATAACCTTTTAATAAAACAATCCGTAGAATATCAGAACAAACACTGTCTGTGGATATATATAAATAAATAATCTATTGCAGAAACTCTCAAATATGTATTTTCTTAAAAAGACAATAATTTTATTCCGATTTGAAATTTTCATAAATATTTTGAAATTCAATAACGTGAAAATCGCTGTTGACATCGAAAGTAAATAGAATTTTAATTATGGTAATATTTAAGTTTTAAGTACAGAAAGTTTATATGTTCACTACAACGTAAACATGATAAGAAAATAAAACAAATTCATATTTTGAAGCATGTGTCAAATTAGTAAATTTTTTCTTCTGTTTTTATTGATTTAAACATGTGTTTAGCACAATCAGATGAATTATGAAGTTTTCAAATGATCAATTTAAAGTGGAAAAAATCAAGAAAAGAAAAATTAAGTAAAGCAAAAAAAATTCTTTGTTAAAAAAATAAAATGTTCTTGTCCATTGAATTCACATGCTTATTTTTTGTAATAATAATATAATCTTTTATAATATTGGCCGCTCTAGGATAGGATAAATAAAGCTTGAAATTGTATCTTTATTCAACCCTCTCTAAATGGAGGGTGACTTAAATTAAATCTAAGGTCTCTTCATGAATGTGCATATTGTGTCTAATTTGGTTGTGTTTGCAGCAGTGCCAGGTTTAGAAAAGGGCACTTTCGTTTTTTTCATTTCGCTCGTTCATCATTCGATAATAACTCGTTTAGCGACTTTTTCAAAATGTCGTTAAAAAAACGTTATTCCAGTTAAAAATAAAAGTTTTTTCAAGTTTGTTCGAAAAAAATGGTAACGATATTTAATTGTTCGTTTTTAAAAACGGATCGGTTATATTATCTCTGCAACGATCTAATCATTCATTCATAAGTCGTTTATTTTTGATAACGACACTATCGTTCACAAATAATTGTGTTTGTTCTGGAAAAGGATTCCCATCTCTTGTCTGGTCTATTTTAATAATGGTATTATTTTAACGTGTCACAAAGAAACACTTCAGTTGATTAAACTCCATAAACTGAGAATACAAATTATTTATTTTTTTAGATATGATCCTAAATTGGCGATGCGAAATAATCATGGGGGGCATGATAATATCAAGGAGTCTAGTGAGCACATGAAAAGAACATATGCAAGTAAGTTTTTATTGTCAATGATCCCAAAATAGGAATTTGACACAACGTTTATTTTTTTCAGTTTTTTATTCAAGTGATTTTTAAGATCGCAAAATTCTGACAACTTATATGTAAAAAAGTATAAATGAAGGCTGTCTATTTCTTTGCAGTTCTGGAAACCAAAACCTCAGAGACTTTAGCGTAATAAGAGAAAACATCGTAAAATTAGATATTAGGATGATAAATTTCACTTTCATAATTCCACTTTTAACTTTTCACACCAGGACCTTTTTACTCGTAAAAGGTCCTCCAATTTCTGGTTGAAATGTGAACAAACTCAGAGCTTCTCAGGGTGAACTGGGTTAATATTTCACTCAGAAATTGCGGTACACTGAAGTCTTAAAATGCCATTAAATAACAATATATTGGGTACCTTGTGGTCCTTACTTGGGTAAAATTATCTGTCAGAGTTGGTCAAAACTAAAAGGCGGGGGAGGGGGGTATGTGCCCCCCCCTCCCCGGCCTCCCCTATTTTTTTGCTAAAACCCTGGGCATTGGGCGCCCCCCCCCCCACGTCCCAAACCCAGTCTTCATAAAGGGTTGAAGAAGCAACCATAAAGGCATTTTGAACCAAGTCTTAAAAATAAGGATTTTTATTATTAGAGAGTGGAAATAAACAAAAAAAGCGTCAATTTCTTTTAAAGATATCTTTTCATGCTTTATTAACAACACGTTTAACTGTAATCTAGTTGTTATAACGACACGTTTAACTATAATCTAGTTGTTATAAGAACACGTTTAACTATAATCTAGTTGTTATAACAACACGTTTAACTATAATCTAGTTGTTATAACAACAACGGTTTTTTCGTCGTTCTTCGCTTGTTGAACAATTTGCAAATATTTTCATATATATTCTAGTTTTAAAAAATCATAATCCCCTTGTATCCACCCCCCCCCCCTCCTCTTTCGACAACGACAGTGACACTTTTACAGTTGATACTTGTTTTATAATGTAATATACCTGTTTTTCTACAGTGCTTGTGCAACTCACTTGTTTACTTGTACTTTAAATGCATGTTAAAGGTTGAGACCAAAACTTTAAACCAGGAATGAAGTTTGATGTGTCCAACGTTACACTGAATTAAGTTCAGTTATAAAAAAACTATGACTTGAATTTAAGTCTAGTTTTTAATCTTTATAAAATTTAAATTAGAGTTTTTAAATACTTGCTCAGACTTTCAGAAATCTAAAACGATTTTAGTTTTAAAAGCAGAAAAGTTCTAGCCTCCTTGCCTGCTCCTTATAAAAGAATAGAACTTGTACTCATCTTTTCTTAGATCTTTTCCTTAAACTTTATTCTTCGAACTTGATATCACTTTAAGTGCATTTTGTCAGTATTGGTATATTTTAAGTCATATTATGATCTTTACTCAACATCAATATTTAAAATGCAAAGTCCAAAAAATGAAATTATGAATTATAGAATACGATTAATCTAAATCTAATTAATGAAAATGGGTTCGAAAGTTTATTCTCACTACTAGTTTCTCCAGTTTACCGAGAAAAGTCTTTCAAAAAACTCTTTCAAACTGTCATTAATAAAATTAATGAGTATAGTTTAAAAACCCCGTCTTGTCTGTATTGTAATTTAAAACCGGTCCTGCTTGACTCTTAAAAGAGTACGATTCACAACAGTACCTTTAAACCCTTTCTCTTATCAATAATTTGAAAGATTAAATATGTATTAAACCAAAATAAAATCTATTTAAATATCCCATAAGGCGCAGTAACAAAAGTCATAATACTTTTGTCATAAATATGTTTTTCTTAATACGTTTGTCATAGTTATAACAAAAGTCATAAATTACATTTTTCATAAAGTTCGCAAGTCATAAATTACAAAAGTCATAACTTTCATTTGTCATAAATACGATTTTCATACTAAACTAATCATACATAATCATATTTTCATATTATTTTTGTATTTTTAAATATGTTAACATATTTGTAATACAAGTTTGGCTATTTGTCCGACTTAGGAAGTTCACTGGCTAGAGACTTTAGGATAATCATCCTGGGGTACAAGATGATAGAGTCACCCTAGATTTTCAGTCGATTTTCGGTAACAATCCTTTTGTTGCAGCTTTTACTCAAATCTCACGAGACGATCCATGTTCCATGCAATTTCCGAGAAAAGCTAGTTTAGCAGATTTGATTAAAAAAATTGCTGATTTTCTACTCTCTTAAACATTTAAAAATGGGATAAACTATAAGAAATGAATGATTTGTATACAAAAATGGGATAAACTATAAGAAACTAGCCTTAGAGGGCGCTTCGCGCCCATCTTCTAAATTAATTGTGAACATGTTCTCTTTGTGTATATCGTAAAACAAAACAAAAATAATTCGCGGATTTTCACAAAAATTTCGTGGATTTTCAAAATTTTCAAAAATTTAATGAAGATCAAATTTTGATGGAGACAAATATTTGAAATTTTGATCATTCATAAACCTCCCCTGTGGGCACGTGATGTCTCACAAAAAATTTGGGCCCGATCGGTTCAGCCGTTTTGACGTTTATTGGATACAAACAAACAAACAGACAAACACCAACTCAGACAAGCCAAATTTATATATAGATATATATATATATATACATATATAAAAGCATGTACCAATTTAGAGCGCTTCACACCGCTTTACCTTCTGTTGTAGTCATCGAACACGATGCAGCAGTTTTCTATGAGAAATAGATAAACCCCTGTACCCCTGTACCCTTGTCTCTTAAGGGTTCTGAAAGTTCCAAAAAATTTGAGAATTTTTCTAAATTTCAAAATTGTTTACTATCAACATTTTTGTTTCCTACACAATTCAAAATATAGGCCCTTAAGAAGATTAGGAGGTTAAAAATTAATGAAAACGTTCTAGAAAATCAAATCTAATTATTGCTACCCTTGCTATACCTATACATCAGTGTAGAAGATATTATATATAAGCAACAATCTTTTTACACAAATTCAAAGCATCGTTGTACTTTTCTTGCGCTCGGTATCTTCAGAATTCATAAAGTACATCGATGCATGGTGTCCTGAACTATAAATATTTTTTTCAAGTTTATTACACGCCACCCCCNAGTATCTATGGGGGCTTGGCCATGAGTAGCCAGTATATATCTTGTTTGATAGCGTGTGCAAAAATTAAAAAGAAAGGAGTAGAAAAGAGAGGCAAAGTACATTTGCTACTGTTAAGAATTTGCGATTCTGTTTGAAGCAATTCCGGAACTCAGATTATAGATACTAAGCTGAACTAATTATATTTTCCCTGAGTTTTATGCCACTGAATTTGTATTCTTAATTAGGGGTTAGAAAATATAAACTAGTTGTTTTTGGAGTTTAAAAATATTGAAAGCAACACTCCGAGAATTAAAAACTATTTTAAAAGATAAATAAATTTGCTGGACAAAATATTTTTGGGACACAGCTAACAATCAGTTAAATAGATTCATGGTCTACAGGGGATAATATTAACTTAATCAACAAAAAAGTCAAATGTTTTCGTAAATCTTAAATAAAAGTTGTGACATTTCTGGTAAAATGCTGGAATAAACGCCCCAGGGGGTGGGGCACAGACTAGTTTGTTATTGATGGTGTAGATAAAAAATGAAGTGCGTAGAACACCTCCCCCCCCTTTTTCCTCTCCCAACTTCTCATAGAATCATTAATATATTCCTAATGAATGCGAAAAATGTTACTGTTTTGACATGCAACCTGTATACACCAACCCTCAGTCCACTTGTTGTTGTTTTCAATGAAAGAAACTAGAAAAACTAGTTTTTCTAGAACGCCTTTTTATCCCTATACATCTACCTATTAAATAGATATAGCTAACCTCTACCTATCTATACACATATCTATCTATCCATCTACCTACCTACCTACCTACCTACCTAGTGTACAATTCTTCTAAATCTAACACTCTCAGATCCGTGAAACAAAAACTCTTTTTGCCAAATTTTCGGTTTGTTTAACCATCTTCAATATTCTTGCTTTAACTCGACCAAAGATTTACTCTACCTAGTATAGCTAACTATCTATCCATCATTGCATGCTTACCTACCTATGTATGGTTTAACCAAAAGCGGCTCACAGTGAGGGGAAGGGGTGGGGGGTAAGGGCCCGTGTCTATGTTTGAAACTTTAGGGACGTTCCCTAGAAATTTCAGGGAACAACTAGAAAAAAGCAGGATTTTTAAGTGAAGTTTTCTGAAGGTATTAATAAAAAGGTTGAAATTAGTTAATAATTTCTTTCAGGGATCCTAATGGACAGGGGACACCCCTCCCGCTTGAGAGAGTTATGAATATTATTTATAAAAATGACAAAAATACTTTTATTTTTATTATTTTTGTTTAAAATTTCCTAAAATGTAAAAGTTAAACTAGTAAATCAACCTTATCTATCTGTCACAAGATTAAATTATTTTCTAATCCTTAAATTCATAAAGTATGTTGAAACCTCTGATATTTCAGATTTCAGACTTCCCCTACAGTGGTAGGCGAATATATCAATACATTGAAGACTCCACTTTTATTTAAGTTTTAACAGTTTCCAAACTTTTTTTCGACTCACTAGTTTATACAAGTATTATATATATTTCTTATAACTTATTACTAGAGGGTTCAGAACTAGAGGCAATATCGATATCGCACGTGTAGACTGTAGAGATGATATCAGTACTAATGCCCCGTATCTGTTCTATCTCATTCTGTTGAATCTTGTGGAACTAGTTTAACGCGGCCAGGCATCGTCTTCCACAAACGTTTCATTTTTTGGACAATTTTTTTTTTGCAAAAATTTTTCCTACATAACTGGATTTTGCGATAAAAAATTTTATTTTTGCAAATTTGCAATTTTTTTCAGATTCTAAAAGTAGAGCAAAAGAGCTTTCTAATGATGTATCATTTGTCATATTTGGACATAAAACATGGGATCAAATTCCCCCCCCACCCAGCATATCCTGGTTTTCAAGTACCCCAGCAGAGATAGGGTTAAAGGTGTCTGCTTTATATTTGGAAAGTTTTAGGCACGATTTTTTTGTGTATCAGGCATCCCAAGTGCTCTTTCCTTTGTTGGTATTAAAAACAACCTCTCAGAAAGGCGGCTTAAATTTTTAAAAAGTTAGAATAATAAAGTCCGTTGGAAGAAGACAAAAGGGATGGATAGAGTGAGCTCTGTAAAAAAAATTACAGGCCTGAGACGTCTAGAGCTTGATGATGTAGAGCTTGATGATGTAGAGCTTGATGATGTAGAGCTTGATGAAAGTAAACATTTTTACGGTGTTTATTCATAATCAAAAAGAAAAGGTGTTTAGCTTTCAATTTTATCTGGTTTTATTTTTAGAAATATTTTTTAGCCGTAAAGTAATATTATTCAGGTTTAGATATCATCAGTAGTGATCAATTTTATTTGGACAAGCGGGGTGGATGAACAACTTATTCCTATCAGTTTAAAAGAAGCTTCAGAATATAGAAATTGGAAAAGAGTGGACCTGAAACATTTTGTAATAATTCCCTGTGTTAAATAGGGGTGTTCAAAAAGAATTAGACTTTGAATATACCTTAAAAAAGATAAAAAAAAAGAAACTTTAAAATGATCTTTAAAAAATTCACATTTAAAATAAATAGAATAATTAAAGAACTCCGACTAGCATGAAATGTATATAATAAAAGTGTGCAGTCATCTGTAAAGGCTTATCATTTCTGGTTAAATCTGTACTGTTACCAAGTTAATAAAGAAAATCAAAGATTAAAAGCAATACAGACAGATTACTAGATGTCGTCTTTTTAAGATTTAAGGGGTTTTCGTTCACAATAACCCTGAGACAGAATCCAAAAGGAGTTATACACATGCTGCGTTAAATTACAAGACAGAGAAAAAGCCTGTTCTACGCTGCATGCACGTAACTCCTTTGGGCCTCTGCCTCAGGGTTATTGTGAATGAAAAACCCTAAATCTTAAAAAGAGGACATATAGTGTTCTATCTGTGCTGTTATTAATCTATGAATAAAATACTAATTTATTCTAAGTTGATGGATATAAACTGGTAGAAACTTGTATTGCAGTTTGTATTGTTGCTTCCAATTTTTATTGTGTGTATGTTACAGGACAAATCATATATATTCCAGCTTGCGTGTTATATTGCGGAATTAAAGTTAAATAACTTTTTATGTATACTTTCTCACATAGATCTTACCACTTACGAGCCTTCGTTTGTGGCATAAAACGTGTAGGGTCGACTTTAATGCACTGTTTAGTTTAGACTGGTGTGCGAGTATTTACAGTACATAATACATATAGTACCAGCACGGATCGTGCAAAGATATTGTGTATTGCATAAGGTTTAAACTATTTTAATAAAAAGATACTTTTTTCTGTTTTAAAACAATTTTACCCCTAGTATGTATAGATAAAAAATTGTATCACAGAGTAGAGAATATACACTTATTGGAGTCAATTCCGCTCTACGTAAATTTAGTGGATTTCGTTTTTAATTTACATTAACTTTTCTTATTTATTTTTGCTTTGTTCAGTGTTCCAAGATGTCCATGTTATGATCTTTATTGGGTTTGGATTTCTCATGACGTTCCTGAAAAAGTAAGTATTTTCTAAACTTCACATAGCACAAACAGATTTGTGACCTAATTCCCTAAACTCAATTGTAAATGACCAATTTTCATCAGTTTACTTCTTCACTAATAATCAGCACTATTATTAACATACCAATGGTCAGCAATCAGCATATATATCATGGATAATTAACTAGTCTTTTTAAAACTTTTATTCTCCTCACATAGAACTCTAAGGGGGGGGGACGCAAAAAAGTAATGTTTTACTCAGTGAACATTGCCCCCCCCCCCCCTCCTCATCCTCAGTAGAACCTGTGTACAAAAGCAGTGACCTCCCATGTGTAATCTATAGGAGAAAACCTGTCTTCTAAAGACAATAAAATAAAGTAGTTTTCTGATTAAACTTGTCTTGTTTCTCTGGAATCTGTCCTGTAGCCTCCGTTTTATTTACATTCCAAATAAATTATGCGCAAAATTAAGGTTTTTTATGACCGCTCTGGTTGTTTTGGTTTACATTTAAACAATATAATTTGTTTCTAGTAACGTTTAATGTAATCAAGATTTGAATAAAAAGTTAAAATACTTTTTATAATTACAAAAAAATAGAATATATTCATCCCGGATTGTTATTTTCTATTTTCTATTTTCTATTTTCTATTTTTCTATTTTCTATTTTCTATTTTCTATTTTTGAATATTCGCCTATTATTTATTCGATTAAAATGAATATTTAAAAAAAATAACAGAAGAAATTGCATTTAAAACAAGGTTCCATCTCTCCATCTGATCCCTCCTGATTATCAAACATGATGTTATTTATCAATTGGTATTCGTGAACTCCTAAACCTATTAGTCAATGTCATTAACAACTAAAACAGGTTTTTATTTTTCATCTGTTCCGAATTTGCATAGTTTGCCAAGATGCAGGCATCTAATGCAAATTTACTTTACCTGCAGAAGAACCCCAGAAATGAACGAAATCGATGAATTTAAAGAAAAAGTTCTAAAAAAAAAAAATAACTGTTTTGCGAAGAAAGATACCTTATCCTTGATCATATTCCGGCAACAAATACCAAATACTCAAAAAGCATCATATTCAATTAGATATTAGTACATATTTACTACATAACTCAATCGAAGCAAAATATAAATATTGATACATTTAAGTTTATTTGCATGATAAATCATCATTTGCTGTTTAAATTTTGGAAATCAAATAATTGATGGTATGTAACAATAACAGGTTTTAATCTTGTAGGGATCAAAACAATAATATAAAAAATACGATTTTTATTTCGATATAAAATTACCTGTACACAGAAAGAATAAAGCATTTTCAAGATTTTGTACACGTAAAGATGTACTTTGGACACACCTATTAACGAATATGCAAAAACATATTTTAAACACTAATAATAATTCTATGGTTTAGTAAGTTTTGCAAATGTTTCAATTCAAATATAACTGGTTTCCATATAATCCATATTATTAAATTGTTCTAACTGGAAATACTTTTTTCATCTGAAAAATTGGTTTAAGAATTCAACCCTCCTCATCTAGTAAACTTGCGGCTTACTGGGTTTACTTAAATATGCTTTTGAAGCCGATTTACTTGATTTTGTTATACAAACATCCTATAACAAGGGTTTTTTATTAATTTATATAGAGAGCTTTTTCTTGAATTAATAAAGAGCAAAGTCATTATTTTTGAAAGTTTTTTTATTTCTTTAAAGAGACTGTTTAAAACTTAAAATCTTATACCAAACCTTATATACAAAAGTTTTGGTATTATTTTGACACAGTTTTATATCAATTTCTCGAGACAGAAACATCAGATAGAACTCTTTTATATCTCGATCCACTCCTGAAGTTCTTAGGCTTCAACCTATACCCCCTTTCATTTTTCCTTTACAGTCAATTTGAGTTAAACCTTTGCTGTGAAAGTATTTGTTGCGTGTCAATAATTGGTGTCCTTTCATTCAAAAAATAGTATTAAAGTTTCTCCCACCATATTGCTCACTATAGTTTCAGTAGAAGTAAATATTTCCATTTACTGATAGCGCCAATTGAAGGATTCATATCCCTAATTGGATAATGAGAATGATAGAAAGATAGATGTTACGGCTATACCATTTCAATTGGTTCAGAATAGACAACAAACACATGACTGAACCCTGATTGGATCAGGCGCTAATAATGGACTCGGCATACAGGAGTGCGCTGGTTAATTTCAATGAGGAACCCTTTTGTAAACATATATGATACATAATTGATAAACAATTCACAAAAAGTAAATCTAAGGAAAGAGGGTAGTAAAGAAAAATGGAGTAATTAAGATTGCTGCAATTATTATCAATTTTAAAACCGTCTCATCAATTTTTATGCTGTTAAAATTCTAATTTAAAATGTTTTGTTTGTTACCCTGCACATATTTCCTTTAACCCTATAAATAAACCCTCTGAATATATATATGTATAGCTTTAGGGTAAGGGTTGAAATGCATGTTCATAGTCCAATTTTTTAGAAATAGACCACAAGTTTAAATTTACAACCACTTTTCAAGGGCTTTAGCGTTAGTCACAAAAAAAAGTCATGGGCTATTTTAGATTTTTTTAACATGGGTTGGACTCTTTTTCTCCCTGTGTACCATATCCTTCAAAAAACTAGAGTTTTGGGGCGTCAAACGCTCCCCACCCTCCCCCCCTCACCGGCACCGCCCCAGCCTGTTCAGGATTAATGAAAAAATTTAAAAGATTTTAAAGATCCAGGCATTTTAATGACTTTGAATAGTGAAGTCTGCATATATTCAAATGTAAAAGCAACAGTGTTTGTTGTTTAAGTATGTTAGGATTGAAAGATATGCACTAGTCCTCTAAGCCTGTCTCTAAGCCTCTTCAAAATGACGCATTAAAGGTTTTATTTTAGATTCAGGGATTGGCAAGTAATTATTTTTAGAGTTAGGGATGGATAACTTGATATTTTTAGAAAAAAGTTGATATTTTTAAATTTAAGGAAGAAAATATGGAAATTTTTAGAATTAGAGATGGGCATCTTGATATTTATAAAAGTAGGAATGGGAAAGTTGATATTTTTAAAATTAAGGAAAAATAGGTGGATATTTTTAGAATTAGAGATGGGCATCTTGATATTTATTAAAGTAGGAATGGGAAAGTTGATATTTTTAAAATTAGGGAAGAATAGGTGGATATTTTTAGAATTAGAGATGGGCATCTTGATATTTATAAAAGTAGGAATGGGCAAATTGATTAAAATTTGGGATGAAAAGTTGATTTTTATAGAATGAGGGATAAGGATGTTTGTCCTTGGAATAATGGATAGCCAAGTTGATATTTTTAGAATTAGGGATGGGCATGTTGATATTTTTGTAAGCAAGGATGTTGATATATTTAGAGTTAGGAATAAGTAAGTTTATCCTTGGAAAAATAGATAGCCAAGTTGATATTTTTAGAATTAGGGATGGGCAGGTTGATATTTTTAGGAAAAAAGGTGGGCAAGTTTAACCCTAGGAATGTTTAAAGATAGTTTTTATAGAATCAGGAATGCTTTAAATGTGTTTGTTTATCATATTTGTTGCATTTGTTGTCTAATTAACACAAACTTAATAAAGATTGGAATGTAACAAGACGTCAGTACAAGATTTATAATGTAAATTTCTTTTGTATAAACGATTCCCTGAAACTTTAAACTTGTTTATTTCTTTGCCAAATTATTTATTAATCAGATAAAAGACTATATTTAAGACAGAGGACCTTATTAAACCTTGAGATCGGTTCCTATCGTTTATACAGACTCATCCTTTGTGAGTAACCCTGTATCTCCGTCATCCTTGATAATAAAGGTGCTGATCGGACAAACAAAAAAAAGGTCCCTTAAGATTACTCCTTATCTATTAAAATTACTCCGTATCTATTAAACCTTAACAATTTTTTTATTTAAATTTTACAATATTCTAAATTTGAATATGATATCAGATGGAAACATTTTGAGACTTCTATATTTCTTGTTTTTCATTCTTTCTTCTTGATCTTCCATACTTCATACTCATACTTCGGCTAGTTTTGAAAATAAAAATAAATGAATTTTTTGGATGTATCTGCAGCTAGCCAAATTGCAAGAGAAAGAATTATTTTTCCGAGCCCTGCATCTCAGAACTATTCTGAGGCGAGCAGTATCTTAAAGTGTTTTTGTCCCACTTTGTTTTCAAGCTTATCGCACAGAATAATATTTTTTTAACGGGGATCATAACTTTTTCCTTTTTGCAGGTATGGTCTGTCAGCTGTTTCCTTGAATATGTTATGTTCAGTTCTCTCTATACAGTGGTCAATCCTCGTTCAAGGGTTCTTCCATCCTCACTGCGAGGATCCTCATGTAGGTGTATAGAGATGGGCATTGTTTTTTGAACGAACGAAATGTTTTGTTCAGAAAAAAAACGAACTATGGACAAACGAAATGAATCGTTCAGAGAAATAAAAAAATTATCAATTTTTTTAAAAACGAACTAAAAAACCCAAGATTTAAAACTTTTTTACTGAACAAACGATTCTACTGAACGAATGATTTTACTGAACGATCGTTCAGTGAGAAATGAACGGATGGAAAATGAACGATAATTTTGAAAACGAACAAAATCATTTTTTTTAACGATTGAAAAAATGATCGAATTGGGTCGTTCACGAACGATGAACGAACGAAATAAAAAAATCGAATGTGCCCATATTTAGCTTAATTTAAAACAGACAAATTTCGGTTTATGAATTTCAAAAAACTTATTTTGTCATCTAAATGTGTTGTCTGAACACTTTTTTCGAACGGGTTTAGTCATGTACTGAGTAATTTTTGTGGCTTGAATAGGCTTGGGGGGGGGGGGGTCCTAGTGCATGCTACGGCTAAAAAATCTGGAAAATTGTAAACTTTGCATGTCGCAACTTTCAACTTAGTAGGGAAATTTATTTTGGAAAAGTAGTGAACATTTCTGTAAAGAAAGCGTTCGTTCTCACAAAAATATCAAATCCAGCCTAATGCTAATCCGTCTTTAAAAGCTAACACAATCAATGTTCTTGATTGAGAACAGTTGTATGTCTAATTATATGATGCATTAAGAGCTGCATAAAAATACGATATTTAAGAGATACATTCAGAAAATTACATTGAAAGCTTCAAAAAGAAGACAAATTTTAATATTCATGAAGAAGAAATCATGTTATCCCTTTATAGTGAAGACGACATTTTAGAGCTAAGCAAAGAAGACGATACTTTATATTTGTTTGTTTAGATTCCATGGGATGATTGTCCTTCCAGCTGGGGCTGGGTAGATATCAACGTAATGACTCTACTCAATGCAGATTTTGCCACAGGAATCAAAATTATTATGGAAAAAAAAATTTTCTTCATTTTAGTACTTTCCACAATATGGTTGAGCTAGATCAAAGTTGTTTTCAGTACTTTTTTCAGCAAATAGTTATAATTGTATTTTGCAATCTTTTAATTTGTTTTACTTCGTATTCATTTTAATTAACGCAAACATTGAGAAAATCATAATTAGGTATTGGCGCAATCTATAAAAATGTATCTCTAAGTCTAATTGTCTATGGTACCCTATATGTAGCAAATTTAATAATTTTTAAATCGTTGATGATAAAATATCCCTCATTAAAATGTAATAATACTTTTATGAAAACGTCTCTCTTGTTTAAAAAGATTTTCATTCAAATACAAATGTAAATGCACTACATTTTTCCATACGTGTCAAAAACTGGTTTGGTATTTAAGGTGGCAACAACAACATTTTTTTTAATCAATTGCAAATCAAGACTTAGCTTTTATATTGTATTTTTAAACCAAACTTTTTTAATTTTCAAGACAAAATCATTTTCCATCATTTTCTACTTCAAATGCAAAGAATTTTTTGTGAAAAAATGTGTGCTCCCCCCCCCCTCGAAAAAACACATTATAAATGAAATTTGAAAACACACATGGTTGAATTTACGAAAGCTTCTTATTTTACTGTATTTGTACTTCATCAAACTTTAAGTTTTGTCAAAAAACGAAAACCATGGTAATTGAAAAAAAGTAATTAAACGTATGCGACAACATATTTGCTTTTCTATTTATAATTTTATTGATTAGCTGCTGTTCTGATTTCCTTTGGAGTTGTGATTGGAACAACAACCCCGCTTCAGCTTCTTATAATGGTCTTTTTAGGAACACATTAGATTAAATTAATACCATTATTTATCATAATTCGATCAAAAATTCTTTTTACGAACCCTTAAAACCTTTTTGAATGAAGATGTTTTTTTCATAAATATCGGAAACCTTGGGCCAATGTTCATGCTTTTCTGTAACATGAATATGAAGAAGTTTATGCCTATCTCTATCATGAATAGGAAGAGGTTTATACCTATATCTATCATGAATAGGAAAAGGTTTATGCTTGTATCACAAATAGGAAGAATTTTATGCCTATCTCTATCATGAATAGGAACAGGTTTATGCTTGTATCACGAATAGGAAGAAGTTTATGCATATCTATCATGAATAGGAAGCGGTTTATACCTATCTCTATCATGAATAGGAACAGGTTTATGCCTATCTGTATCATGAATAGGAAGCGGTGTATACCAATCTGTATCATAAATAGGAAGAGGTTTATGCTTATCTCTATCATGAATAGGAAGAGGTTATACCGCTCTTTATCATGAATAGAAAAAACAATCGCAATCCCCCCCCCCTCACAGGCAGGAGTGGGGTTATGTCTGAAACGTATTACTGTTACTAATGATTGTTCTACAGAGATTGTTGTGTTTAACATAAACGAGTATGTTGGTCGAGGTGAAATTATGACTGTAGATGCTGGAGATACAATCTTCGTTCATATGTTCGGAGCATACTTTGGTCTAGCAGCATCCAGGTAAACTAATCTTATTTTTAAAGGGACTGTCAACATAATTTCAAGTGACTCTCCTTAACTTAACCGTTTTAACTCAGATAAATGTTTACGTGTTACTGTTGTGGAACGTAAATGCGTTTTTACAAATAAAGGGTAACTTGAAATGGTAATAGGTGTTATCCCAAAGGCGAATTCCCAAGTTACAATTTCCCAAGTCGAAACTTCCCGAATGTGCAATTTCCCAAGCGGCAACTTCCCAGGCATGTATATATATGTTCCCAGGGTCAGGTTAGACCTTCCTAGACGCCGAGCCACTGCAGGCTGCAATGGGGGGAGGCCGGATACTGCGGTTATGATGGGCTGGGGGGGACTGATCTCTGCGGCTTTGGGAAATACCCAGTTGAGAGGTTACCACTTAGGAAAATACCCTTGGGAAGCTGTCGCTTGGAGAAAGGACCTAACATTGTTAAAATGACATCTATGTATACGACTACATCTCTTCAGGTGAATTTAGTATAATAAATCTTTTTTTCGTAGAGTACTATACAGTAAAAAGCATGCTGACAGTGAGAATGCTGGCGCTAACAATATATCTGATCTATTCTCTATGATTGGAACTATTTTCCTCTGGATGTTTTGGCCCAGGTATATTTCATAAAACAGGATTGGTTTAAAACTTATCAAATATGATAGTTTATAAAAAAAAGAGTTGCCAGTCTTTCTATAAAACTTCAAAACAGGCGGTTAATAAATAGAAAACATTAACATGCAAACAAAAAGGAATTATGTGATTAAAACAATGAAACAAAATAATTTTCGCTAAAACTGAAAAAATCTATCTGTAAATAGTGTTTTTTGATTCATCCGAAATATCGTTCCGTAATCTATATATATTCTAGTTTCAACGCTGGGGCTGCAGCTGAGGGGGACGCACAAGCAAGATGCGTAATCAACACTTACCTCTCTCTCTGCGCATGCGTGATGTCCGCTTTTGCACTTTCCTCCTTCTTGGCTCCTGACCGGAAGTTTGTTATGGAACACATACAGAATGCTACTTTAGCAGGTTATATAACCGCCATATTGGATTTAAAACACGAACTCAGTGAATAAAAAATCGATTGTCTTATTTTGTAAAAATTTATATTTATTTACTAATCAAAATGTAAAACCCTCTACAAAAAAATATAATGATAAAAAAATGATTAATTCTTTTTACGATTTTCAATGATTTGCTGTGTACTTTGTTTAAAATTAATCTTCTCTCATGCATGCACTGTACAATTTTAAATCACATGGTTAAACTTTATCTTAGAAGACACCGTAATAATTTATGCAATTTCGTCTTGAATTTGCATTTGAAAACTGTTTTGTAAATTATATATTCCCAAGCTGTCAAAGGCCTTAGTTCACAGCTTCTTAGAGATATGTGTAAATTACTAAAGAATATATCATCAAAATTTCTGTGCTGTAAGTCAAAGTTATTTATTTTGTGTAGTACAAAATATCCCCAAAATATGAAGAACGAGTAATCTAACAGCATATTATAGTTGGGCGCTAATTTAAACGTATATATATATATTATATAATTCTCAGCGGCAAACCTAGTAAAAATCTTCAAGACGACATTTTTAAAATTCTTCTGATGTCTTCTTTTATTTGAGTTTAACATGTAATGGTGTAAAATAACACTGAAACTAATTTAGATCTTCTTAAAAAAACTAAAAAAATGATTGAAGACTCCATTTAAAGAATATATGTTGTAGGTGGAGTTGCTGTTGGAGCCACAGCAGATATGGTGATTACACCTCTTGGAGCAATCGTCATTGGATTTGCAGCAGGGCTCATCTCAACCTGGGGATTCCATTATGCAACGGTAGGGTAGGACTGAATGTTTAATGAAGTCCGAATCTTTCCAATTTTCTAAATAATGGAATTTCATGATTACTCAACTAAAACTCTGGTTTTCCAACTACATAGCTTTTTAATATGCATGTATGACTAGGTTACTTTCCCATTAGACATGACTTTGGAAAAAAATCTGGTATGGACAGTATTTCACATACTGGGTGGTTATCTATAATTAAATTTGAATTATATAAAACTATAAATATTTTGTAGCCGTTCCTGTCCTCTAAGTGGAAAATAAACGATACTTGTGGTGTAAACAACCTTCATGGAATGCCTTCTCTTCTAGGTCAGATAAAGGGATTGTTTCCGATTTTTCAAGAAACTCCCTTCATAAATTCATTTTTATTTAATTAATTTATTTAACCCATTGCAAGCCCCGGATACTTTTGTTCGTTGAATTGTTGTTGAAACTTACATATAGGTATTTACTCAGAGTAGGTCCCTTCAGGACGGGTTTACATTTTGTTTTATACCGTATTTTTCAAAAGATGTAAAAAGAAATCAGATTATAATCTAGTTTAAATGCTTATCTTTTCTTAGAACAAAAATTTAAATCTTATTTTATGAAACTATTGTTTACTTTATCATTCTTACTCACTTCATCGTGAATTTCATAATGAACGTACCATAAAGTAATGTTCGCGCTATAAAGTTAAATTAGCTGTACATTATAGTACGTGTGCTATAAAGTTTTCATTGGTTCCCGGATTTTCTCAAAAAGAATTAGGATGTTTCCAAAATATTTTTTTCAGTTGAAATGATAATGAAATTGCAATCAATTTTATATTTTGACTTCTGATTTGTTTCAAAGCATATTTGAATTAAAAGAGCAACTTGGCACGACGTGCTATACAGGTTTTGGACAAAAATGTTTTTTTATATCTCGAAGGTTCTCGCCATTTAAGATTATATTTTGTGCCTCGCTAAAGCTCGGGACAAAATTAAATCTAATAAAAAGGCTTGAACCTTCTCGATAAAGAGAAAATTTCGGGCCAAACACTTTATAACACTGGGAACCAAAATAACCGTGTTATAAGTAATTTTATGTCACATTGCAATCACATACCATCTATTTGGGATGTGTTAAGAATAAATTTTAAATTTCAAATGAAAAAAATATTTTCATGAAATAATTTTTTTTTGATAACGCAAAAATCACAAAATTTGCCAAGAAAATGCGCAATGAAAACAATATTTTCTTAAATACATGGAATTAAGGTGGATCTTATTTTTCTAAATAATCCGTAGGGACTATTTGGATAAAAATGGGAGAAATTTAGAAATTGTACATGAAAATATTAGTGATATTAAATTAGGCAAAGTGACATAAAATTACCAATGTACTGCTGATTTAGAAAGTGCGGGATATTATTTTTTTTTGCGGGACAAGTATCTAATGGTTTATATTCAAGGGATAATTTACAGGGGTGAGACATGTTTTACCTCAAAATTGTCCCGAGTCGTACATTAATAGTTAATTTCTAAATGATTAGGAGGAATGCTGTCCGTATTATTGGCGGGTATAGCAAACAGGGATATGTTAAAATTGATAATACTGATAATAATGATAGTGATGACAATTTTAATAATAAGAATAAAGAAAAAATTAAAAATTATCTAAGACTATAATTTTATATTTTTTAAAATGATAAAAATAATATTTTAGTCTGAATGAGATATTTCCAATGCACCCGGAGAAAGGGTCAGGCTGGCAGGCTGGGGTGCAAATGTCTGGAATTGTCGTTACTTTACTCTTTGCTATCGTTGGTGGAACAATTACAGGTTTGTCCCACAAAACATGACAGTACCAAGACGACTTAAAAGTCGTCTTTTCTTTTTGGTTTCATTTGATGCTTTAATTTTGACAATCTTATTTTAGAAATAAAATTCTAGTGATGTAATCACAAAATACCCCTAGCCCCGACGTTTCTAAAATGTGGTCTGCCTTTTTTGCGCTTTCAATCACAGAAAGACAGACCCCATTTTGGAAATGCCAGGACTAGAATAATTTTGTGGTTATTGTTTCAAAAATAAAGCATGCTAAAGTACGTTTTCGACTGAATGTCACAAATTAGTTCAAAAGATCAAAGAGGACTTTCAAGTATTCTAAGTCAAGCTATACCTATCTTGTCTGTATTAAAATTATGGATTTCATTAAGTGAGATAATTAATTTATTTGTGCCAATCACATTTTCTTACAGAAAAATAATCCTAATCTATATTTTTTGAAATTTTTAAATTATTACAAAATTGAATAAAGAGTTTAAATTTTATTTTATCATCAAAAAGGAAGGTATGATTAAAAAATTGTACACTAGTAGAGTTATATGAACAGGAAAAAGTAATTCAACTAGGAATGGATGATTTTACTAATTTTCTTGTTTGGCCGAAAGTTTAAAAGTATTTAACTTTCCATCCATAAATTATTTTTTCCTGCTGTTCATTAATTCAGATTTCAAACCTCTCACGTGGATCATTTTGGTCATAATTCTAGCTTCGATCACAATTTTACCTCTCAAACATACATCTTTTGCCATTTCTCTTTTGTATTTATATTGTTGGCATAGGCGGTCTAAATGAAAAAGTGTTAAAAAGACAACTTCGTAATTTTAAAGCTTGTTGAATTATAGACCAAAACGAGATTGTATTCAAATAGAAGAAATCTAACGCATCTCGCCCTGGATTGTCCAGGGTGCTCTGGTTAATTCATCATGATTAATTAAAGGGACCTTTATAGTGTAATTTCAAGTGACCGTCCATTTAAAGAGGGGGATTCTCCGCTTTATAAAGCTGTATACTTTAAACTGATCAAGGATTGCAGACTTTTCCTATTAGAAAAAAAAAATTCTCACTCGCGTTTTTAAAAAGGCAATGAGAATATTCTAAATTTACAGGAATAAATGTGACGTCATATTTGTTGAATTTACACAGTGCGCTAACTATAAATTTTCCGGATTTTTACATAACATCAGAGATATAAAAACTGAGATCTCCGTCCTACTCCTCTTGATGATCTGTCAAAGGTTTAAAGAGTACTGTTGTGAATCTGGGATGTCCCTCCTGCAATAAAAGGTTACTTGAAATTACGCTTACAGTCCCTTTAACTTGAATATTCCAGGATTTGTGATGAAGAAGGTTGGCGAGGTTACGAGAAACAATGATACAACTGTTCATCATACTCATAACGGTAGTATGACTACTGCTACTGTAGTCAAGTCTAAGACTGCAATACCCCAAGAACTGCTCTACGATGACAATGCATTCTTCCTAGTTCACCAGTTTGAAGTTTAATTATGTAAATATATACATAGTTGATGATATACAGCTAATATTCTTCCAATCAAATTCAATAAATCTATCTCGTAAATGTAGTTTTTATTGGCAATTTTTTTACCTTTTTTCAAACATTTCATCAAATATAAACAATCCCTTACAAATATCAGGAGTTTAACTCAGGGGGGGGGGGGTCAAACCTCCAACCTAATAATTGTCGGTAGAGATTTCTGGATATTTAGAATGACCCGTCAAATTTGAATATTTTTTTCTATGATTTCTGTTTGGCCTTGCATGTAAAGAAAACTAATAATGCTCAAAACCATCATTTTGGTCAAATTAAAGCAATTACGGTTCACTTAACTATTCTTAATGATCATATTAATCAAAATCAAAATAAATGTGGATAATTATGAAAAACTAATCTAGTTCCAATTACCATATCAATCAAAATATGAGTAAATATGAGTAAACAAAAAAGTAATCAAAATCTAATCAAATTTTGTCTATTTCCTATCATTAAAAAATGCCCACAGGTGTCAAAAAAGGGGTTCAGCCACGATGAAAAGGTACCTCGCAAAAATCACTTGGATATGTGAGGTATGTGTGTCTGTAGATCTCTAAAAGCAAAAAAAAGTAAATCCGACCCTGGGAAGTTTTCTGGTTTTTGGCGGATTTTCACAGATTTTCACACCTTTCAATTTTTTTGAAAAATTCAACTGTTAATAACTTTTTTCTGACTGCCTGCTTCACAGAAAATCCAATATATGATCTAGAATCCAGAAAACATTGAGAATTTGTTATTAATACACTACTAATCATTATATCAATTAATTTCAATAAAAAGGTGAGTTTAGTCAGAAACCCTGTATTAATACATTCCTTTAGTTTTACAAGTTGGTTCGAAAAAAATTCGAATGATATATACTTTGGAGAAAAAAAACTCAGCGGGAGCGGTTGAACGAGCGGTTGAGATCTAGCATAGACTCGACGCAGTTCAGGATAAGAAATCAATAAGAAATTTACAATTTGTTCAACCGCTAAATCGCGTTATTCAGGAAAAATTATATTTCATTTGTTGAAAATGTGAACGAAAGTGCGGTTTAACGGTTGAACAAATTGTAAATTTCTTAGTAATTTCTTATCCTGAACTGCATAGAGTCTATGCTAGATCTCTCCCGCTCGTTCAACCGCTCCCGCTGAGTTTTGTTCGTTCGTTCGTTTGCAGTGAAAAAAATTTTTTTATCAGAATTTTGTTGAAAATGTCTTGAACAATTCATTTTTGAGCAAGGTTGAGGTTCCGCAATGGTGAGTTCATTAAATTCCGGACATGTAAACATGTATTCCTAAGTTGGCTTGCCAGGTCCAGCTCCAGAAATTGTTCCTGAAATAAACTTTATGAAAAAGGAAAAACTGCATAATAATTAGCTAAAAGTTTAATTCAATTGATTTGAAAAACTCAAACAAATCTAATTTTTGATTGATCTTTATCAATTTAGAAATTCAGTCTTGACCCGGCATTTCAGTCTTGACCCGGCATTCAGTCTTGACCCGGCATTCAGTCTTGACCCGGCATTCAGTCTTGACCCGGCATTCAGTCTTGACCCGGCATTCAGTCTTGACCCGGCATTCAGTCTTGACCCGGCATTCAGTCTTGACCCGGCATTCAGTCTTGACCCGGCATTCAGTCTTGACCCGGCATTCAGTCTTGACCCGGCATTCAGTCTTGACCCGGCATTCAGTCTTGACCCGGCATTCAGTCTTGACCCGGCATTCAGTCTTGACCCGGCATTCAGTCTTGACCCGGCATTCAGTCTTGACCCGGCATTCAGTCTTGACCCGGCATTCAGTCTTGACCCGGCATTCAGTCTTGACCCGGCATTCAGTCTTGACCCGGCATTCAGTCTTGACCCGGCATTCAGTCTTGACCCGGCATTCAGTCTTGACCCGGCATTCAGTCTTGACCCGGCATTCAGTCTTGACCCGGCATTCAGTCTTGACCCGGCATTCAGTCTTGACCCGGCATTCAGTCTTGACCCGGCATTCAGTCTTGACCCGGCATTCAGTCTTGACCCGGCATTCAGTCTTGACCCGGCATTCAGTCTTGACCCGGCATTCAGTCTTGACCCGGCATTCAGTCTTGACCCGGNGAATAATCAAAATTTCAAATATTTGTCTCCATCAAAATTCGATCGTCATTAAATTTTTTAAAATTTTGAAAATCCGCGAAATTTTTTGTGAAAATCCGCGAATTATTTTTGTTTTGTTTTACGATGTACACAAAGAGAACATGTTCACCATTAATTTAGGAGATGGGCGCGAAGCGCCCTCTAATGCTAGAAAGAATGGCGCGAAGCGCCTTGAATTTCTAGTGAGCTTATAATTCTTAACATTTAAATGAAGTGACCGGCAATGTATGGTAGTTAAACTGAGAATGTAGTATTGTGGAGAAATATTTTCGATTCATTTGAGACATAAAACGTTTTAATGATGTATAAGTATAATTACTGATTTTGAACGCAAAGTCGACTTTCAAAATCATCCATTTGGGTGGTTTCGTTTTGAGCATCTATTTTTCTTTAATTATGAAATAACGACAACAAAAAATGTAACAATAATTTCTGCAGTAAACTAATTAGTTGTTTAGGAACAGGTTGAGAAAATAAAAATGAACTCTTATCATCGAAGATAAGTAATCTTTGTCAGTTCTGTAACCTCTCATGTTCACAAAAATTTTCTGTAGATTTTCTGGAATTTTTATTCAAAAACGACATTTAAAGAATTTGTAGAAATCTGCGAACAAATTCATGAAGAATAAGCAATTCAATATAATGATAAAAAAGAAATAATTGAATATAACAATGATTTATTGACAAATTGATTTATTTCTTTTGAGAAAAATGTTCCTAAATGTCTAATAAGTTTACTAATAGAATTTTTGATACATTTTTGTCTTCGCTATTTCATGATTTAAAAAAATTGATTCTCAAAAATTAACCACCCAAACTCAGGAGTTAACTTACACATCATTAAATTGTTTTATACATCTCAAATGAATCTTAAAATATTTTTCCACAATACTACATTCTCAGTTCAACTACCTTACATTGCCGGTCACTCCCTAGAAAATGAAACCCTGAAATGGGATCTAGATTAATGAAACCATGGAATGGGATCTAGATTAATGAAACCCTGGAATGGAATCTAGAAAATGAAAACCTGGAACAGAATCTAGGAAAATGAAACCTTGGAATGAGAAAGATATTGCATACGATTATAAATTTTTGAATGCAAAAAAAAACTTAAAAAGGGAGTGTTCGCAAAAAATAAAAAAGGGTGCAATCATTCAAAGCATCGAGAGCAGAGTCACCTGTCGGCCACCTATTTCGGCGTTTTAAGTGCATTTTATACAAAACGAATTAAAAAATGATATGAAAGTCGTTTTTAACAATTTTCTCCTTGTAGACGCAACAGATAGAAGTAAGATTAGTTGCGATCAAAAGGGATTATTTTTCGGTCCTTTCATTTTTCGCGAACACTCCCTTTTTAAAGGGACTTTTTCGAACGAAGTTGTATAACCCATAATATTTTTACCTAAAAAAAATAATTAAAGTCACTATATAATTATAAGAATTAATTGATATTATGATTAGTAGTGTAAGTTATAACAAATTCCCATTGTTTTATGGATTCTAAATCATATTTTTAAACAGTAAAAAAAAAGTTATTAACAGTTGTAACTTCAAAAAATTTAAAAATGTGAAAATCCGTCAAAAATCAAACGAGTTTGACGGGGTACCTTTTCATCATGGCTGAACTCCATTATTGACACCTGTTATTAATGGTTTCTTGCTTTTTATTCAAAATAATTCTACCGTTTACAAATACTGAAAATTAAACCTTTTTACAAAAATCAGAAGTTGGATAATTTTCTTTTTATGATTGAGCTACATATCTAAAATTTATCTACTTAAAAATCCCTTGAAAAAATGAATGTACAATCATATGTGTAAAATAATTTGGAATTATCAGATCTAGAAAAACAACAAATGATGTTAATTTTATTTTATTCAAAAATTATAAATACACAAACAAATGTTTTCTAAAATTTAAACCTAAAACTAACTGAACAACCATTAACGGTTAAAGCAGTAAACGACTATTTGGCATGTCTACCGTTGACTTTCAAATTTAGCAGGGCCCGATTCACAATGGTTTTTTTAAATGCTTTGTCTGATGAGCTATGAATTAAATATCAAACTCCATCAATGTTAATTATTTTTAATTATGGTTTCTCAACAAAAATAACTTGGGATTTCTGCTGCAGAAAAACATATAGAAATTATCAGAATTAAACACTGTTAAACCTTGGTAAATAATAAAATAAAGATATAAAATAAAGATTAAAGATACCGTTTTGAGTGAGTCATTGCTATCTTTGCATGGAAGGTTATCTTTAATTGAACTTTAATCATAACTATAAAATAGAATTTACAAGGCTTTCAGGGGGCTTCACGCCCCTCTTCTTGTTTAGTTCTGAACCTTTTCTCTTTGTGTACATTGTAAGACAAAAAAATACGCGGATTTTATAAAAAAAAACTTCGTTGATTTTTTAAATTTAACAATATCTGATTTTCTTGAAGGCAAATTTTTGAAATTTTGGTCACCCATAAACCTTTCCCGGGGGTCACGTGATGAAAGATCCCACACAAAATTTGGGCCCGCTCGGTTCAGCCGTTTTGAGGTCTATTGGATAAAAACAAACAGACACCAGGACAAACAAAGTATATAAATAGATAGATGCATATTCTTTTTTAACTTTTCCGACTGGGGTTCTTGAAAATCAGATTACGCCCCTCACTAAATCCGTAGTTTAAAATTTGCAACAATTAGCAATATATGTCCTTTTTGCAAACTATTTTTACCATTTTTCATTAACTGTAAATTTGTTCTAAATTCGTATCAAAGCTCTCCGACATTGAAGTGCACAGATATTGGGATTAGAAAATCCGAGTTTGTGGCAAAAACTCAGTTCCTTTGCCAATTTTCTACTTTTTTAGGTTTATGTTCCTTTTAATGGTTGGCAAGCCACTGGACGGTTTAGGTTTACGACTACATTAATATTTTGAAATAAATGTAAGTATTTTTTCAAACCATCTTTTTACACTTTTAGCAATCATGTAAGACATGTAAATTTAGATAGATATAGATAATTGATCTTTTCCTAAAGACAGCGCGTTAATTTTTTTATTTCGTTTGTTTATCATTTGTGAATAACCCTTTTTGTTCGTTTTTTCCATCGTTCAAAAAGAAGATTTTGTTTGTTCTTAAAGTTATATTTTAATTTCCATCTATTTCGGTCGTATCTTACTGAACGATCGTTCAGTAAAATTTTTGTTTCGACCTCAATAACGTCCTCCACCAAACCACTAAAATAACTGGTTTCGACCTCAATAACGTCCTCCACCAAACCACTAAACATATAGTATAGAAAATAACTTGTTTCGACCTCAATAACGTCCTCCACCAAACCACTAAAATTGGCAAACATAATGCACAACCAGACTGATTCACCGACATAGGGTCAAACGACCTAGGGTAAAATGCCATAGGGTCAAAGGGCACAGGGTAAAACGACCAAGGCCCAAGGGTCAAACGAAAAACGGTCAAAAACGCGACAAAGGGTAAAACAACAAAGGGTAAAACGTCATTGGGTCAAAAAGTTCGGCAAACGGAAAAAATTTCATTTAGTCTATTTTTGGTTAATTTCAAACTATTTTTATGTTTATTAGAACTAGTGGCCGCAGTGCTCGGCCCCCTAGCCTGTCCTAGCTACAGCGCTCGGCCCAAAAATTTTCTCAACCTAACCTAACCTTGAAATAATACACAAAATATTTTTTTCAATTTAGACCCTAATTGTCGTTTTACCCTTTGTATCCCTGGATACAGTAAAAGTCATCACCTAAATGATTATGCTGCAGACCTGTTCCTTCATTCGCACACAATTTTCAAATTTATTTCAGTTTGGGTCTGGGTTAGGGTTTCCAGTGAACGAAACGCTTCGCGAAAAAATACGAACATTTTCGTTCGTATTTTGCAAACTTTTTAACAACTAAAAAATCGTTAACGGTGCAGCAGTTAACGTACTTTTGTAGTATTAACGGCGTTAATGGTTTGTCAAATCGTTAACGGCACTAGCAGTTGAACTATATTCATCCTTTTCTCCGAAAAATTCAAATTTAAAATTTAAAATATCAAATTTCAAAATTTAGAAGACGACATTAAGAAACATCAAACCATGTAATCTTAAGTTTAATGCAATTTTATGCAGAAACAAATCCACGCTGTTTTTGTGTTCAACTGACAATTTTTTTTTAAAACCGGCTAACGGTTTAAAAATTAACGCCAGGCCCTTCAGCTTCTTTTTTATGAACAAAACAGCCTTAATTACTGTCTGTCTGATTTTGCTCTAGGGTATACAATATGATATTAGCAAATCCTAAAAATAAGTTATTCTTTCAAAAAAATATGTTACTGAGACAAAACATTTTGCAACCACTCTAAGATTCATTCAGCTAAACATTAAATCTTTTATTTTGATTGTTTGGCGAGTTCTAGAATAAACACAAGGAATGAAATTAATATTCCTCCAAGTAGAATAATGGAGGGAAGGAGGAAGTGTTCCAGGGCCAGGGAGTTGGCTGGCGTTTGAATCTTCTGCGCTTTAGAAATCCTTTAAAGCAACTTTTCTAGATTTTGATAGTTTTAGATGGGAAATGAATGGTGCTTTCCTTAAGGTCTAGAGTAAGATTGATCATGTGTTCCTAATTCATTTAGCTTCAATATTATTGTTTCTGTTTTATAAATCAAATCTAGAATTTTCTCTGGAGTTATTCAATATACAAACTTTATTTTAGACAAAAAAAAAATGAACTTTTTGGCTCTCTGGGTTTCAACTCCCATATGTACCATTTATTTATTCTAATCTAAATGAGTTACCTTGGATTTTACAATAAGCCAATAAAAGCCTTCTGCAACTGTTGAATAAGGGTTAAAAGTAATGGTTTATAGATAAGAAAAAATGTCTAGAAAAGTTTCCTGATGAACTGTGATTCTATTTTCTTGAATATTCCTAACTCTACAGCCAAGATAAATTTATTCTCAAGCTCTTCACAGAAGTTATTTTTTTTTCTAAACAAGATGTTAGTAAAATCACACAACAAAAATAAAACGTTGTTTAAAGGGACTGTAAAGGAAAAATGAAAGGGGGTATAGGATGAAACCTGAGAATCTCAGGCGTTAAAAGATACATTTATAAACATCTATCTGATGTTCCTGTCTCGAGAAATTAATATAAATCTGTGTAAAATTTATACGAAAATTCATATATTTATGCAATTTTGTTTAAAAGTTGTAGTATCAAATTCAACCATTACGCAACCAATCGTTGTCACGTGATACAGACGGAAATCACGTGACCAGTATACTGCACTGCCATTGGCTGAAGTTCTGGTGACGTAATACGGACTGTACGGACTATATGTTATAATATTATCAATTTTATCTATTAAAAACAAAAATTATAATAGGAGCAAATCTGTGATGCTCAGGCTCCTGTGGGATACAGTCGTTTTCAGATTGATTGCGTATTTGTTGAATATGATCTGTTTAATATTACAACTTTTATACAAAATTGCAAATATATTTAATTATTTATATTTTCGTATAATTTTGACACTGTTTTATATCAATTTCTCGAGAAAGGAACATCAGATAGATGTCTTATAGGTATCGTTCAACTGCTCGGATTCTTAAGCCAATACCCCCTTTCATTATTTCCTTTACAGTCTCTTAAACTTTCTTAAATATGTTTTCTTTAACCCTATTCCTGCTGGGGTCAATTTGACCCCCCCTGTAGTTTTTTTTAAATATCTCAGAATGTATTGGTCTGAGGCTGTTGAAATTCTCTGACTTTTCCTACATACCCAAAGCCCTCCCTTGAGGCCTAAAACCGGGCTTTAATACTAACTGCCTGAGTCCTCAGGCACACTGCCTGAAAACGAATTGCACAAGTTTTGCGAAAAAAAATTGCAAATTTTTTGCAAACAAACTGTCATAAGAAATTTGCACATTTTTTAGTTTTTCTTGATTAAAATTCAGGTTATTTAAAATTTTGCAAAATTTTTTGCTTTTTTGAATTGGCTTGTTTAGGGGTTTTTCAAAAATGTATAATTTTTCATTTTTTGGACAAATTTTTTTTGCAAACATTTATACAGTATAACTCGATTTTGCGATAAAAAAATTCAATTTTTGCAAATTTGCAAATTTTTTTGCAGATTCTAAAAGAAGAGCACAAGAGCTTTCCAATGATGAATAATTTGTCATATTTGGACATCAAACATGGGATTTAGAGGGTCAAATTGGTTTTCAAGTACCCCAGCAGAGATAGGGTTAATTTTTTTTTATTTATGATATATCCCATGATTGATGAACAACCGACCAATAAGAAATAATATATGTTCTTCTCAACCTACCTACATGCAAAAGAAATCCCTTCATCATATATGTAGGGAACTTTTCCTATTCTTACAATTGGTTCCCCATAATCCACCCGATTTCTAGAAATACCATCCTCTGACTAAAACATTTAAATTAATTAAAAATCCTTTAGAAAATATAAGGTTTAAGAACATCTGGATTCATAGTTGAGCAAATTCCTGCCGCCATGCACTAAATGTGTTTCTAGCAAAATTATTTAAGTTAAATGGCAAAATTTGCTTGTACACTTACAGTAGCAATGATGTGAGCAGCACAATGAGTTTTATTTGCATATTTGAAATCATTAGCTCCTCCAACATCATTCAATCGACCAAGCTCTTCTGAAAAAAAAGCTCTATTAGTATTACATATTATATCCACATTTAAAACAAGTTTTTTTTTCACCTAGAGTACGGTAGTATTTCTCATTTTCTAGGGCCCATTGCCGGTCTGATGCAATTGTAAGGATTAAGTTGGATTTATAAACGAGATCTTCCAAGCTCTCTATAATATAGTTTATAATGTATATTTATAATTGTAAGGATTAAGTTGGATTTATAAACCAGATCTTCCAAACTCTCTATAATATAGTTTATAATGTATATTTATAATTGTAAGGATTAAGTTGGATTTATAAACGAGATCTTCCAAGCTCTCTATAATATAGTTTATAATGTATATTTATAATATAGTTTATAAGGTATATATAATTGTAAGGATGAGGTTGGATTTATAAAACAGATCTTCCAAACTCTCTCTAATAAAATTTATTGTGTATTTGTAATAATGCTGTTAATTATAGTACCTATTGGATCATTATAGTCTGAACTGATTAAGTAAGCACTGAGTTTGCTATTAAAGAAGAATATGAAGAACATGACAAACACTGCCCATCCTGCTCCAATAAAATATTTTCCAGGACCTTTAATTTTCCTAAATAAAAAACGAAAATCTGTCAATTGGTGGCAAACAATACAATATATTAGAATATTATTATATTTTGCTCTTTAAATCTATCTTACTTTTTTGTTGATTGTCTTTCAAGCAATTTGGAAAAAAATAGTTATTTTAAAACTTGTAGAATTACAGGGACATTCTACAGATAAGAACTATCTATTACACTATTACACTTTGAAACTCCATTCTAAAGTTCCAAGCTCTGGTTAAACTTTCCAGACTTATACTTCCAGGTACTAAATTTGCTTCTTGTTCTAAACATGAAATTGTCACTTCCTGTTTTACTAATTTAACTTCTGCAGATTCTTTTGAATGTTTGCTAATTCTGCAACAGTGAAGGATTATCATACATTCAAAAGAATCTGCAGAAGTTGGATTAGTAAAACAGGAAGTGACAATTTCATGTTTAGAACAAGAAGCAAATTTAGTACCTGGAAGTATAAGTCAGGAAAGACTAACCAGGTTATAAAATGTGATGGACTCTCCATTCACAGTTATGAATAAGGAAGAGAAGATAGATAAATTGGGAAAGAAAGCGAAGAAAAGCCACCTACCATGAATCATATACCTGAATTAAGAGAGAAAGTGCCCATTCTTGCTGGAAGTGCAAAATCAGTGAAAATATGAGTAGAGGAGAATTGGAAAGATGAGAGTGTTGAAAATCCATGCTACCAGAAGAACAAGAAGCAGGTAGAGAATTAGAAAATAACATTTGCAACAGATCTAGAAATGGATCCAGCAAAAATAGCTAAGGAGAGGCGGAAATGTGCTGGATACCTGCCTGTTATACACAGCTTAAGTCAAGATAAGGATCAAGGTCAAGCGAAACATCAAGATCACAACTAACTTCAAGATTGAGAGAAACATCAAGAGAAAGAACGTTACATGGTGGTAAACATGTTAAGTATAAACACAGAAAAACAAATACCTATAGTGGAAACAAGGTCGGAAGAAAGAAATCAAGATCAAGAGATATAAAGAAAACAAGATAAAAGAAAACAGAAAGATCAGAAAGACAACAAGCATATGGGAAGGGATTGAGAGAAAATCTTACTGTTGTGAAAACATGCTCCAATCCTTATTCCTCACAGCTTTAACTGAGAACGATGTTGACACGAATGATAACATTGAAAGGGTTTACAGAGGCAAGAAAAATACAGTTGGAACAGAGGTAAAAGAAACTAACAAAATTAGAAACTAACCAAACAGGGATAAAGACCCAGAGAAGTAAATCAAGAAAAATCAACAAAACAGCAGGAAAAATGCTGAAAAAAACTGTTTGGTTTGATTGAAAGTCTTAGACAAGATAATGAAAGGGATGCAGCAGGGATCAATCATGAGAAAACAGGGACAAGAGATGATGATACTGGCACGGGACAGAGGGAAAGAGAAAGCGGGACAGTACCACATAGTCAGAGAAAATCTGTAGTCTAGCAAAAATAGCAGTCAATTTCAGGCAGGAATCTGACATTAATAACCAGTCTCAGAAAACAAACAGAACTAGGAGGAGCAAGACATTTTCTGCAATGATGTCACACATAGTCATGTTGTTATTATGGTTCTTCTGGCAGGTTTTAAGTTTGGAGAACGCCTCAGACTAGAATGAAAACAGGCACTGTCTAAGGGTCCATGACAGTGAGGACAATGGAGACTAAATCCTATTCTGGGTAATTAAAAAATGTGAAAGCAGAAGAATTAAATAGATTAACAGGATAGCTGACAGAGAATAGCACAGCGGATTAGCTGAACCACAAAATACTATGAGGGCCAAACCATCAGTCAGCAGAGACCCAGACTCAAGTATCAACCTGGAGCCAGACAATCTGGAGAGAGAGCCTGATGAGTAAAAAATAAAATAAACTTGGAGCAACAAGATGTACAGAAAGAAAATGTATGGCAAGAACAGAAGTGTCATAATCAGTATGTACAAAAGTGCAACACTGTGCAAGTGCTTAAACCTCCCTCATTCCAGAACAAAAGTACCTAGACGTTTCCAAGCAGCAATGCCAGACTAAATACGCACAGCAGTGTAACAACAACTATAACAAAAAGTATACCATCAAAGATAAAATAGGATTATATGATAGGATACAATAAGTGGTATTCACAGACACACGAACAGGACTGGGGCATGTAAAGGAGAAGCAGTTGGAGACAATGAACATGGCAAACTGTGTCAGGTGGTTTTTAGGAGAAAGTGTTCTGATAACCCGAAGAAGGACTGCAATAGCATGCAGTAGTCCTTGAAGAAGATCACCGATGAGAAGGGGTGCAACATAGGGACTGATCCCCAGTGCAAGGTTGAAAATGTCCAGCAATGTAGACAGGTTCCTGAACAAGAGTTAGTTAGGTTAGTGAATGCAACCTTGTAAACAATCCTGTCTGTAATGGTATCCATGTTAATGAAGTGATCTCTATGCAGTGCAAGGAGGTACCCAAAGAAAAAGGTTGTGATGAACCTACTGAAGTATGCCAGAATATCCTCAAGATAGTCTGCCAGAATGTTTCAAAAGAACAATCTTGGGACAAGCCTAGACAAGAATGACATGATCTGCGTCATCTTAGGTACAAGTCTTATATTTGGTATGATTCTTATCTTTGGTACAAGTCTAATCTTTGGTACAAGTCTTATCTTTGGTATGAGTCTCATCTTTGGTACAAGTCTCAACTTTGGTAAAAGTCTCATAGTTGGTACAAGTCTCATGGTTGGTACGTGTCTTATCTTGGGAAAGAGTGCATTTTTGCAATGCATTCACCAATCTCAATGCTAAAATGTTTTGTGATTTAATGCAAAAGAAATTGGGAAATGATAAATGGTCGTTAACATAAATGAATTACTCTTTTGAAAGAAATAAAACTCATTTTAAAGAACACAGATCTACTTCAATCATTGTAGTAAACGCCTACTCAATAACAATTTTACTAGAGACGTATCTATCCAGGTTTACTCACTAAGAAGATCCAATAGGAATAATACTTCACTTCTAAATGCCACACAGGCAATATCTCAACTGCAGTTATAAAAGTCACACAGGCAATTGAAGTTGCTAGACAGGTAATTTCTCAACCAGGCTTAACTCCCCGGTTTTAAAGGACACACAGTCCAAATCTCAACTCAATTTAACAAGGACCCAAATATATAAATATATATTAGATTCAATGCTAAATCAACTAACAAAGATCTCCACTTGTATAATTCAACAAGGACCCAAGCTATCTTTCAAGCTATATTTTATTCAAGGCTAAATCAACTAGCAAAGATCTCCACTCCACTCCATTACAGGAGTTCTGTAGTTATGATGTGAACAAATGACGACTTATATTACATTAGGCCTCAATTTTGCTATATCATATCCAATACATTTCATTTTTATGTCACTGCAACAATAAATTAATTAATAAATAAACTTGAATAATACATTTTGCAGATAACTTGATGAATATACTCATTTACTTTGCTCCAACATAACTATAGAATTAAAATAAAACACTCTTATCTTACCCATAATTATTAAAAACCATTCCGTAAATATGAAAAATGGAATTTTGCAGGTCCAGTAAAGATTCTTCCTTGCTAAACATGAAAAAGTTTTAAAAAACTGATGTCTACTTTTTCGTAAACCCCAAAAACCACTGAAATATATTTTGTCCAATGTTGAAAAAGATTATTATTATTGCCAAAATTTGAAAAAAATTGTTTTCATGTATTCCTGTGAACTTGAAACAGATGAAATACAAGAGAGCTCCCAATAAGTGCTACAATCAGTCTAAATATTTATAACAGAAAACTCAAAAATTTAGCTTTAATGTTAGAAAAATTTTACCCTATCCATAAGTCAAATGAAAATGGTTTTATAATGTTAAAATATTTTGGTTTGATCTCTGGTACTGGGCACATTAGCATGATAGGTCTATCAGTATAGGCACCCATTCTAAACAAATAATCGGTCAAGAAAATAGACTGATGATGTTATTACAAGAAATCAACTGGCAATATATACCCAGCACTTACCTACCGATAAACACATTATCATAAGCACCATCTACAGCCAATAAGGAGGTCATTGAGAATGGGATCAGATCAAACTTCTTCATTTAAATTTATCATAGATGTAAAATCATTTTACTGTTAGCAATTTATAGATAGGTAATGCATTTTTCGGGGATTCAAGGATTAAAATCCTCAACAGTTTTCCAATTTTTTTCTTTAAGGAGGTCAGCATTGTTTTTGGATTTTATTCTGTTTTTTTCATGATAAATTAAAATTTAGTTCCTTGGCTAACAGATTACTTTTCCACTCCAAAGTATTTGGAGCATCAATAATTTCAATGTCAAAATGATACAAAGTTGACATGAGATACCAGAATCTCAGGTTTGCACCTGAAAAAAAAACATTTATTTTTAAACTGTAGGTTGCAGGCATGATATTTTGAGAATTCACAGAATAGCACATACATTGTTTACAAGTCAAAATAAAGCTCTATTTTCAAACAGAAACGTTTTCCATTTTTCGACTAGAACATACACTATTCATAGTTTGTGGACAATTAGATTCATAAAAATTTTATGCCTGATTTTGCGTTTACAACCAATTTTCCATTGATAATCTCATCTCTTAGCTGATTTGAGGGATCATTGACTTCTGTTTGAGTCACAAAGGTTTGTACTCTAAATACTCCACGGTCTAGGCAATGAAGTATTATAAGTATTATAAAGGTTCTTTCTATATAAATGCTCATTTAATGTTTGAATATTTAAAAGTTTTAAAAATAAAGTTTCCCTTGACATTTCAATACACTGTATTTCTGTCTGTCAAAAACTGAACTTTTCATATGTATCTATCTCTGATTTAAAATTGCGTTTTTTTCTGATATTTGTCGGTTAAGGAAGTTTATCGTATGTTTACAGAGGAAGAAACAGTTCCGTTCTACGGTAGTACTGTCATTTGACAATATATATCGTGAATGTAACGTCAAATGACCCTATACTATTATAAAACAGAACCGTTCCTTCCTTTTTCGAGAATGAGGAAGTCCGGTTNGGGATAAAGAATTTTGAAGAAGTAGAAATAGAATTGAATAAACCTGACAGGTAAAAGCAACATTTAATATTTGATTTCTCATATAACAGCTTTCCAGATTTCTTCCAAAGGTTTGCAATTATAACCTTTTTCCTAATTATAAGTTCATCTGAAGTATTTTATTAAATTAGGAAATTCTACATAAATTATTGCAATTTTAGAATAATTTAATATAAAAACAAAATATGATATTCAAAACTCTTAAAAGTATCATGATAAATTCTGGACCACATACTTTTCTATTGTTCGTTCTTCCTGATAAAATAAGATACTCACCTGCAGTAAGGACAAACCAGTTTGATAGCATAATTCTTTGATTCAGGGTTTTTTGGAATAACCAGCACACGCACCAACTGCGGATCTACATTAGCATAAAGGGAGATTTTCTATAAAAGCAGAAATATTATTTAGTTTTTTCCTAAATGACAAAAAGGTGATTTAATATGATTATTTTTTTTGCTTGCTGTGTTCAAATGTTTAATTTTATGAAAAACTTTCAGACAGACATCCTAAAAGATGTCAAAAAAACTGACACAATTCTGAAACTAACGTAATTTGACAATTATAAGTTTGTTTTCAATACTTGCAATTTTGCTTGCTATAAAAGTACGGATGTCATTTTTTTCTTCTATATACTCAGGGGCATGTATAAGGATTTTTCTGCGGTAGGGGGTAAAGTTTTACCATTTGCCTACCTAGAAATTTGTTAACCCCTCCTAGACCATATTCAACTTACCCCCTTCATGTATATCAAATTATGGGTTTTTCAATGGGTTTGATTTCAATTCTAGGGTGAGTACTTGACTCCAATAACCCCCCTCCCCCTTATAAACGCCTCTGATTATACTAATTGTATTTCTGGTTGAATTCCTGTGTTGTTTGATCTGCAAGGAAGATTGTAAGACAAGAAGTTGGTTTATTGCAGAGTTCCTCCACTAGGTGGATATTAGCATTAGAATCAACAATAAACCTTAATTATACATCTTTCACAGTTAAGATTTAGTTTGGGTTCAGTGCAGAGTTCCTCCGCTAGGTGGAAATTAGCAGTAGGATCAAGATTTAACATTAATTAGTAGTATTTAAGCAAAATAATAATACAATTTTTATGTAGTTAGTAACTTAAGCCTAGTTAGGTTTTAATGCATGTTAAGGATAAGGACGGATAGGTTTTACATAGTTAAATTCATGAAAATAGGGTATAATATTATTACGTCATATATCGTTTACATCTACTTAGTACTTATATATGGGTATGTTCAAGTTTACAGATATGGGGTTTTCTACTATGTTTATTACATACATAATTTGTATTCAAGATTTAGTTTGGATTTTTAGAAATACTTTAAAAAATAGATTTTTTTCTTTAGATTTTCAGAACCTTGTATGATTAGATTTCTCAAATATTTTTAATTGTTTTACGATATTATACCTAACACATCCTGACTGATTTATGAGGTTTGTGTAAGGTTCAAGCTCTGAAGTTCCTGATAGCTGCAATACTGTCACATTCTTCTCACTTTTGACAATATGTTGGAGTTAAATTGACTATGTTTGTAATAAAAAATTATGAAAAACTTAATCTAGTAGCATATGTACCATGAGGAAGGGGGTCCGAAGCCTTTTGTTACGCAGAATGACCTCCAAGCCATTTGAAACAATCTCCGTGCCTCTTGTTGACCTTTCATTTTGTCTCCGCGCCTTGCATTTAGATCTCTGCTTGCTATTTTTATTTTTTCTTTACCTTTTATGGCTTAACACACCAATAATCCAAATATTTCTCTTCAAGAGGAATCCTCAATAGTTTAAAGAATCGTTTAATCCAAAAAATTTAAATATTAATTTATCCAATTAATCATAAATTGCATTCTTGTGTAAAGTTTGCTGGACCGAGCATTCAATAAAATTACAAATTCAAGTAGTTTACAAAAACTATTGTGTTTTGTGAATTTAGAAAAAAAATGAGCCTTGAGGTCAATCTGAGTATCGGAAAGAAGGCTCCAGAAGTCATGTGATGGACTGCAAGTATTAAGAATTCAGTTAGAATTTTAATCTTATTTTTGTCTTTTCAAAATTAACCTTAACTCAAATTTAATTAAAGTTTCTTCTAACATTTTACTTTTGTGGCCTGGGACCAAATTTATTAAATTGGAGAGAGGAAGCTGAACTACTTACCACCGGTTAAAATCCTAAATCACCAATTTAAAGATGATATAGTCATGAGAATTTGAATAGTAACTTAGGATTTGAACTGGGGCTTGGTAGTTCAGCAACCTATACAATTCATTTAATTCAGTCCCAATGGCCTCATTTATTTTGTATTATTGTTCATTAAAAGCAGATCTAGAATAAATCTACATTTATTGCAGACAGATTAAATTAATTTCTCTAAGATATCCTAACGGACCATATTCAGGAAATGCCCTAACGGACCATGTTCACGAAATGTTACTAGAATCATACATGTAAACATTTATTGATGAATGAATATAACAAATTATTTCTTTGACAAAGACGACCTTCCAGTCATCTCTCAACTCTCATTTTATTCTTTGTCCCCGCCCCTCCTCTTTACAAAAGTTACAAAAACTACGTAAGAAAAAAATTAATGTCAAGCATATTTATCCTGGTTGGTATTTTCAGTTCGTTGGCCAGACCAATAACAACTAGCAAGCATGTCAAATCAGTGTCTAGGATTTTACTCAGATATAAGCTTCATCCAACTCAACTCAAACTTACACATAAATCAATTGTCTATGAGTGTTTATCTGCAATCTTTTTGTAACAAATACATTTTATATTTTGCATTGTAAAAGTTAAAAATACCCTTTCAGGAGAAAATTCCTCTCTGATTTACCGCAAATATCAAGATTTAAAAAAATATGTTTCCATCAAAAACATGAAATTAAAAAAAATCATTATTTCCGGCTAGTGAGGGGGTGCAGAGCCACCATGAGCCCCGCAAAATTACCTCCAGAGCCTCCAGATTTGCAGAATGGCCTCCTAGCCAATCAAAATCAACCCCGGTTGTGCCTTACGCTACATCACAGAGCCTCCACAACTCTTACTCCACGTCTAGCATTCTTTTCTCCAATAACAAACATTTGGCTTTTACATCCACAAAAAGCCTTTTTCTCAAAAAATCTCAAAATGATCAAAAAGTTTTCAGATAAGACCACATTGTTACCATGTATTATGATTTACTTTAATTACGTTCATTAATTTAATTCCAAGAAAATATAAATCAGTTAACCATGAATTCTTGTGTCATTAGGTTTATACACCTATAAATTCTAGTGTAGTGGCTGTGTCAAGGATACCTATTAAGCAATACAGAGATCTAGTTGCATCTTAGCAATACATACTAAAGAATACAACAGCGTCTTATCTGGATTGATATGATTGAGTATTATAGAGAGCTATAGTTGTATCTTAGGGATACATACTAAAGAATACAACGGCGTCTTATCTGAATTGACAGAGATTGAGTATTATAGAGAGCTATAGTTGTATCTGAGGGATACATACTAAAGAATACAACAGAGTCTTATCTGGATTGATATAGATTGAGTATTCAAAAATTTATTTAAACAAATTTAAACTACCCCATTTATATATGTATTTATATCTTTGTGTGTGAATAAATCTTTATAATAATATAATAATTATAGAAGGCTAGTTGTATCTGAGGACTACATGCCAAAAAATACAACAGCGTCTTATCGGGATTGAAAGAGATTGAGTATTATCTAGTTGGATATACAGCGGTACATACTAAAGAATACAACAGTGGGATTGATAGAGAAAGATTATTATTGATCTGACTAGTGAGTTCGAGAGAAAATTGTATCTGTGCCATACATATTTTTTAAAAAAAATGAATTCTTAATCTTGATTAAAGTTGACTATTTAAGACAAATTGTTTATGTATTATAAAACCGTTTTGATTATGTTGACATTTTTTGAATAAAAGGTTTTTGGTGGATACAAAAGCCAAATATTTGTTATTAGAGATAAGAATGCTAGACGTGAAGGCTTGAAGAAGTAGTGTGAAGCACGAGGGCGATTTTGATTGGATAGGGGGTCCTTCTCCTAATCTGGAGGTTCCGGTGGTCATTTTGCGGGGCTCATGGCGGCTCTGCCTCCCTTCCCTCACCTGGCATGATGACTGAATACCTAATTACCCAAATACCTAAGTTCACAAGCACACTCAGATGTTGTATGCTTATTAGTTAGAAACCCTAGCTAGAAAATTCTTAAATTTTTTGTTCTGCATTGCTTTTTTTGCAATTTTTGGCATACTGGTTTCATTCTGTTTTTTAAACTTGTATAACTATCATCTCCTGTGTTTTTCATCTTTTTTTTCGTTTCTAATTATATCTACCATTCCTTTTTCTTTGTCCTCAACCCCCTTCCTTTCTTTTAATTTTCTTTCATCTTTTTCTCGTCCCCCTTAATTCTCTCTATTTCTTTTTCTTCCGTTCATGAAAACATTTCCTTTTTTCTCCTTTTTCCTGCTTCCCCCCCCCCCCCACTTCCACTTCTATTTCTTCTCAATTTTCTTCCTTTCATGACAGTTTGCTTTCCTCCTTCTCTTTCCCCCTTCTCTCTTCTTCTTTTTCCTAAGTTACAGTGTAGTTTTCATTTAATATCCTTTCTTTCTCTCCCCCCCCCCCTCCTATTTGTCTTCATTGTTATGCCTTTCATGCGTAGTTTTCTATACTCTCATTCTCTTCCAACCCCATTATCTCTTTTTTTAAACAACAATGCAGTACAGATATGAGGATTTGTTGATATAGAGTTCCTAATTGTATAACCGTGATAACCGTGCAGTATTTAAAGGGAGTGTTCGCGAAAAATGAAAGGGGTATAGGCTTAGGGCAATAAAAAAGCGCTTTTGATTGCTACTTATCTTACTTCTATCTGTTGCGTCTATAAGGAGAAAATTGTTAAAGACGTCTCATACCAAATAACATGGCGTCCATACAAATTGAGAAAATTGCAACATACGACTTAGACTTTAAAAAAATCAATTTAATTTCAAATAATTCATTCAGATATTACAACCTATAGTCATCGATTATCTTTCGCCACATTTGTATATATTTGATATTTCATACTAGTTTTGATTTTGTTTTTTAAAATAATATTTAGCTTACAACTTGTCTTCGAACATTCCTGGAAAATATGAAAATGTCGTCTTCATTACCAAAAATCCTTAAAACAGGAATAAATGTTTTTATTAGTAACTCTCGGATCATAAAAATTAATACATATTATGAAAAATCAATTATATATAAATGTGGCGAAAGATAATCGATGACTATAGGTTATAATATCTGAATGATTTGTTTGGAATTAAATTGATTTTTTTACGGTCTAAGTCGTATGTTGCAATTTTCTGAAGTTATTGGGTATGAGACGTCTTTAACAATTTTCTCCTTATAGACACAACAAATAGAAGTAAGATTAGTAGCAATCAAAAGTGCTTTTTTATCGCATTAAGCCTATACCCCCTTTCATTTTTCGCGAACACTCCCTTTAAGGGAGTTTGTGACCTTAAAATATTCAGGTAATTAGATATTTAGCTAATTAAAGGTATTTGGGTATTTTGTTAAGTCACAATTCTTAAACTGGATTTTGAAATTCAAAAGGTTTTAAATAATTATTTTTGAAATGCTGATTATCTTAAAAAAGAGGGGGATATTCTGTCTAAATCATAACGTTTGAACCAAAAAATGACAATTCTAGGTTTGAATCTACAATTTCATTTTATTGCAAATGCAATAAAGACCCCAAGTTTTCAATTTTTAAAATCAATTTTGAATATTGCACATAAAAATTTGAATTTTGGACGTACAAATTTGAATATTATATCGATTTCCTTTGACAGAGTTTAAAGTCTTCCAAAGAATCTCATACTGACTAGACAAAAATATATTGTCACTCATCGTCATCCAATAGTTAAATACATTTGGTTTGAGACATTTTTGAATCTAAATATTTATATTTTCCGTTCGGTTATGGTTTGCAAATATTAAGTTGGTTTACATCTTATAACATTTTTATACATTCGTTTAAAGTTTACATTAGTTTTGATAACATTATAAGGAATTAAGATTGCGGATTTCTTCAAAATTACAATAAATTATTAGTGTTGGAATTTGACCTTTCTTGTGCAAAGGAATAAAGAAAAAGGAAAATTCACAGTATTTCATAGAAGTTACTCTGCTTGATGACGTTCAATGTTTTACACATCTCCTAATAATATCAAAATATATTCCTTTAGGACTATGTTACAGGAATGTTTATAGCTGGCACAGTTTACTGCAGGGTATATATTAAACATAGTTATTTCCGCAGTTAAACATTTCAAAGAGTAATTTGAATTTTATGGTGTATTAATTATATATTACATTGTACCTAACGCTACGGATAATATGGGATAATCTGTTTGTTCACAAACATTTTACGATCGAAGGCACGTTTGAGATATTTGTCTGAATTAAACATGGTGGGCAAAAGGAGTACAAAAAATGTAATTTCCTCTTAAATCAATTACAAGAGCTGAAAATCAATTAAAAATTGTGTAGGCTTGTATAGATACTAATTTAGAAAACAAATCAAATTAATAAACGTAAGTTTATTTTGTTGGCTTTAAAAAATTATAAACTTGTTTTTTTCACCTTGCTATTGCCTCAGAAACTGTGAAAAAGGACAGGACGAAAAGGAATACAACCTTTTTAAAAGCCATATCCTGAAAATATGAAAACATTAAATTAAAAATTTGATAATGATTTGCATGTTATAATCAAGATATCAAATCAAATTAATAAACGTAAGTTTATTTTGTTGGCTTTAAAAAATTATAAACTTGTTTTTCTCACCTTGCTATTGCCTCAGAAACTGTGAAAAAGGACAGGAAGAAAAGGAATACAACCTTTTTAAAAGCCATATCCTGAAAATATGAAAACATTAAATTAAAAATTTGATAATGATTTGCATGTTATAATCAAGATATTCTTTTGAAGTTTATCATGTTCATTTTCATGAATGTAAAGAATTTTTTTAAATATTGAAATTTATCTTTCATTTCAAATTATTTGCTTAAAATGATAGTTGTATCAATAAAGTTGAACTTGTTAACCCTATTCCATATTGACGTTTCCTTCCCCCCCCCCCCTATGTTTTCTTTATATAATACTAATCTATAACTTTTCGTACACTTTAAGTAATGCCCTGGCCGGGGTTATACTTTAATAATCTGGAAAAAGAAATTGCAATTTTTCAAAAATCCTAAATTTTATTGCAAAATCCAGTTATTAAGCAAAAATGTGGACAACCAAAAGTTGCACAAAATACAACTAATTACGAATATTTGAAAAGCCTTTCCAAAAATCTACAGAAGTATGCGACTATATCAGTACAATGAAGATGACTTTTGGTTATAATTTTTATTAAAATCAAGCTGTTAAACAGCATGGATACACATAAACATAGAAGTAAAGAAAAGCTTTCAATTTAAAAAGTTTCTCTTTGATAACTTATGAACTTGTAGTTCGAAAAAAGCTTCTTAACAATAAACACTTAAATAAAAAGTCGTCTTCATTGTCAGCTGTATAAAATTTTGAAATCCAATGACTGGAAGTGGTTCTACATAATACATATATATCCTAGCAAAGTAAAATAAGGCATTCAGGCAGTATGCGTCAGGACTATGGCATTGGAATAAAAGCCCAGGTTTTTAGCCAGAAGTGCTAGGGAAAAGTGTTTCTTAGAAAATTTGAGCAGCCTCAGATCAATTTTTATTGAGATAAAAAAACGTAAGGGGGAGGGGGGTTTCCGTATAGAAATAGGGGTTGTCCAATAAATCAGCGGAAGTCTTAGTTCTCCCAAGGGTTGATTAAATCTGACCAATTTAAACAGAAACTCGGCAATTAACAGTTGCCAGTCAGGCAATTAATTAAAACATAAAAGGTTCACATCAATTAGTTAATTAATAATTAAATCCGTTTAATCGGAAAATCTATCTTTAATTACAATTCATATCTTGCCATTCTTCAAATTGTTGTCTTAAGGGCTTTAGATTTTCATTCAATAAGTTAAAATCACTGCTGAATTCAGAAATTTTGAGCAGTGTGAATCTTGGATCAAACATTGATCTCCAACTCCATCTTATGCAGATCTAGAAGTTATATTCCTCCTCTTTACCCATGATGGTCATACCTTGCAGGGATAAATTTTACTGAGGGATCAAGCATTAATCCTCAAGTTAATCCTCAAGATCAAGCGTTCTAAATAAAATTATCCTTATTGGTTATCAACATTTATTGCTTTAAAGTAAACAATGACTAAAATATTCAATGCATTGAACATTCTAGCTTTTCTACTTAAAATAGAAATATTGAACCAATGATAAAAAACTTTGCTTTAGTTTAAAGATTGCAGGCCCACGGTTATCTGTTTTACTATTAAAAAAAAAAATACTAAATTTCATATAAATAAATTTTTCTTCAGAAATCCTATTTTTGTTAAAATTAATTCCGATTCATACACATACTTTTAACAAATTAAATATACTATGGCAATAACAAACTGAAAGGCCTTGGAGGGCATTGCACCACATCTATTCATTTAGTAAACAACAGATGAGGCTTATGATAATAACAGCATTGTTTCAAAATAATATAACCCCCAGGGATGATTTTACAGAGTTCAGTGGTTTTTTTCTTGCAATGGCCCCTCTATAGCTAAAACGTCAATAAATGTTTTATTCTTTCGAAATAACGTTTTAAACTAACATTTACAAAATTGAACTTCAATGAAATTAAGAAATATGAACTTATGTATAATTTTGAATCAATCAATTTGATAATTAAATGTTAGATATTTCAGGGTCTTCACGTAATTAATCAGATAAAGATTAAAATGTGACATTTACAACAATATCAATCTTAAACATTTTTACATTTTTACTCTTATTGTGATTAAAATTGTGAATAATATTGATTAATTTCTTATTCTTATCACACACAATTTTAGAATATAGATAAAATCTTCGTTTGAATAAAACTTTACAAAATAAATCGGATTTTTAAACATCTAGACTTTCGGGACTTCATTTACGCAAATGTAACGACGTCATTGAAAGATTCTGCAGTTAGAGAAGTTCATGAATTTCTTCTTGCTTATGTTTTTTACGTTAGTGACCGGTCCTCTGTTATTGATTTTTTAATGAAAGTAAAAAAATATTAAAACAATTTAAAAAAAAAAGTTTTTTGACATTTTAAAAAATGATGTCGTTAATGAAGGTATGATTGTAAGTATCGTTAAAAAATTACTACAATTCGTTTGTTTTGTTCAATAAAAGATTCTTTTCAAAAGCGCTTGTTTCGTTTTCCCTTTTTTCTACTTAATTCATTAACGAAACAAACAGTTTTTTTGAACAGTGAAAACGATCCATTTCTGGAGATGGGCCTAGGACATCCTACAAAGTATTTTCCGTTCTTTACTAATCTTTCCTTGATTAATAATCTTAATTTTATTTACAGCATAAGGGAAGATATTTTAGTAAGCAGTAACTCTTTCGTTAAGTAAAATTGTTCATTAAGTGAACTCGTTTGTTACATAGATTTTTTAAAGTTTAATTATTTTTTTCGTTTTTGTTAAACGATAATTTTTCATTTTCGTTTTTTTCTGAACGAAACCAAAAATTTGTGTTCGTTTAAAAAAGTGATGCCCATCTCTATCCCTGGGACCCCAAGCTGTAGCTTAAAAATCTTAAATATATAGAATTTTGTATTGTGCCAATAAAACAGGTCGATGTCATGCATTTTCTTTATATATTTAATTTCAACAATTTTATATTTTAAGGATTAAACCATCAGGTGCGATTAACTGAATTTGTCCAGCTAGAGGGGGGAGGGAGCACATAAGTCTTTAGATTTAGTCTTAGATATATGTCATGCTTTCACAGATTTAATTCCCTTTTCCATTGGGAGGAGTCACCAATGCAAATCTAGGGGTCTCCAATTAACATTTTTGGGGGATCTCTATATTATTTTCGAGTTTAAGACCCCCATATTTGGGGTCCCCAATGAAAATCTGGGAGTCTTGCAATGAAAACATGACCTACATAATTTCTTTTGAGATCCCCAAATTTTCATTTAAAGCCCCCCCCCCCTCCTATTTTTGTTGGAGACCACCATATTACGAAGTTCGGAGGTTCTGTTCAAGGGCGGATACAGGATTTAAGTCAAAGGGGGGGGGGGGGAACTCTATTGGTTTGGCACAAATAAATGTGGAAGTATAGAAACAAAAGAGATGCACACCGCAGGGAACATTTTTGTTGGGCCAAAAAAACTCCAAAAGGGTTAAAATTAATGACTGTAGACTAAAAAATGATTTTTAACTTATCACGTAAAGATTTTAAGATAGATATTTTGCCTGTTTTACATCATGTTTTAAGGCTATTTGCATCAAAACAAAGTAACTGGAGGTATAAGATTTTATAAATTTCAGTTAATCTATAAGTAAATGTATTACTGAACATTTTTGAATCACGAATAGCTAATGCTCATTTTAAGGATTTCAACATAATAGATTATTTACTTACGCAAAATTACGTGCAATTACGCGATGTTATTTTCATTTCACGAAATGTTTCAGATTTACGCGTAATTAGCCAAACTTCAATTTTGTGAAATTACAGCGTAATTTTGTGTAATTTCTATAAAGTAATTTCGCAAAATTTTGCAATAATTACAGAAATTAGCAAACCTTCAATTGCGCAAAATTACAGCAATTTTTGTGCCTTATTAGAATTATTTTAATTTCGCGTAATTACAACCTTATTTTGTAAGTAATGTTTCGCAGGTTAATCAGAACTTTCAGCCAATATTTTGTTAATGTAATTTTTAAGTTTGACAATTAAGTTTAAAAAAAGGGCCAACAATTTATTATCATAATTAAATTAAATACATATTCTGTACATTTATTTAATATTCAATAACTTGTAAATATATCAACCTACATTCTCAAGTTTCAATGTTTGAAAAAAAATTTTAAATTGTCAAAATATGTTTTATCATCATCCAAAATATGTTTTATCATCATCCAAAATTGAATCTGTTATTCCTATGATTCAGGTAAAGCTCAGTATACTTTTTAGTTGATTTGCCTGTCCCAAAATAACTAGAAAGGAGAAAGAAGAATAAAACAGAAAAAGTGTCGTGTTTACGTAAATTATTTATAATAAAAAATATATAAATAATGTATCAGATGCAGTCAATCCTGTAAGTAAAACTAAATGAAGAACTATGGCAGGTGAACAATGATGCCTGCAATGATTAATTTCTGATTTTGAATTTCAAAGAAAGAATTGCCGAAAGTTACACCACTATATAATGCATTTTTGAGAATCAATATGTATACTGTACTATCTCTTGTTTAAATACTAATTATTACTAACATAACAGTATAATACAAATAAAATGTCGATTTTTTTTAGAAACAATGCTTTTTTCTGCTAGTTTTGATTGAAAGAGAGATAAAATATTTATCCCTGCCCTCAATCCTTTTTTTAAGTTTCCAATTCGTTATTCAATCTTTTTATTGTTCCTTAGATTATATGTTTTTTATTTATTGTTTTTCTGTTCCTAGTGCATATATGAAACTATTTTTTGTTTGTTCCAAGCTGGCACAATAGTCAATTCCTGTTCTATATATAGTTCCCGTTTTATCGTACTCTTTTGTTCCTCTTTTGAGTTTTGATGTTCCTATTCTTCCTTTTTTGTTCCTAACTCGCGGTCGCCCAACCCAACAATTGTGTTATTATACTGTTCCTTATTTTTCTAAAAACCTATAATACTCCTTTTGTTCTTTCTGATTTTACTTTGTTCCTAAAATCCTAGCTTAACAAACCTATTTTTGTTCCTTATTTTAATTTTGCACGACATTTCTTCTTAAAATGATTTGATAAACCAAGTTCTTTGTTTCTGTATTTGATATCATAATTCGAATCTTCAAATAACTTGAAAAATGTGTTCAAAAGATTAGATAAATTAAGAAAATTATTTTAACACTAATTGGTAACATTTTCCCGATAATAGCTCAGGGGGGTCGAAGGTACCCCCGCCCCCTTGTCCTTGCGCCCTTGGAGCCCTTGGGTCTGTTACTTGTTTATAGATTTCTTTCAAATAATTTTTCTTCACTCTATTATACTTTTTGTTATTGTTATATAGCGCCAATCCATCCCCTAGCGGCGGGTGGAAGAACCAGAGGGAGGATCAATGTATTAGGCTTGGCTGGGAAAACAGCTGATTTTAGACTCACTAGTCCGGAGTCCCTCTTCTCTTTTAGTCACTTAGTAGTGAGTCACAGCCGGTTCATGTGTAAACAACAACAATTCAAAACAAAGTGAACAATTGTTGGAAAAACAATTAAGCGATATTAACTAAAATGTCGAGTAAATCAGGTAAATGATGATCTACGTTTATTTTTACTATAGTATGTTTATACAGGATATACGCCATCGATAAAAGATCGGACTAAAGAAAATGGACCGGGGTCCGTTCTAGTATACGATTTTGGGACCCCCCCCTCAATTTTGTACATGGATCTTAAATGTTAGACATGAGTCCGCAGTGCTTGGACGCCTAGCCTGTCCTAGACGCAGTGCTCGGTCCAGAAAGTGTCTTAACCTAACCTAACCCTAAATAAATACTAATTTAATTGAAAATAGTGGACATGTACAAAATGGGGATCCAAAAATCGTTCTCTAGGACAGACTCCAAAATAGGTATGCAAATGGAAATTTACTTTTTCATGATTATATGGATATTCTAATAATATTATTTTAGTATTTTGTTTTTGTTTGTTTGTTTGTTTACATTATTGTACCAATATCTAATACACAAGATGTAGATAGTATTTTGATTTTGGGTGAATATATATTACTCATAATACGTCAGTAAAGCTAGATAAAATCATAATTTTGCTAACTTTGAAAAAAAATCCTTTCATTTTACTAATTATACAATAAATCCTTTCCGTCCGGGCTATTTTACATCAAAATAATAGTAAACTATTGAAACAAGATTGGGGTAAAGTTTTTCTTGAAAATCATTCACCCCTTAGGAAATGTCACGCGTTGTCATATCGGACCAGTCAAATATTATAGAATGTATTTTGAGAATTTTGTTTTATCAAACATGTTTTATTTATCAGCCCAAAAGTGAAACTGTAGATTTGAATCGTCCGCTCAATTGAAAATGAAATTTCAAGTGATATTGTTAGTTTTAATTTTAATTTTTTATAATGTGGAATTCTGGACTTACCGTAAGATTTTAATTAGCTTGAACAAATCAGGCTGTTGTCTTCAGGTCAGAGTTAACAATATGAAAAATATAAAAAGTTGTTTTTATATCACAAAATTTCTCCCTTCGTCCCGCATCCCCTCCTCCCTCACGCCGGCCTGTGTAAAACAAGCTGTCATAGAACGTCTTGCAGTAATGTTTATTGGTTAAGACAAATATATGGTCCAACAGGGCCAGATCAGTATTTTAAAAAAAACACTGTAGATTTATAATTAAACCAGCTCATTGAACAAGGGCCCACTCAGACCTATAAAACTCTGAAAGTTATTAATCAAGTTTTTAGATAGCCTCGGTTTTAAAGTGTTACAAAGGCTTGTCCTTTGGGTTTATGTCACCGACACACTTACACTTTATTGTAGCCCTTGGCATGTGCATTATGAAATTGCAACTTGCTTGTTTTTAGCTTAGGTTACGAGCTCGCTTGCAAGAGGCGGAGGGAGGGCGGAGTTTGAAGTACCAGATATTTGACTTAGAACTAATATATGAGGCGGATTGAGGACGGAGAATGAAGTACCAGATAGACGACTTAAGACTATTACAGGAGGCGGATGCAGGGCGGAGTATAAAGTGCCAGAAAGGAAACTTATAACTTTTACAGAAGGCGGATGCATGGTGGAGCAGAAAGTAACAGTTTGAAAACTTAGGACTATACATTGCGGAGTCTGAAGTACCAGTTAGTACATTTGTCTCTATTACAGGGGGCGGAGGCGGTTGCAGGGCGGAAGATGGAGTACCGGATATGACCAGAATATCAGATATGGACGAAAATGGAATAAATAAAAATTTACAGGTAACACACATATTTGGTAGATTTTTTTGGACTTTTTTCTTTTTGTCATTGTTTTAGGACTTTTTATTTACTTCCCTTGATAATTTATTCAAAATATGGAATTTATCAAACTTTTCCTCAAAGTTTTTTATTTGCTTGAAATTGAATTCATGTTTAAACCAGACTCTTTGTTGAAAAAAGGAAAACCTAATTTCTACAATTTTGAAAAATGTCATTTTTATTTTGCTTTGTTTTGGGAAATTATTGATATTCAGAGATAAGAACTGCATCGTTTGCTAAAAATATAAATCCTTGTAATAAATTGAACGACAAGAATTTACATTAAAGCTTCAAGTATTAAGACATTTAATCGGATTTAAAATTAAAGTTTGCCATTAACGATTCTTTTTTATCGTATGATTTTAAACCATTATTGCTTGGCACACATAAATTCAGCCTGCTCATAAAAAGTCTCATCAATTTTTAAGACAGGGTCGACTTTGAAGTGTCGTAACGCCTTGGGCTTTGATTTTACCGCCTAACTCACTTGTGCTTTTCTGTAGCCCTTTACGCACATTTTAGCACTATTTAAAGAACTTGTTTTTAGCTTTGGTTTTAAGAAATGATTGGCAAAATTCTCATCGATTTTTTTTCACATTTTAAGCGGGTCAATCTGGATCAATCTCGTAAAATAAACTGAACAAAATATAGATTTGACTAACGGAACAGATTTCTTTAGTCACAAATTCTAATTTCATAATCCCTATACATTACAGTGATTACAAGTTCTAACAGAAAAATCAATAGGAATTTTGCCATTTACTTCTTAAAAGCTGAAGCTAAAAACAAGTATTCATAGTTTTATTAAAATGTACTAGACGAAACCTACAAAAATATTAAATGACTTTGTGTTGTAAAATCAAATGCCGGGGAGTTACGACGCTTCAAAGTGGATCTAGTCTTTAAATTAATGCAACTTTTGACAGAATTCTGGATCTGTGACAGTGCAACCCGATGCCTTAGACCTTTGATAGTTCAAACTATGAATTCCGTAGGTCCATTAGACTAAGTTTGAAATAACGATGTTTAACGCCATCAGGTTACAAAGAAACAGTGATGTTGAAAATATGTGTAGTGGGCAAAAACTCATGGTTTCCTTTTCGGTCAAAAATTTCTTAAGATTTTAGTTAATTTTATTTTTTTGTTTATACTAGTTTAAACTAGTTGCATTATAAATGTAGGGAGGGGGTGGGTGATCTATGACCCCCCCCCTCTCCTTCTTTATAACACAGGTTCCCCTGGGAATTTTGTAAATTGGTTAATGGGATTCTGTAATCAATATCTACCAGACTTTAGAATTTCCATGATTATCAAAGACCAAGTTTGATGATATTGGTCTTATTTTCTAATCCCCATATCTTTTAGTCGAATGTGGAAGACCTGAGATATTTCAAACTATGCTGTTTGATAAAATAGCCGAAGTTTGAAATATAAAAAATTTCCACTTTTTAGGTTGCAACGATATAGGGATTAGAAAATTGGAGTTTGCGGCAAATTTCTTAAATAAAAGAACTGGTGTTTCTTTGCACATTGGTCTTTTGTTTCACTAATTACTTTCTTAGACTGTATTTGCTCTTAATCGGCAGATTTAGTATGCAATCATCAACGAATTTCCCCTCGTAACCACTTACATAATATATTTCAATTTCTCTTTACAATATCAATAAATCATGTACTGCTCACATCCTAGTTCAAGGAAGTATATCGAAGGTATTTGTTGTGCAGTGGATTTTGAAAACAATTAAAGAGGAAGTTGAGAACTTGTTTAAAAGATATTTCATCAATAATTCATGTATGGGTAAATCGAAAAGAAATTTTTATTGCGATAAATTTAATACAAGTTTCAGTATAACGCTTTGATTATAGTTTTCCATTTCTTAACCGACTTTTACGGTCGAGTACAAACGTCAAATAAAAAATGAGATAATAGCGCGAGGTTCGCGCAGCTCTAACAGGCAGATAACTTTATTTTGTAATTTAAAACGTCGATTAAATCCTTATTCAATAGTAAAAATTCAAATTTTTTTCTCGAACATGAAAAAAAGCATTTATCTATTTTAAAATTCTAAAGGGAGATTTTGGCCCTCAACCCTTATTTGACACCCCTGGCTTACTATTTTTTATTTAAACCCAAATGAAATGTTTTCTTTAAAATAAAAGTACAGTCAAGGCAAATTCAAATTTAGAAAAAATGCACAGACCAAATAGGCACAACGCCTTTGGGGTAAGAAACTTGCATCCCATAGTTGTCCAACAACGAGTAAGAAACTACAGTATATATTTTTTTGGGTTCCATGGGGGGGGGGGGGTGTCTCATCGCTGAAATTAAGGGTTAAAAGTGCAAAAGTTTCGCACTCTGCTTATGTCCTTCTTTATAAAGTGGCTAATTATGTACATGGTGTCTAAATAATGTTTGTATTTTACAGTTTTAAAAAGAATTCTCCTCTTTTAAGACAATATGTGCATAAGATGGATCTCAGTGCTTGACCAGGAGATTTACAGTTTTAAAAAGAATTCTCCTCTTTTCAGACAATATGTGCATAAGATTGATCTCAGTGGTTGACCAGGATATTTACAACACAAAATCTGTTTTGGTGGATCCAAGGAACTATATGTGCATAAGACAATATGTGCATAAGATGGATCTCAGTGGTTGACCAGGAGATTTACAACACAAAATCTGACTGGGTGGATCCAAGGAACTATATGTGCATAAGACAATATGTGCATAAGATGAATCTCAGTGGTTGACCACGAGATTTACAACACAAAATCTGACTGGGTGGATCCAAGGAACTATATGCAGGAACGCACAACTCAGATATGTGCATAAGATGGATCGCAGTGGTTGACCAGGAGATTTACAACACAAAATCTGAGTGGGTGGATCCAAGGAACTATATGCAGGAACGCACAACTCAGATATACGCATATTATGTACTGTACACTGTGGGAGGAATGTAAACAAACCCAGTGCCCCCACAGAAGTTGAAGGGAAAGGACTACAGCTCTGATGTTTTGTTACAGTCCAACAAAAAACAAGTTAATAAATCAAGTTAGAGCGAATTCATATGATTTTTGGCTTTCTGGTCAATATGGAAAAATACAATAGCAATATATCTTTAATCCACCCCTTGGGCCCTTTTCCCCGAAAGATGATGCGTTGCCCCTAAATTTTTTGTTTTGATCTCCAACCACTGCACTACACAGATTTGACGCATGAAATATGGCGGTTCCTGGTCTATATATTTCCTGGGCGGATCTAACAAATTTGTCAGTTAAAGAAGAAATTGATTGTATTTTTTTTAGCATTCTTGCATCTCAAACTTTTGTTAACACTTAGAACGAGACAGCAAGGAAGACATTTGTAATACCATTATAGAACCGTCGCTGGTTAACTTTTTTTATTTTATTTTGAGTTGTGTTCAAAAATGAAACAGTAGATTTATTTAGAAACTTTGTTTGGTAATGTGGAGTCAATAAAGTTGATTTTGTTTACCTTACTAGTAAAATAAACATTTTAACTCTTTTAATGTGCTCTGATATTTTCTCTCAAATATTTGATATCCCAGTATTCAAGTATATTAGAGAAATGTCGAGAGGAAATTTGAGAAATGTGGTTTATGGTAGAATACAAAATATTCTTCTTCTTTCCTTCAAAGATGCAATAAAGTATATTAGAGAAATGTCGAGAGTAAATTTGAGAAATGTGGTTTATGGTAGAATATAAAATATTCTTCTTCTTTCCTTCAAAGATGCAATAAAGTATATTAGAGAAATGTCGAGAGTAAATTTGAGAAATGTGGGTTATGGTAGAATACAAAATATTCTTCTTCTTTCCTTCAAAGATGCAATAAAGGGAGTTTTGTATTTTTCTCTTCTGCACCGTAAGTTTAAGGGATTGTAGACCTAATTACTTTTCTATCTAAACATTGGCATGTCCGATTCACAATAGTTCCTTTCAAATATTTTCTGATCTACAACAGGGAGGATATTGTCGTTTTACTAGCCTTGTTTCTGCTGCTTTGTAAGAAAACCACAATTAGAAATTATTAGTTTTTTATAGAAAAAACAAGGGTTTTAAAGAAAATTGAAATGGCGTCTTTAATCCGTTCTGATTTGTACGTATTGTACTTGCTCTTTAGGTACCGTACATGGTTCCCTATAATCTGTACTTGATTGAACTGTACTGAAATCTATCATATTGTTTAGGTGAGGTTTGAACGAGGGGATATTTACACATATACCGGACCCATCCTTGTAGCGGTCAATCCATACAGAGAAATAGATGTTTACAATACTCATACTGTCTCAAGGTAATATAGGTTTAATCCATACAGAGAAGTAGATAACTTCAAGGTAATATAGTACAATGAAGTATTTATACTAAAGGCAGGGGTTTGATTGTAACATATCAGGACTGTTAATCAAAGCTAAAACAAGGATTGTAAATAAATGGCGGAACTTTCCTGGGCAATCTGTTGGCTTTGGGCCGAGCGTAGCGGGAGGGGGACAGTGTCGATGGCAATCTGGGGACTCCATTTTGGGGGTCTTGATTTTACTTCTAATTCTTATTCTTACAAAGGTTAACGTAAACCTTAAATTGCTTCAACACTGGAATTTTCAGGTTTTTATGAACAATAATGATTTTTTGCAATAAATTAGCATCTCTATTATCATGATGGAAAATCAAAACAGATCAAGTTGTATCATGTTCTGAATTAGATATGAGAGAACCACGGGAATATTCTTCGCTTAGTTTTGAGATTCTATATTGATTGTGTCGACTTTTATAGAGAAAATTTAGTTTTCCAGTAAAATCGTCCAAGTGCGGGTAAACGGCGGCAATAACTTATAGTAACCTGGGCATCGCTGGGTTCCCAAGCTAGTAATATAATAAAAGTGAAGAAAGATCAATATGTTCACGTTTACAAGTAATTTCTTTGAGAAATTAATTTAATTAGCTGTCAATAAATTCCAAAAAAAAAATTGAATTCAGTTATCATGGAGCTAAACTGGGTAGCTTGGATCCTCATGTATTCGCCCTGGCAGAATCAGCCTATATCAGCCTACAGTCGGAGACAGTGAACCAATCTCTAGTTATATCAGGTAAAATGCCATATTGAGAAGTAGTTGAACTACGTAGACTACGTTAAACCACTTTACTTGAACTTGAACTAGTGTACAAGGGAAGTGGTCCAAGTAATTCTACATCTTTCAGCTACTGGAGCCATTTTTGATGAAATTTTAATCCTACAAAATATACTAAAGGGTCGATCAACAATTAAAAGCCAATAAAAATTTGACCAAATTTCGTTCTCCTGTAATTCAAGAGATGTTTCGGTATCTCCCAACAACGTTTTATATGTAAGAAATCAAAATTAGATACTTAGTTCAAGTGTTTAAGTGTAATACTAGATCAAATTATGAAAGAAAGACTTTAAGCTAGGGTTTGCAATCGGAATTTCATTGCGTGGAATTGCGCACAGCTGTTCGAAATTACGCGCAACAGTGCTCGAATTGCGCGGAATTGTGTGGAATTGCGCGGAATTGCGTGGATTATTTTAAAATAATGTTTTGATTTTGAATTTTTTTACAGGGGAAAGTGGAGCAGGGAAAACCGAGAATACAAAGTTTATCATAGAATATTTGTGCAGGTAAATATAGAATATTTGTGCAGGTAAATATAGCATATTTGTGCAGGTAAATATAGAATATTTGTGCAGGTAAATATAGGATACTTGTGCAGGTAAATATAGAATATTTTGCTGGTAAATATAGAATATTTCTACATTTCTACAGGTAAAAATAGGATATTTGAGCTATATATCTACTTGTGAAGAGGGTGAACACTAATATATCTGCAGGGTGACCGCTAAAATATCTACCTTTGTACGGGGTGACCACTAATTTATTTACCTGTGTACATGGTGACCGCTAATATACCTACCTGTGTACAGAGTGACCGCTAAGGTATATACAGGGTGACCGCTACTATATCTTCCCGTGATCAGGGTGACCGCTAACATATCTACCTGTTTACATGGTGATCACTACCCTTATCTACTATGTTCAGAGGGTGAGCGCTAACATATCTACCGTGTGAAGGGTGACCGCTAAAATATTTCTTTGAACAGGGTGACAGCAGTCTAGGAGGTCCACAATGGGGCCTCTTGCAGATTTCACTTCCTTATGATTCCTTATATCTACCTGTGTACAGGGTGACCGCTAAATTATCTACTTGTGTATAGGGTGACCGGTTATATATCTACCTGTGTACAGGGTGACCGCTTATATATCTACGTGTGTTTAGGGTGATCGCTAAGATATCTACAGGGTTCAGTGTGACCGCTGTACTAATACATCTATTTTCGTACAGAATGACCGCTAATATATCTACTTGTGTACAGTGGGACCGCTCATATATCTTCCTGTGTACTCGGTGACCGCTTATATATATTTACCTGTGAACAGGGTGACCACAGATATATCTACCTGTGTACTGGGTGACCGCTTATATATTTACCTGTGTACAGGGTGACTGCTAACATATCTACCTGGGTTCAGCAGCAGATACTGGAAGCTAACAATATTCTAGAAGCTTTTGGAAACGCTAAAACAATCAGAAATGATAATTCTTCAAGGTACAATCTGTTCTTTTCTTATTTTTCCTTTTCTCATAAGATTTTTTCACTATTTTGCGTTCTTGTTTTTTTTCTTGCTTTTGTTATCCAATAACATAATACAAATTGCATTATAATTGGAATTAGGTCAATGCAGTTTTTTTCAAGGAAAGAAATCAAACTCTTTACTCTATATGGAACCAAATTATTATTATTAAGTCTATCTAACATTACCGTAACACACAAAAATCTGATTAAATGTTCCAGTTTATTTTTTAGAGTATTGAATAGACATAAATAATAATTATTGTAGATTTGGTCGGTTCATGCAGGTCTGCTTTGATTCAGGGTTCAAGATTGCAGGATGTGTTATTCAGGTTAGATTAAGAATTGGTATCAGGGGGTCGTAAAATCTGCCAGGTTTTCATAAAATCTGCCAGTGGGTCATAAAATCTGCCAGGGGGTCATAAAATCTGCCAGTGGGTCATAACATCTGCCAGGTTGTCATAAAATCTGCCAGGTTGTCATAAAATCTGCCAGGTTGTCATAAAATCTGCCAGGTTGTCATAAAATCCGCCAGGTTGTCATAAAATCTGCCAAATTGTCATAAAATCTGCCAGGTTGTCATAAAATCTGCCAGGTTGTAATAAAATCTGCCAGGTTGTCATAAAATCTGCCAGGCTGTCACAAAATCTGCCTGGTGGTTATACAATTTACTAGGTTGTCATAAAATCTGCCAGGTTGTCATTAAATCTGCCAAATTGTCATAAAATCTACCTGGTTGTCATAAAATCTGCCAGGTTGTCATAAAATTTGCCAGATTGTTACAAAATCTGCCAGGTTGTCATAAAATCTGCCAGGGGTCATAAAATCTGCCAGGTTGTCATAAAATCTGCCAGGTTGTCATAAAATCTACCAAATTGTCATAAAATCTACCAGGTTGTCTTAAATTCTGCCAGGTTGTCATACAATTTGCCAGGTTGTCATACAATTCAACAGGTTGTCATAAAATCTGCCAGGTTGTCATAAAATCTGCCAGGTTGTAATCAAATCTGCCAGGTTGTCATAAAATCTGCCAGGTTGTGTAATATCTGCCAGGTTGTTATAAATCTGCCAGGTTGTAATGAATTCTGCCGGGTAGTCACAAAATCTACCAGGTTGTCATAAATTCTGCCAGGTTGTCATACAACCTGCCAGGTTGTCATAATTTCTGCCAGGTTGTCCTAAAATCTACCACGTTGTCATAAAATCTGCCAGGTTGTTATAAATTATGCCAGGTCGTCCTAAAATCTGTCAGGTTGTCATAAATTCTGCCAGGTTCTCATAAAATCTTCCAGGTTGTCATAAAATCTGCCAGGTTGTCATAAATTCTGCCAGCTGTTATAAAATTGCCATGTTAACATAAATTCTGCCAGGTTGTCATAAAATTTACCATGTTTTTTTAAAATCTTAAATGGTCGAAGGAAGGGTTTCATATAGATACTTTTTTATGTTTGGGAATATACAGCTGAATCCGATACATATATATATTCCATTTTGAATACATATACCAGAGATAGAAATAGTTCATGCTCAATTCATTTACATATATCTATATATATATATGAAGTAATTATCTGTGTTTGTCTGTCCATTTGTTAGGATATTCGATCATTACTTATGAATCTCTCGACTGATTAAATTTTGATTGGGGAACCGGAACCACTGGAATGATCTTAGCTTGGTTTGAGAATTTTAAGTTCAGTGGATTGCATTTTATAGGGAAAACTCAAGGAAAAGCTGAGTTCTATAAATATATANAACTCTTTATATTCATTAAATATGTAATACAGTGCTCGGTTTATATTTCTTGTATAATCAAGGTCTGCTGCAAATTATATAACTCTGTATATTCATTAAATATGTAATACAGTGCTCGGTTTATATTTCTTGTATAAGCAAGGTCTGCTGCAAATTATATAACTCTTTATATTCATTAAATATGTAATACAGTGCTCGGTTTATATTTCTTGTATAATCAAGGTCTGCTGCAAATTATATAACTCTGTATATTCATTAAATATGTAATACAGTGCTCGGTTTATATTTCTTGTATAAGCAAGGTCTGCTGCAAATTATATAACTCTGTATAATACATTACATAACCTACACACCAGAGGTATATACTATATATTTTCAAGAAAAGGAGGGGGAGGATTTGTCTTGGGGGGGAGGGTTGAAATGAGAAAATGGATATTAGTTAATTTTTTTTCACCCTTGATATTTTTTATCCTAAAATTTATCAACTTTCCCCTATACAATCTTTATATCTAAATACAACGGTTAAAACCCTACACAGTTATTTTCATTCCATTCAAAAGTTCATGTACTCTGCCTGTACACAACTTACAAAGCATTACTCAACCCTGGAAAATTTAATGGTATTTTTTCGAATCCAAAAATAGGTTTTAACAATGTTGTTAACAAAAGATATTTCTCTACTTTTAACATTAAAAAACTTCGACTTTTGTTAACACAAAGCGGGTTTTTTCTTCTAATTTTATCTTAGGATTGTTTCCCCTCCTACTTCATGTTTTATATTATTATTTGTTTTTGTATATATAGAGTAATAAGAATAATATATGTGTTGTACGGTAAATGATGTAATCTCCACCTACTGAGCCCCCCCCCCCCCCCTCCGCCTGAACTGTCACCTAGAGAAGAGCAAGGGTGATGAAGTGGGGGGGAGGGAGGGAGGGGGGATAATCAATCTTCATCCCTAGAATATTGTTGTTCGATGTAAACTTTTTACTTTGATGCAGTAACCATGAGTTTTTTTAATGTCGATGTGTTTCTATTTTCTTTTAAATAATGTTTTTTTTAAAGAAACATTAAAAGTTTAATACCGCTCGTAATGCAAAACTAATACAGATTTAGTATTGGACTTATTTATTTTTATAATGTTATGAAAACATTAATATTTAGCAAAATTTTGATCAGAAATAATAAAAGATCCAAATTATAGTTTGGTAAATTAAAGAAATAAATCTTGGTTTTTCAATCTAAAAATAAAGATAAAATATCTATTTTTAAAGAAAATATTTGTATGAAAAAATATATAATTTTTTTTAAATAAAGATAAAATATCTATATTTAAAGAAAATATTTGTATGAAAAAATATATAATTTTTTTTAAATAAAGATAAAGTATTACCTGTTAGAGCAGTCCAGAATTATCCATCAGAGTTCTAAAGAGAGGAATGGTCGTATTTAGCTCGATCCAAATTTAACCCATTTTCAAGAAAAAGGGAAAAAATGGTTTTAAAATGTTGTTGGAGGGTTAAATATAGCTTTGTTCTCAAAATGTTTTTACATTTTGAATAGAAGAAAGACTTATTGAATTGCAGCACACTCAAAGATCTTCTGTTTCTAGATTTTTCTTGTATAAGCAAGGTCTGCTGCAAATTATATAATAAATTCCAGGATTACCTGTTAGAGCAGTCCAGAATTATCCATCAGAGTTCTAAAGAGAGGAATTATCATGTTTTCTACCAGGCAAACATTAGTTTATTTCAAACTTAAAGGGACACACGAAGTTACTTTTTAAAGATAAAACATTATAGGATGATAAATAGCTTGTTATTTTCTATACGTAAATAAAATAAACATTCATATTTTTCATGCAGCTTGCGTTTTGTAGAACTACGCCAGATTATTTTATAATAATAATAATAATGATAATAATAATAATAATAATATTAATAGTAATAATAATGATAATCCTAAAAATAATAATGGTCAATCATCATTCCGTAGCAATTTTAAGTAGATTTATCTAAGGTTAAGAAGTTCTACTTTTAGGAAAGGAATCCTTGCCACAAGCGCTAATGTTCTAAACCTAATCCTTAAATCTTTGCAACTTGCTGGTGTAAACTATTGAAATTTTAAACTTTGATTATTTGGTCTATCATAATTTACAGTTTGAAATATCTAAGGTGTGCGACATTGGGTTGTAAAGATATAAGGATTGGAAAATCAGAGTTGGTGGCAAATACTGAATTCCTATATGTTTCTTGTGTTTCCCACTGTAACAGTAAATCCTAAAATTACTTAAATCAGAGTTGGTGGCAAATACTGAATTCCTATATGTTTCTTGTGTTTCCCACTGTAATAGTAAATCCTAAAATTACTTAAAAGTTCAGAAACTCCTAAATCCTGGAGACTGTTATGAGGACTTAAATAAAACACTTAAAATATGTTTGACGATACCAAGTTTAAGTCCTCAAAACAGTCTCCTCCTTAATGGTAACCCTGTTTATCCTATCTTTGGTCCAGGATTTAGGAGTTTCTGAACTTTTAAGTAATTTCAAATTAATTAATTAAAATATGTTGGACGATACCAAGTTTTACTTAAATCATGATATGAATGTGGGCTTCAAATTTTGCTTGTTTAATGATATGGTAAAGAAAATAAGTTAAAAAGAAATTATAAATATAAGGAAACAGAGAGTAAAAATACCGTTCAGTGCAGTGTCTTTGAGTTTGAAGTCTCATCCTTTGGGGTAACCCTGTAGTTTATAAAAACGGTGTGCTACAACTTATTGTTGTAACACACCGTTTTATTTCTTATTATTTATTATAAGTATGATTTATAATTGCAGTAATGTATACATTATAATTTTCTCTCTAATTTTATATTATTTGGTGCCACATATTCAATATTCATGTGTACTGTATATACTAAGACTAGGAATGTTGTTTGGCAAACTAAGGAATTATTTGTGCCAGTACAGAGGTACTTCCATCATCTGCAGTCAGACCCATAAACCTTTGGAATAAGAAGACGACTTTTAGGATTTTAAATTGTTAAATGAACATGAAATACAACAATTGCAGGATACACAGACCCCACTTAATTAAATTGTTGTTCAATCTATTGGTAAGGCTTTTTGCCATAACAACTTTTAGTACACAAAAAGAGTGCCTAATTATCGCCTTTCTTTTCCATAGTTTAATGAATCCAATAATAGTAAATCTCTTTAGCGAAAATTGCTTGCACAAATATTATTTATTAATATTAGCTAACCTACACCCCTAACATTCCACGGATTGAAGGTTGGTTGTTTTATTATTTAATGATAATCTTAGTTTATGATTAGAGAGTTAATATCAATGTTTAATCAATAAAATTAGAAAATAAAAAACTTTGGTTTTGAAATTATATTTTAAACTAATGTTCTTGACAGTTGACAGCAGCAGCTCTAAGGGATAAATCATTAGCAGAACAGTTTCAGGTAAAAATATAGGGCTATGAAATACATATACGGCATTTTAACATCATAGACTCAATCCGAATATTTTTTTCTTTTTTCATATTTTCGTAATTGCGGATTTAAACTTTTGGAAAATAAAGGATTTTAACTTGAAAAAAGTAGTAACTGAGAGTGTTGGTGAAAGCTTACAAATTCAATTTTGTTATTTTCTATTGTGTTAAGAAATGAGTGATCGTATGTATGGGTTTCACACATTGCTGATTTTTATAGATTGTTATTCTGTTTGTTTAATGCAGATATATATATTCTAATATTTCTTGCACCACTATCAGAACTTGTGTTTTTGTTTGGCTGAAAGAAACCCACCGAGAAGTTAAGTTCTCTTAGTGATGAAAGAACTCTCATTAAATTAAGAGATATAAATAATTTAGCAACCCTTAGGTTATGAGGATAGATCCAGAAATTAAGGTATGAATAAGTAACTAGGTTTAAAGGAACAAGAACGGGAGCAAGGTAAAACAGGATAGGTAAGAAAAGAAATCAGGTTTAAAGGAATAGGAAAGGTACAAAGGTATAACAGGATAGGTAAGGAAAGAAACCAGGTTTAAAGGAATAAGAAAGGTACCAAGGTATAACCGGATAGGTAAGGAAAGAAAAAATGAATTCACTTTTAAGTGGAACCAACCATATTTGAGCCGCGGCTCAAATTCTCTAAATTAGGTCTCAGGTGTAAATGAATAAGAAAGGTACCACGGTATAACCGGATAGGTAAATAAATAAAACTGAACAAGCCACTGGAAAAGTTGAATCAGCAAATGTTAACCCTGGAACTGAACTCAACGTTAGTCCTAATTGTTAAGGTTCGTACCCCTGAAAGTTATCAGTACCTAAATCAGTCTGGGTGTACTACACTAGATGGAATTGATGACGCGGACAAGTTTGATACTCTTCGTCTTGCTTTAGAGATAGTTCAGATACCCAAGGAAACAAAACTCATATAAAACATCAACATTTAATATCCATTTTAATATAGGGAGTGGGAGGGGGGGGGGGTTATTAAATGATTTTTTTTTGGATAAATAAGATATTTGAATTGGTGCCGATTTGTTTTTCTTGTTTCACAGACATTTACCGAAAATAATCGAAATAATTTCATCTGTGTAGTTAGTGTGAGTGTGCAGTGTGCACTGGTGCAGGTTTGTCTGAAATGTTTTTTCCTTAATATTTAAGTTTATAAAAAAAATTAAGATATCTACGTTTATTAAACTTTTCATTACATTTTTCAAATAGAAATTTATGCTTTGTGTACTGTGCAGCTGAGAAAGTTATAAGTTTAATCTGCAGGGGAGTTTGCCGTCCGAATCAGGATTGTCCGTAAACCGTACTGCACTAATCGCAATAGTTGAACACCTGATTCGGACTCGATCTTCCCCTGCTTACACTTTAGACTGCAGATATAAGATGGATAAATTTCTTTTTAAAAATGTTTTAGTTGTTTGTTTTATGTAATAGCATGTTTTTACAAAGTCCAAATCTGTGCAAGTGCCGTGGTGCAGCCTTACATGTTTTCATTCTTTTATTTTATTTTGTATATTTAGTTGAAGATTAACCTAGTTAAGTTTAAATCAAAGGTTTATACAAACAAAAACTGTTAAACCCATACAACGCCGCAGAATATAAAGATAATTATTATTTTTCCCTTTAAATAATTGTAATTAACTATCATAATGCAATCCTTCAGAATTTTCATACAGTTTGAATATAAAACTGACATTTAACTAGAAGACAAAACGGATGTGGGCCGGAAGTCATCTGGGTAAATGTGAAGCGGAAAAGTCGTTTTGTGCCGTCATTTGTGGTTGGGAAGTAAAACGGATGTGGATTGCCTTCCTCCCCTCATCCTCAACATAATAGTTCGTTTGACTAATTAGAGTTTTGGAAACTTAGGAGAGCACAGATTCTTTGTTTGCCGTTATTTCTGCGATTCTTTGGCTGGGTAACCTTCAATACAGGTATAAACAATTGCTAATATTGAATTTATAGAGTTAAGAACAAAGTTTAAGCTTTTGATGTTGACCTGGATTGGTTCTTGTTAATTTAATGAATAATTATGTTGGTGCATTGTTGAGATTTCTCATGTTTCGTTTGTTGGGATTTAACTACGCGTCTTTTTTTTTGTATTTCAGAAAGGTATTCGGATTTTTCTAAAAAAAAGTTTAAACCTGATCTGCACAGCCAGTCTGGCGTGTTTTGGATCAAATAGACAGAAAGAAAATCGAAATGTTGGCTTTGTAAGATTGGATCTATGATGAATTTAAAAAAATTGTTATTTTGAAAATTGCATTTTTTACTATGTGAGTTATATTGACATCTAGTAGAAAGCATTTTAATTCTACATTTAGTGAACCTTTGCAAGTTTTTGAATCTTTGATTTGATAAAAGATTACTCATGGTGCTGATTTTGTCTGTGTAGGGGTGAAAACAATGATGAGTGTTCCTCTGACAGCGCTGCTTTAACTGCAGAAGACAAGAATATACTGACAACAATCTCTAGTTTACTAGCTGTAGATTATGACCAGCTAGTACAGGTATTAGATGAATCAGGGTAGGGAGGGAGGGGGGATATTCTGACAACCATCTCTAGTTTATTGGAAAATAGTTCTTGGCTGTTCTGTTAGTTTTTCCACAGAACTTCAATAATGAAAACAAAACATTTCAATTTAATAGATTTAAGGGTGTGATTTTATCTGATGCAAAATAGTTAATACATTTGTTAGAATAACTAGAGATTAAAATAATTTTCTGACATGTACACAACAAATATCAAAACATATTAAAACATATATTAAATTAGTTTTATATGAATAACAATTCGGGTTATAAAACATTGTAATGTAATTTTCAAAAAGAGAGTTTAGTAGTATATTTTTAACTATACTTTGAGAGTTTGATCGTAAATACTGTAATGCGCTCATATTGAAAATGTCAGGTTGATAGTTAAGAGATCTTTCAAAGTTTCCAAGCTTTTAAAAAATATTTTCAAAAGGGGAAGGAAGAAGTTTAATTGTTAGTTAATTTTTAATTACTAGTAAGAATATTTTTTACTCTTGACAATGCAAAGACTGCACTGGATGCTTTGTTTTTAACCGACTTAAGATGATGGTTCCAGTTAAGATTTTCGTCTAAAATACTTTAAAAGATTCATTTTACATCCAGCTCCTACTCTATCTTTATCATCATTTGCTTTAAACCAATCTTCTATTTAAGAGAGCTCAAAATTTTCCAAATCATACAACGTAAGCTTTTTGAAGAAAGTTGCGGTTTTTTATCATCAACAAAAAGAATTGTGAAAAAAGTAGATGCTTTAGGAAGGTCATTGATAAGAATCAAAAATAAAATTGGTCCTAATATCGACCCTTGTAGTACACCACAAGAGATTTCTTTATGTGAAGAGTCAACACTCTTGATTGAAGTAAATTGTTTTCTTCCATTTAATAATTTTTGAACCATAAGTTAGAAATCCCAGATGAACCAGGCTAGTGTGAAAGGGGGATGGGGTTTAGGGGATCGAAAGTAGATATTAAGAGTTAAAAATTGAAATGATCAGAACAAAATACATTATATTGTGGAATCTTTAGTCTTTACGTTTGTTGGTATGCGACAGATTTATGTAAAATTTATTATATTAATAATAATAAAATATTAATGAATTAACATAATAAATGGACGAATTGTTTTTATTACTCACAAAAAACTATAAGATTTAAGTTTTATCTTTCTGAAGACGAAGTTTAAAATATTTTGAGTTTTAAGAAGTTTAAGATTTTAAGATATTTTGAGTTGGCTGAAGATGTAATTTCAAGTTATCCTATATTTATAAAGTGACAAGTCCGATTCAGAGCGGACCCTTTAAACTTTAGAACAACAATTAGAACCACAATAGGAAAATTTCCGTTTTACAAATCAAACCAAACTTGAAAACATCATTTATAGCAAGAAAAACGAGGTGAATCTGATATGCCATATTATAAACAAAGGATCATTTGAAGTTACCCCTTTAAAGGGAGTGTTCGCGAAAAATGAAAGAGGATAAAGGCTTAATGCGATANACTTATACCGAAGAACGTAGTGTCCATACAAATTCAGAAAGATGCAACATACGACTTAGACCGTAAAAAAATCTATTTAATTCCAAACAAATCATTCAGATATTACAACCATATAGTCATCGATTATCTTTCGCCACATTTTTATATAGTTTATTTCTCATAATATGTTTTAATTGTTATGATCTTAGAGTTACTTATAAAACATTTATTCCTGTTTCGAGGATTTTTGGTAATGAAGACGACATTTTAATATTTTCCAGGAAAGCTCGAAAACAAGTTATAAGCTAAATATTATTTTAAAAATAAAATCAAAACATATTATGAAAAATCAACTATATACAAATGTGGCGAAAGATAATCGATAACTATAGGTTATAATATCTGAATGATTTGTTTGAAATTAAAAAGATTTTTTACGGTCTAAGTCTTATTATGCATCTTTCTGAATTTGTATGGCCACTACGTTCTTCGGTATTAGTCGTTTTTAACAATTTTCTCCTTATAGACGCAACAGCTAGAAGTAAGATTAGTAGCGATCAAAAGCGCTTTTTTATCGCATTAAGCCTATACCCCCTTTCATTTTTCGCGAACACTCCCTTTAAAGTTTTTTTTTTAGGTCAGTCATAACATATTAAAGTACTTGATGACCTAGATTATAGTTTCGACGACTGATATATAAGAAAGTTTAATATGTATAGGTTGCACTAGTTCGTCAAATAAACATCAGTGGAAACGTAACAAACATTCCTTTGAAACTCCAGGTAAACAAACTTGTACTTTACCTAGAATCTTTTAGTCAGGGGTTTATATTTTGTTGAACAATTTAGTCCTATGGATCTGGATCCATTGGATCCGCAACATTTTGTCTCCTGGATCCTGATCTAAATATCAACAAAAAACTGTAAACAACAGTTTTGCTCTCAAAACCTAAATCTGAATAGTTGTGAAAAAACAAATCCTTATCTCTGAATGGTTCATGGATCCGGCCGGATACCTTTTATCAGGTCGGAACCTCATCCGCAATAAAATGAAATAATCCAAAGCACTAATAAAATCATTTCTCCGTACTTTCGTGCTAAACTAATGAAATCATTTTGCATGAAAAAAATGATGTTTTGCTGAAAAACTCAGGGGAAAAACACAGTAAAATAACTAGCTAAATAAAGTTTTCGTAAAAAGCTTTCTTTCTTATTAATAAAAACTGTACATTTCTATTTCACTGCTGTTTATTACTATTGCACTGNTTTATTTTTAATATTCATAAATTGAAAGTTGAAAAACATATTTATTTCGTCCACTAAATGAAAATGAGCTTGATTATTTTATTAGGGTCGGAGCAAACTCAATTCATCGGCATCTTGGACATCTTCGGGTTCGAAAACTTTGAGTCCAACAGCTTTGAGCAGCTGTGCATCAACTACACGAACGAAAAGCTGCACATGTTCTTTAACCACTACGTGTTCAAGATAGAACAGGAGACTTATAAAGAGGAGCAGATTAAGTTCAATCATATTACGTTTACAGATAATACAAGGTCAGTATCGATAATAAATGTGGAAAACAACGACTTGAGACATTATTTTTTTTAAATTCTTTCCATCAAGTGATAGTGATGTCATTCTGTTAGTAAAACAAGGAATAATTTTTTTGATATTTTATCTTTCTTCATTAAGTTCTATTTTATTTATTCTTTATAAAAAATTTCCAGCTTTTTTTCTTCTTATACTTTTTTAGATATTGTTTTTAACCATATTCCATCTAATATATATGAACATAAAAACAGTTACTGTCGTCATTATAAGAAAAACATACAAGTTTCACAACTTTTGGATAGGTTTAATAGAAGTACATATAATTCATATCTTTGTTTTAAACTGTTTTTATAGTGAGACAATTTTCTAGTAAATCTAAACCCATGGCAGTTCATGATTTTGAAGATTCTCGATCTAATCATGTTTGGTTCCTGATATCTTAGAGAGATTAATCCAAACGTTGACTTTACATATAATATCATTAGATCTTTGCGATAATAAAAAAAAATAGAAAAAAATTGTATCGGTTTTTTATTTCTGTAAAAGTACAAATAAATATCTATTTGTTCAATTTTTTTTGATCTTTTTTATTTGGAATTAGCTTTGAAGGAATTGAGTATTTTTCACAAACTTAAATTTTCTAATTCCAATATCTTTGCAACCTGATGGTGTACACCTAAGATAATTTTAGCTTAAACTATTTGTTATAACAGAATTCATAGTTTGAAATATCTAATGTCAACGACATTGGATTGCTAGAATATAGGGGTTACAAAATCAGAGCTTGTTGCAAAAACTCAATTCCTTTGCAGACATTTACTTTATTCTACATTATTATGATAAGTATGTGTTTTATTTATAGAATTTGAAAACCATCAGGATTATGTAAAGGTAAAATATTGTGTTTACTCAGAATTTGAAAACCATCAGGGTTATGTAAAGGTAAAATATTGCATTAATCTGAATGCTTGTTTTGGTCTTATTTGTTTGTTTTAAAAAAACGCCAATATTCCAGTTTCAGACAAACTACTGTCATGAATTCCATGGTTATGAATACTGAGAATGTTATAAAGGAAATGAGTCTTTGACTCGAACTCAAATTTTCTAATCCCTATTTCTTTGCAACCTGATAGTGTAGACTTTTGATTTTTCAAACTTTGGTTAATTAATCCAACAGAATTCATAGTTTGAAATATCTAAGATATACGACATTGGGTTGCAAACATATAAGGTTTAGAAAATCAGAGTTTGTGGCGAAGACTCAATTCCTTTGCTTATTTTCCCACTTCTTTATTACTCTTCTTTGTGCACAAATTAAACGAAGCGAACTGATTTTTTTGCTGCTTATCTCTTTCTAAAGTTCTATTATTTTATTTAATTTCCCTTAATGTTTGAGTCTAAAAGTAGGGAAAAGGGATGTAGGAAACACACAGGGAAGGGAACATGGGAGGGGGGGGGGTGAAGAAGGGAAATAAAGGAGTTGGGAGTGAGGAGGGGATAACCTAGATAGTTTGGTTTCCAAGTTAAGTAATTGGGTGAAGCAAATTTAATCTTGAACTTACTTTCTTACAGTCAATTTTATAGAACAACAGGGGATTTACAGGACAAATTTATGTTTTAAAGGACAATAACAGGTTTAAATATGATAAAGCTAGTCGCTGATATATTTATTTATTTGTATAGAAAATGTTCTAGATTTATTTATAAATATGTTAGCTATAGCTGGCCAAACGGCTGGACAAAATTGTCTGAAGTATTTAAGTAAACCCATGGGTACCCTTGAGGTATTACACTGCAAAGTAGACAGAATGAGAAAGTAAAATTTATGCGACCTCACTGGTACAACTTTGTGACCTCCTCGTAGCCCCTTTAGTATTGATTTTATGCATAAATGTAAAAAACAAATTTATTTGGTCAGAGATATACACTTCAAATCCTTTTTGTTCTTTTCAATAACTCTTCAATTTCATAAGTTATTATAGATGAAAACTCAATCATTCAAAAATTGACCCATAAACTCATTATATTAACAATTTACTAGCTTACAAAATTTCTAGCTCATAAACTCATTAGTTTAATAATTGACTGGATCTGAAACTGGCCTCCCTGCCCTTGATTTATGATGAAAAGGATTGTTTACAAAATGGATTCCATCAAGGAAACATTAAACCTTAATATATCATAGTCAGGCAGGCAGGAAGGTAGGCAGGCATACAGGCAGGCTGTCAGTTGTTAGTCAGGTAGGCAGTCAGCCAGTAAGCCAGACACTGAAACAGACAAGTCAACAATTTTTTTTGCTTGTTTAGGGAGATGATAGAAGAATGTGGGATAAGGAGTTTGGTATTCGACATTATGCTGGAACGGTAGTTTATAAGGTATGTAGTAGTAAAATACGGAAAACTTTAATACCATACAATTTTCCAACTCCAATTTTTGTCAAGGGGAAAGAGGTAAAATTTATGTGTAATTGCTGTAACGACTTTGCGACATCATGACAGAAAAAATCAAACTTGATTGCATATGTATAAGGATTTTAACATTCTTTTCTTATCAAGAAGAAGAATCAAAGTTTGGAAGCATCCGCTTTTTTAATCTAAAATAAAAGGAGCTCAACACCTGTCTAGACTTTGGAAATTTCCAACTTTGAATTATCAAAAGTCTGACTTGGAAATATCCAAAGATATAGGGATCATAAAGTTAGAGTTTGAGGCAAGTGTTCAGTTTTTTCAACTTCAATCGTTATCAATTTCATTCCCTCTCTTTCGTTTTTTTCCAGTCAAAGTAAAATAATTTTTGTGTTTTATACATATATCTTTTTTTCAGGTTGAAGGTTTTGTCTCTAAGAACAGAGATAGTCAACAAGATGTTTTCTTTGATATTCTCGGCAAGTCACAATCCAAGTTTGTTCTAGAACTTTGTGAATTCAGGTGAAATTCCATTTAGAAAACAAAATCAGGGGTATATACTATATATTATATATTTATATATACTAGGCTTTTACGGCGCTTTGCACCCAAAATAAAATTTCGCGGATTTTATGAACAAATTTGTGGATTTTTAAAATTTTGAAAAATCGAATTTTGTCAGTCGCAAAGATCCCCCAAAAAATTTTGGCCCGATTAGTTGAGGTTTATTGGACACAAACAGACAGACACCCAGACAAGCAAAGTATATACATAGATTTATAATCATCATTACTTTTTATCATTGTTATTTTTCATAATTATTATTAATATCATCATCATCATCAGTATTCATTATTATTATTATTATTTTCATCTTCATCATGAGGCTGGGCACGTTCCAACTTTTTAAAGCCATTTCGTTAACAGTTAATTCCAACCGTTTTTAAAATTAAATCTTAAGTAGCCATCAGTATTAGAGGGTAAGAACGAAACTTCGTTTCATTAACGGTAGTTTCCGGGTTTTTCAAAGTTACCGTTAGTAAACGATCTTGATTTTATTCACGGCGCCCTTTAATGAAAAATGTTCAATAGTTATTACAGAATTGACGTCGTGAAGTGCCGAAAAAATTGTGGTTCATGAAATTATTAACGGCGAAGCCGTTACTGGTCTATTACAGAAGTGACTGCATTAACAGTGCGAAGCGGTGAAAAAAATCATAAACATTAAAACATGTTGATATTTTTTTACAACTTTAAATCAAAACGGTTTTTGCCGTTCGTTAACGAACTCGTTCGTTTATTTTCGAAAATCTCCGTTCCCCAGTCCTAAATTCATCACTATTAGTTATTATTATTATTATCATCATCATCATTATTATTTACTAGCTTAGGAACCCAGCGCCATGCCAAGGTTACTATAAGTTACTCCCACCGTTTACCCGCACTTGAAACGATTTTAACTGGGAAACAAAATTTTCGACATTAAAGTCGACCAACTTAATTTAGAATTGCAAGACCAAGCTAAGAACATTCCCATGGATCTCCCGAGTTTTCCAAATCGCAAATCGGTCAAGGGGTTCCTGAGTTTTGATCGGACAAACAAACAAACAGAGATTACAACATTTTATGTAAATAAGATAATTATTATTTTTGGTATTATTATTATCATTATTATTAATATTATTATAGGGATCTGTTGTCCAAGGTTGCCCAACTAGGAGATGTGAAGGGAGATGGATCATTTAGTAAAGGAACAGTAAAGAGAATGACGAACAGGAACTTAAACATTTGAAAATTTCAAAATGTTTTTTTTATAGCATTGAAATAATTTCTTCCAGCTATCTTCCCCCATCATATTCATTTTAATTTTTGAAAACAAACAATGTACTAGCCATTAGGGTTTTGGCTCTTTTTAATATTCTGAATCTGATATTTAAATGTTACGGTTTAGAGCTAAACCAACGGTTAGTGATGCCTTCCGATTACAGTTACAAGTTCTAGTTGCTGTTTTAGGTAATTATATGTTACAGTTACAAGTTCTAGTAGAAGATCTATTGATTATAGTAAAGGATATGAATTTGTAATACGTGTTTATCATTTATATTTTAAGGCCAGCTCATTAAAAAAAAACAGACCACAATTTCTAAAAGTTAGGGAGCTTTTTTTAAAATGCAAAAAAAAGCGGAAAACGATAAAATTTAAGTGTTTGATATATACAATTAATAAATTGTGACACAGACTGATTTTACATCCATTTTTCAAGGACTATCCCTGAGCCTGTTAAATTTATTAAGTTGGCACCGTAAACAGATTTGTTTAGAAAACACGAATCCATGGTATGTGAGATGCATCAAACCAAACATGGATAAATCTCCAGGACTATATGATCAGAAACTAGTGCTGGATCAACTTAGGTATCATTATTATTATTATTATTATTATTATTATTTTATATATTATTATATTGTTTGATATTATTATTATTACTAGGTATCTGGGAATGCTTGAGATAATAAGAATAAAAAAACAGGGTTTCCCTGTACACTATCCATTCAGGGACTTCAATATAGTTCATCTTTTTCTAGTAATGATTATGGCCATTTTTTCCTCGTACTTTAAAAACCTAAACATTTTATGGAATGCGATTTATTTTAAAAGTCTGTTTTTCATTGCTATGCATTATTTTTCAATTAGGTCCATGAATCTTTCCTGAGGTCATATAAGGTATTACACAAATTGTGTCGGATAGGTTCTGTCAGTAATAAACAATATGAAAGTTATAATATATAATTCTAGCTTGGGGAACCAGCGCTGCCTAGTGCCCAATCAAAAGTTACTCCCGCCTTTTACCCGCACTTGGCCGATTTTACCGGGTAACTGAATTTCGCTATGAAAGTCGACCCACTTACCTTAGCATCTTTAAACCAAGTTAAGAACATTCCCGTGTGTCTCCCAAGTTCCCCAAGCAAAATTTAAGGTAAATCGGTCTAGGAGTTCCTGGGTTCTGATCGGTCAAACAAACTGACAGACAAACAAAGATTACAACTTCATATGTATAGAGATAGAGAAAGAAACCCCTGAACACCTTTTTGGAAAACTTTTTTAGTTTCGGCGAAGGCTGTTTTCAAACTTTTTCTATATTAAATTATAGACTTATTTCGTACACAAAAGTAAAATGGTAAAATATGATAAAACAAAAACAAGAATTAAGTATAATATAGAAATAAAGTTTCTAGTCGGAACATACAAAGGTAATCATGGTTGCGATCTCATTATCAACAAAATTGTTAAGAACAAAATTATCATCTATAACTTAAAGTAATTCATGAAGAATGGGTAATTTCCATTCTTGGTCTAAAGGAATCTGATTGCATAACTTATTTTTTCACACAAAATTTGTTTAGATTTCTAGATTTTACATTACAATCTTGTGCAATAGATTAAGATTTTTACATAAAACAGTTCTTAAATCATGATTACTTAGATCTACTAAAAGTGGAATACATAGCTAATGACAATTTGATAAACTGGTCACAAATTGTACAAAACGAGTGCATAACACTGTTTGAATATGAGGAGCATTAGAAATGGGCTCAATGAAATATCTTTGGGTTTCTCTTGGTAGATCAAATAAGATGCGAATATTAACGTTCCCTGAATTCAGGAGTTTTTGAACATCCCTACTGTATAAATCCCAGAGAATGTAGCTATGGAAATCACAATTATATATATCATACAATATTAACACATTGAATGTATTAGCATAATAGCATAATGAAATTCTCGATTAATAGAATGTATCTTAGAAATAAAGAAATTGGGTCTTTGCCACAAACGCAAATTTTCTAATTCCTTTATATTTACACTTTGACGGAGTACATAATTGATATTTTAAACTTAGATTATTTAATATATCAGATATCATAGTTTGAAATATCAAAGGTCTACGACATTAGGTTGCAAAGATATCTAACCTATGAGTTTGGTGCCAGTGCCGACTCGGTGCCGGTTCGGTGCCGGGACTTAGAGTTTTCATAAATTGAAATATCAAAGGTCTACGACATTGGCAAAGATATAGGAATTAGAATATCAGAGTAATTGTGGCAAAAACTCAATTACTTCAGCACGTTTAAAGCTAACATCTTTTGACATAGAACCATTAGACTGTAGTGTGTTGACAAGGTGTTTAATTTCACTTACATATGATAAGGGTTAATTATAAAGAATCGGGCAAATATTATCAGGATGCATGACAGGGTTACTGAAAACTATACATAATGTTTTTGATTTGGAAACATCTATATTTGTACTTAACTTTAACTGAAGAAAACTAGCAAATTTTTCACAAAAATTAGTCATTAACTGTAGTCCAGATCGACTCGGAGATAATAATATAATGTCATCCGCTTAAACCCAGATTCCTAGGTATAGGCAATTTAGTTGACAACCAACTTTCAGATTTCAAAGTTGAACAATGAGATCCTTTATATAAACACAAAACAATATAGGCGAGGATACTGCACCCTGGCGTACACCATTTTTCCATTCAAAGGTTGTAAAATAATATCCCCCCCCCCATCTCACATTACACATTTGATATGAGTAAATATGTACTAAGCCTTTTAATATCAAAGGTGATATTTTTCTTTCCAAAAGTTCTGGAAATAGTTTAGCCCAAGAAACCATGTCAAATGCTTTACTTAGGTCCATTGAACAGGCAAATATAGGCCTGCATGATTTATTACAGTGTTTATCGCCCAAGTACACACACATAGATGTGCTTGAAGTGTAGCTCATCTGTTGCTAGTTTATCCCCTTCGAGAATAATGATAAGCCAATCAAACCATCAATAGCATGGCTCTGTAGTTTGCACTTGTGTTCCAGGAGTAATTTAAAAATTATGACTTGAAAAAATAAATCTTAATTATCGCACCTTGAAAATTGATTGATAAGTTTTGTGAAAAAATATTTTAGATTTGACAAGTATTGAAGTTGATTGTAATCTAGTGATTTTAAAACAAGATATGTTTGTATCAATATCAAGAACAGATTCAAGATACCTAAAGATGAGAAGGAAGGAGTCAGGTATACATATCTAAACACTAGTAAAGGGACTGTAAACGGTGCCACAACAAACTCCTGAAACTTCTAAAATACAAACTCCTAAAAATCTCTTTTAACTGTGAATTAAATTTTAGTGAATGTTTCACACTATATTTAATCAAGTTGTCTTGTGTAAATGATCAAATTCAAATCTAAATATTTTCTATTTTAATTATACAATTACTAATGTACCAGATACATACAGATTATGCAAACAAGTGTATACATAAGTTACCATCTATATCATTAGGAAATAGTTCCAGCACTTCATTCAAGAAGTTGGATGTCTTTGGAGTTAGATTTTTCTTATTCCTTGCACGAACAATTGCTTGCCAAGAAGCTTTAAGGCTAGGCAAAGCAAACACCATGTTCGCATTGGTCTAATCAACTTTATTTTGAATTTATCCAGGGCCAAAATTGGGGTTCTCAGTACTACGTTTTATATATAGATACAGATTCAGGCTTACATAATATATGTTAAAAAAGAGAAGACGACTTTCAAAACTTTTAATTTTTTAAATCTCTGTTTAAATGCTGATCTTGTTTTTTACTATAATACTGAACTTCCTTCTCATTTCAATTTTAACATTAAGAGAACATTAATTTTTACCCAATTACTGATATGCCTTTGCAACCTTGTAATTCTTAGCGTTCAGTTTACAACTAAGAGAGTAAAAAAGACAAACTTGTTTGGTTGCATGAAAAGGTTTCCAACCAAAATAAAATTTTGGGCTCACTTATAAAATCATAGAAAAGGGTCAAATTTACTGATAGAGCTGTATGACCTCGTATGAGAGAGAATAAAATTCTTATGTTGCATTTAAGCTATTTAAAACATGTTTGTCTTTCTCAATATCCCTTAAAAAATAAGAGTTATTTTATTAAATTATGTTAAATTTTCATCTGATTTGAAATATATTACTTATATAGGTTTATGCTGCGGGCTGAAGGAATGGCGTCTACAGAATGGCAGATTGGAAAAACTAAAGTATTTCTGAGAAGCTGTGTTCATGAACCATTAGAGGAGAAACGACGACAAGTTCTCAGGTTAAACAAAAAACATTTTAAATGAATTGTTCATAACGGATTGTAGTCTTTGTCAGAGGTTGTAATCTAGCACCACATTCATCCGTACATGTTTTTTTTATTCTGAGAAGAGGGCTGACAATATTCCAGCTCCCTAAGGAATTCTTAGGCCTGAGAAAATAGAGTGCAGGAGTTCTTCTGATAAACTGGAATGACTTACAAGAATCAAGAATTCTTTTGTCGAAAATATCCACTCCTAGCCTAGCCTTTCTTATTCCATGTGTTATTATTAATTCTGAATTCTGACAATGCATCCAATCCACAGAATTTTCAATCCCCTCTTAGCAGTGTCTTTTATTATTCCAACCTGCAAGAATACATCTGATAAATATGAACGATTTGGAGCAAATAGCTGCATCAGCAATTCTCAAGAATTCCTAAATATACTTCATAAGAGAAATTTGACACCTCTGCATGGATCACACACAGTAACTTTCTATTATACTTAATTTGAAATTTCGGGCGCCAAGATATCAAATTACAGAAAAGTATGAAAAAGAAAATTGCCAAAAAGAGAGCTGAAGCTCTGGAAAATATCCGGAATATTAGGGAGAAACAAAGACAGACATATGTGTCAAAATGCATATTTCCTTTGTCTACAAAGGATTAGAATGCGTAGATCTACAAATGAGGAATTCAGAAAACAGATGTATGATCAGCTAAAAAAAAAATTGAGCAGCCAAAGCTCTTTTAAAAAAAAAAAATTGTCAAAATTTATATTCCAAAACCACCTCACACAATACTAATACTTATATTAATAAACTATAATCAATACTTAAGATTTTGAGGAAAGGTGGGGAATAGTAACAGATTTTATGAAAAAGAGATTACACTTTGATTTCTTTAACCACCTAGGCTGTTTTCAAAATTTAATTGATAGTATTTTAATCTAGAAGTCGGTGCAAGTCTGATTTTTACAAACTGAATTTTTTACTTGGGTGAAGATAGTTAAATAATTTTTGTTTCAAATGAAAAATATATAATTGGATTTTATAAATAAATTTATTCTTCTCATATAAGAAAAATCCGGAAAATTTTAAATAATTAAAATATTACAAATGAATTAACTCCTTTCTCTAACGATGTTAGGTTCTTTCCTAAAGGCACTTTCCTAAGGACGTTTTTTCCAAATGGCAACCTCCCAAATCTGCAAGTGGCAGCCTCTTAATTTGAAAATTGATGGTTGGGAAATTCCACATTTGAGAAGTTACTACATGAGCAATTGTTCCTTGGGAAAATGCCTTAGGGAAAGTACCCAACACCGATCTCCAACTACCAAAAGATCGGGAATTGATTCAACAAACAGATCGATATTTTTATTCTGAATTATTTAGATATTGGATTTTTTATTAAAATGATTTTATATTTAGGAGGTCAGCAATCCTGATCCAGAAGATGTATAGAGGCCGGGTGTTGAGGTTACGATATATCCGCATGGTTGCTGCAGCTAAGAGAATACAAGAATATTTCTTCTCATGGAAATTCAGGTCTTTACATAATTTTTTTCAATGATTTTTGCTGGGATGATCTACAGATTCTTTCCTCCTTTAATTTTTTTTTGAATTTGCCAGATGCAACATTTCAGTACCAAGGCTGTTATTTTTCAGCCCAAGGTACAGGAGTATATTTTTTCTAGGAAATCATTTCCCAAAACTTAAATTTTGTAAACGTACTTATGTTTTGGAGGATATTTCCTCCATCTTTCCTTTCCTTCCCCCCCGGCCCAAATTGTATTTAAATAACATGGTTTTTGGTCTTATTTCATGTATTTCTCATCTTTAATTTTAAACTTCTGTGTACCTTTATAATTTAATAATCTCTTAAAACTATTTATTTATTTTAGGTTTCAGTTTATTCAGCAAAGAAGAGCAGCAGTTGTTATTCAAGCACATCTTAGAGGTAATTCTTGTTGTACTGTACTGTACTTAACTATATTCAAGCATCTTAGAAGTAATTCTTGTTGTACTGTACTGTACTTAACTATATTCAAGTACATCTTGAAAGTAATTCTCGTTTTACTGTACTGTACTAAGCTATATAATTCAAGTACATCTTAGAGGTAATCTCGTTGTACTGTATTGTACATTATTATACTATGGATTCAAGTACAACTTAGAGGTAATCCTCGTTGTGATGTATTGTACTATACTATAAATTCAAGTACATCTTAAAGGTAATCCTAGTTGTACTGTACTAAACTTAATATTCCAGCACATCTTAGAAGAAATCCTCGCTGTACTGTGTTGTTAGAGGTAATCCTTGTTGTACTGTACTCTACTTAACTAAATTAAAGCACATCTTTGAGGTAATCCTTGTTGTATTGTACAGTACTATTCTATATTCAAGTACATTTTAGGGTGTTACTTGCGGTATTGTACTGTACTATACAATTATTAAGTACATTTGAAGGTAATCATCATTGTACTGTACTATATACTATACTATATTTAAGCACAATTTTAATTGTTTAAACTGTACTTGCCTGTAAAAATGTGTTCAGCCATTTTTCTATCAATCTGTAATTTATGTCGTTTTCGGTCATGGTTTGTAAATATTGATTCTTAGGAATGTTTGCGCGTGAGGTTGCTGTAGCACTCCGTGAGGCGCGCCGGGTTGAAGAGGAACGGCGGAGGCAGGAACGTTTGGCGGAGGAGCGGGAGCGGCGGCAACTGGAGGTGACGCGAAGCAAGGCAGATGATGAAGAGGAGAAATATGAATCATTCTGCGGTTTAGCGGATTTAGATGGAACAGGAGCAGAGCTAGAAATCAACAAGGAACAAACCAATATTATTATAGATTCCATTCCCCCCCCCCCTTCATAAGCTGGGGGGGGGGGGATCACAGTTAGTGTTAGGGTATTTCATTAAGATCAATTACCGCGGTTTTCTAACCTTATCATCCCTTTCAATTATTTTCGAAATTTAGTTTTTTTAACAATATTTTTTATTTCCAAAGAAAATGAGTTTTTGTCAATAACTTTTCAATCCCCCTATATCTTTGCAACCTCGTGATGTAATCCTTTGATGTTTCAAACTTAAATTATTTAATTAACAGAAACCCTTCGTTTGAAATAAATGACTTTACTGATGATTATTTATGAACCGCATATTAAAATTTGTCTAATATTATCGAGTTTGTTTTATAAATTGCAGGAAGTTAAACCAATGCATACAACTAGAAAGTTTACAATGTTGGGAGTTAATTTATTTTTAGGGGGAGGGGAAAAACTTTCGGCATTTTGTTAAAAGAAATAGTTACGAATATTTAAAATGCGTAATTACTAATAAAAATTAGTAACAAATTTTGAAAACATAACTACTATTTCTAAATTAATAATTGTACTTAAAAACAAAACTTAATTTTATAAGTTAATCCCTCTCCCTCTCGCCTTTCATATAGAATTCAAATCTAAAAGATCTGGGTTGATATTTTACTAACTCTGTTACACAAGTTGGACATGAAGAGAGCCTAAAGTGTCGTTTCCTATAAACTTTGGTCACCCCCCCCCCCCTCTCCCCCTCCTTTAAATTTAAATGTCCGATCAAAATTAAAACTGGCGTAAAATAGCATTACGTCTATTAATGAACCTCTCCCATTGTTATTGGGCATTTTTTTAAATCGAGTACCAACAACTCATTTCAGTTTCCAACATTCATGTTTCCAGCAAAACTATCTGCAGCATGGAATTCTAATATATTGAATAATACTGTTTGTTTGGTTTAGTTAGCTCAGCTGGCTGATAAAATTAACTCCCAGATATTATCAGCTGATGATCAACAGGAATACATCAATCAATTTAATCAGTCATGGGTTAGGTCAGGATCAGGAGTAGATAACTGATAGTGAAATGTGTGCTTGGCATAGATAAAGATAGATTGCGAAGACGAAATTTTTCACGTTGAAAGGTTGTATAAATGTACAGAGATGTTTTAAAGATATTCCTATTATATAGATTAACTAGGTCGGTTGTGAACATTGGCTGTTCTTATGTCATTGAGTACTTGTGGTGTAATGAGTTCTGTAAAAAGAAATTTAAGTTAGTTTAGTCCTTCTCATGTCCTTCTTCAATTCTCGTCAATATGATTGCTCAGTGAAATAATTTGATATTCTCAAAATAAAATTCACTCCTGAGTGGTTTAATAATTATGAAATCCATTAAAACACCAAACCACCCCGCTTATCATTGAAGTACACTTTGACCCCTAGAAGTATGAGTTCGTGGACTGTACAATTCTTGGTGATTTTGCGTACATAAGCTATCTATGTTTATTTATTTATCTATGGTTCTTGGTCTGTGTAAACGTAATTTATAGAGTGCAGAATGCTCGAATAGCAACCGTATACCCTTAAAACCAATTTCAAAAATATGCAAGATAAATAGATTTTCAGAATGGAAAAACAGATATCTTCATCACTTCTGCTTAGACCGAAGATTTAAAGGGTCTCATTAATCAACTGTTACTTGATGACTTTAACATTAAATACACAACCCGGGGTTTCCTTAATGTGTATATCTATTTTGACCCATTTTACGAAGTTGAAGTTCAGTTTTTAGACGTTCATTCTTGACATTTTTAAATTAAAGGGACCGTATACAGAATTTCAAGTGACCCTAATGCAAAGATTGCACAGCCCGACACCGGTATCCTTGAAACCCTTATCTGATCAATGATAGGGAAGATATTGTCATTTTTCTAGGTTTTAAATTGGTTTGTTCTAGTGATTTCTTTGTTTTTCTGCAGTAGAAATGCGCAAGTCATTTTTGTAGAGTATTCAATTAAAAACAAACCGTTTTTTAAAATTATAAAAATGAATATTTATTTCGTACTCAATCATCAAGGGCTTGTAAGGGTACCGTTGTGAATAGGGCATAGTCATCTTTACATTGAGGGCCGTTTAGGTGAAAAACGTACTTAACAGAAGGGATAATTGATCAATTGGGTAAAAATAATAAGGCATTGTTGAAAAGTGATTAATTTATTTAAACTGTGATTGATGTATGGATGAACTAGGCTTTGAACCCGACCAATGTAGACCTGGATCAGCTCTTCAACTTCCTGTCCATGGAGGTCCCGGAGTCAGTCAAGTCAGAATCTGTGAGAAGTGAGTCAACGGACACTTACACTAGGTAGAAATTATCATTATTATTATTTAATTATTATTAAATATTATTATTATTCTTGTTATTATCACTGATATCATTATAAAAAAATTTTTGTAAATATTAAAACAAAGTGAAACAAAAGTTACCAATAAACAAAATTGTTTAAAACTGGAAAGAAAAAAAAGAAGAAGGTTTCGAACAAAGAAAAGCTGAAAAGAGATATAAGAAAACGTTTTTTTAGTATTGATATTCAGAAAGATTGACCTAGAAATTTTCTGCATTCTGCACATGACAAAAACCAGAAATTTTTTTATTTACTTAACTATGAGTCCTAGTCTAATTAAAAACATACCTAAATCTATTACCAGGGATGGAGATGTTGACGCTGCTGAGAAGACTTCTATCCTGGATGAGATTGACCGGCAGATGGCAGATTTGCAGCAGGTCGAAATACACTATAATCAATTGACATTTCCTGTGTTTTTAGTTTTTTATTTATTTTGAAATATTCCTGTTAGATTGGAAAACGTGATATAGAACTTTAACATCTTATCGCACCAAAAGTGTGTTACAACTGTGTTAAAATCAAAACTTTTTTTTGGAAATACTTTTCTTCAAATAGTAAAGTTACATTTTGCTGAAAAATGATATACTTCTACAACTAGGAGATGGACCGCTACAGTCTTCAGGAGAGTATAAGTGGAGCAGACAACGAAGAGACAGAGAACAGTGACGGAGTTTCTGACTCCGTAACAGACCCTATCATCACTCCGCCTCCGCCAGAGGAGTTTGACCGAGAGATGTCATATTCACCACCACCCCTCCCTCCACCTGAACATCAACCACTGCTAAACCTACAAAAACCATCGTTGCCAGAGCCAGAAGGTCCACCACCCCCTCCACCGGTCCAGAATGGATATGCCTTCTCCACAGGCCACTATGATGAAGAAGCTCAGAAGGCCATGGACACCCTGAAACGCCAAAAATCCAAACCCAAGAATAAAGAACCTATTTATGAATCTATCAAACCACGCCCTGAGCCTGTTGGAGGAAGCGGAAACAGTCCTCCGAAATCCGAGTATGGAGTTTACAAGCATCTACCTCCTACACCTACAAATCTACCCCCTCCACCGGACAGTCAGTATGGATTCGGAGAAGAAAGGGTTCTGGTAGATCCATATCCTAAGAAGATTGAAAATAATTATGGACAAGTTGGAGAGAGAGAGGAGACATATGGGAGAAATGAAACTTACGGGAAGACAGAGACCTATGGGAGGACAGGGGAGAGAGTAGAGACCTATGGAAAGGTTGGAGAGACATGTCCTAGAACTAGAAGAAGATCCTCATCAAGCTCTCCTGGGCCACTCAAGCGTGTCAGTCAGCCCACTCAGGTAATGCACAAAGATTATTGTCATTTAAAAGGCTTATGACCCTATTTTTTTTAGTTTTTTAGAAGAAAATTAAAGGTTTTGTATTGTAATTTTCTTTATTTTATTGTTTTTGTAAGGGCAAGGGGGCTGCATTCGGCGAAAAAAGTTTTTTGTGAAGCAGTTTAATTTTTATTTGAAAACTGTGTAATATAGACTTGTTTTTTAAAATTTCAAATATTTGAAAAGTCACGTGATTAGAAAATCTTCGATTTCTTTGGGACCTTGAGAAATAAGTTTAAATCTATATTCAGGCAAACTTGGGAGTAGAGGACCCTGAGCGGGAGGCGAGGCGTCTTCAAAGAGTCCGTCGTGAATTGGAGAGAATTCAAGAGGTTGAAGAGGAGAGGGAGCATAAGAAAGAGGAGATCCATGATATCCTAGAGTTTGCAGAAAACTTCTTCAATGACCATGAGAAGTCTCCAAGTGGAACCATAGTAGGCACGATAAAGAGAAGCAAGACCATGGAGATCCTTGGTAAAAGTGAGATGGTTTCCTATTACAAAGGAAACTCTATCCCTACTTCGCACATTCACATGTTCGATCCTGAAAATGTGAGTTTGGCTTGTAACATCTTTAAGGAGTTGAATAAGTATGCTAAAGGTGATCATAAAGGAGATGCTGAAATCAATATAATCCAGCAGATTATAGAGCTAGGGATAGAACGGGAGGAACTCAGAGATGAGATATTTGTTCAGGTTATAAGACAGTTAACTAACAACCCTAGTGCTGACCAGGTGGAGCGGCTTTGGTTATTACTGTGCCTGGTTGTTGTAGCCTTTCCACCCAGCAAAGTGCTCTTTAAATACTTTGTTAGCTTCCTGCAATTAAATCTTGAGAGTGAGGGGAAAATCCTTCAATACGTTCAATGGTGTCTGGATAATTCGAGCAGAAATCAAGTTGAAACAAGGAAACTTCCACCATCCTCTGTTGAAATCGCTGCTATGAAAAGACTTGGGACTATTGTTTGTAGATTTTTTTTCCTGGATGGACGTACAAAAGCAATTGATGTTCATCCATGTGATACAGCACAAGACTCGGTAGCTAAGCTAGCAGAGAAGATTGGATTGCAAAACATTGATGGATGGGCACTTTATGAATCGGGACCAAACAGAGAAGCACATATAAATAGCCATCATTATCTTTATGACGTCATCAGCTCTTGGGAAATTGAGCAGCTTCAAGACAAGATAGGTCCAAATAAAAACAGTCCGGCTAAACCACAGGTCAAGAAGCTTGCTGCTGCTTCTAGTGATAACAGATTTATCTTCAAAAAGCGATTGTTTAAACACACCAGGGAAATTCCTTCTGATCTGGTGGAGGTTAGCTTGCTCTATGCACAAGCTGTTCACAGTGTGGTTAGATGTGATGATCTTCCAGTGTCAGAGAAGGTTGCTTTACAACTAGCTGGACTTCAGGCTCAGGTAGCTTTAGGTGATCCTGGTAGAGACAAGGTTGAACTCTACAATGAAGTTGACATGTTTCTTCCACAGAGGATTAAGACTGCTCGGTTTAGCACTGATGCTGAATGGGTTCCAATCCTTGCGGAAGCACATGCTCATTATGGGTCTGGTAAATCTGATATTGAATCCAAAGTCTGGTATCTAAGATGTGTTATGCAGTATCCATTATATGGTTCCACTATGTTTCCTGTAACTTACCGTGGATATTGGGCTCATGGTAACACACTGGTACTTGGCATTAATCCACTAGGTTTGATATTAATCAAGCCTAATCAAGATGGTTCTATTCTGTTCCAGTTTCCGTACCGAGATATTGAATCTATTCTACTTGATCCTAATGAAAATGTTGTAACAATCACTCTGAAAAAGGCTGAAACAGACAAGCAACGGGTATTTGTTCTTGAAACTACAAGCAAGACTGAAGTAGGTAGCCTGGTAGCCAGCTATCATCCTGCACTAGCCAACTGGATCAGATCTGCTGATGCTCCTTTAAGAAAGGTTAAGCAGATAACTAATGAAGACAGACAACGATTAAACAATCAGGTGGTAACATGTAGACGGTCATTGATTGAAAGCAACTTCCTAAAGAAACCTGTTGATGATGGAAAAGGATTTATAAAAAATACATTGAGAAAATTAAGTGCCAAAAAGTTGGAAAAACTACGTGCGGAAGCGCTGACAAATGAGCAAGGAGAGGTTTATAAAGGCTTCCCTCATACATTCTGGGCATTTTTCAAAAGCACTCTAACACAAACTCTATCAATCATGGCAGAGCAAGATGAACAAGCAGCTCTTCAAATATTTAATCTTATTCTTACGTATGCTGGGCTAATTGTGGCGAGTAAAGATGAAACAATAGCCAAAAATAAAGATGAAACTGTAGTTCGAAGTAAGGACGAAGATGACAGTCATGTAGTGTTAATCCAGACTGTATTGGATCGAGCCATGAGGAAGGATTGCCTGGTCAATGAAGTTTTCCTGCAGTTGATTAAACAGACAACTGATCATCCTGAACCTAACAGCAGGGTCAACCTTAGACACTGGTCACTCCTAGCACTAGCCTGCTCTGTTATTCTTCCAGTAGACAAGATGGTTCGGAAATATCTGTTGGCTCATTTAAAGAAGTGTTCTGCAGATTTTGTGACAGAAGAAGGAAAATATGCGCGGTTTGCAGAGAAATGTTTTCACAAAACACTTGGGACACGCAGACGACAGTGGCCTCCAAGCAAGCAGGAAATTCTGTGTACCATCAACCGTCGGCCAATCTATGCTCGTTTCCACTTTATGGACGGTCAGTTTCACACAGTGGAGTTTGATCCTTCCTCCACTGCAGCTGAAGTTTTAAAGTTGGTTATCCTCAAGATTGGTCTTCGCGAGGATGCTGGAGGATATGCTATCTACGAGGTGTTGGGGCAGCAGGAGCGCAGCCTGCTGGCTGATGAGAAGGTAGCGGATGTTATGTCCAAGTGGGATAAATACAGGGCTGCTGGAGGGACCTTGTCCCGTCAGAGCAGGCATCACATGTTCCTTTTCAAGAAACATATTTTCCTTGATGATTACATAGATCTCAGAGATCCTGTAGAGAAGGAACTACTCTATTATCAGGTAACATTTTAAGTTTGTCATTGAAAAAATAATTTAAGTTTGTTTGTCATTTGCTCAACAAATGTTCTAAAATTAAGGTTCTATGTGACCTGCGCTCTGATCGGTTTCCGGTCACAGATATGGAGGCAGTGATGCTCTGTGCACTCAGAGCACAAATTGAGCTTGGCAACTTCTCAGGTACTCAAATCAAATGTTTTGGAGGTTTTTAAAATAACATATCTCTCAACAAAACATGTTTAAAAAATAATTTTCCCACATTTTTACTTAGAGAAAACTCAAAGTAGGTCTAGGTTGTAGCTTAAATATTTTTAATCTCTCCGTTTTAAGGTGAAGGTGACTATAGGCAGGTTATGTCCCACTGTCTTCCCCCTAGACTACTTGTTCATCTTCAGAAGGATCATGTTTCAATGCATCATCAATCCCTTATAGGTACCTTATAGTTGCATTATTATTATTATTATTATTATTATTATTATTATTATTATTATTTTGTTATTGTTATTGTTATTGTTATTGTTATTGTTATTGTTATTGTTATCTTATTCCTATGTTTCTAGGTATGAGTGTTGAAGAGGCTAAGCAAGCATTCTTGAATTTAATCCAGTGTTGGCCCCTCCATAGAGCAACCTTGTTCGACGTGAACCAGACGTTCACCAGCAACTGGCCGAGGAACCTTTGGTTGGGAGTTGACCAGCGGGGCATCCACCTCCTCGAGGCCAAGACGAGGAACGTGTTGACCACCTACGAATTCGAGACCATCATGGACTACACGCCCAGCATCAACCATCTTCTCCTCATAACAGGGAACGACAAGAAGCAGAGCAAGGTGATCTTAAACACAAGCCAGGCATTCCAGATCTCAAACCTAGTTAGAGAATATTCAGAGACAATTTTAGAGGCCCAACGGTTAGCGGAAACCCAGTTAGTCCCTCAGAATTAGCGGACACTCAGATAGTCCCTCATAGTAAGCGGAAATCCAGTTCGTTTCTCAAAATTAGCGGAAACCCATATGGTTTCTCATAATTAACGGAAACCCACATGGTCCCTCATAATTTGCGGAAACCAGAGATATTTATCAGAATCAGTAAAAAAAAACCAGAATTAGCGGACGATTCAATTTTCTGATGAGTGTGACGAAGAAATCTGCAAAACAAAAATTGATGAAGAAAAAAGTCTAGTCTTAATATTCAGACCTGGTGTTTGCTTAGACAGTTGAAGATTTATAGGTTAAATGATTTAAATGCGCGGAGAATTCTTTTTTTTTTAATTTGACTGATAACTTTTAGCATTAGAAAAGAATTCCTGAATATTTAAAAATTAATAATAGCAATTCATTATTTTTATGTATCACTATTTCTACTTCTTTACTTATTTGTTTAACATTTATTTAGTGAAAGTGAAAAAAATGAGTTAAAATGTACTTAAACACCACTTTCTTTCATTAAAAAAGATATATTATACCTGTTAACCTTATGACCCAATGCAACTCCATGACGCAAATTTTGATCTCCGTCTTAAGCTTTTTATTATTTGTCTTACTTTTTTACTCTCAACATTTGCATAAAACAGTTTATAACATTTTAAAAAGTGTGTACACATTTTGTGATTCTTTATGAGAATGCCTTTAAGAGATACGTTTCCAAAACAACTCAATAACTGCCAATTAAAACCGAAAATGTTAGAACTACATTTAAGATTTGCTAAAACGTAGAAAAGGTTTCAGATTTTGTAGTTTCATTAGATTTTCAAATATTCAGATGTAAACACATTTTGAAGGAGAAATAATATCCAAAATAATTTTTATGCTACCCTTCCCTTCGTCAGAGGACAATTTGTTCTCTTTTTTTATTTTTTTATGTGAAACTTTTTATAACGTAAGGCACTGTTTCAATAGAAAAACAACAATTTATTGAATATTTTAGAGAGAAATTACTCTTTATATGATGTAAGCTTGTCGCCAGTGCCACTCTGCAAATAAAGGTTCCGGTCAAAGAAAAAAAGAGCTGAAAGGGTCTTTTAAAAATCAAATCTAGAAATATCCTATTTTTTATTCAGAATCTTCATCAAGACAGTAGGGGCACTGGCATAATAGTGTACTTAGTCGTAAAATAATTTAGTATTATTAGTAGTCTACATTCTACAGTCTACACTATTCAGTGGTCCCAAAAAAAAAAACGATGAACTAGGAAGACGACAAAATAAATAATGTTAAAAGTTTTGGAGAACAACTAATTCAATTTGACTCGGGTCATTTGTACACTGCGCAATTGCTGTATTTAAAGTTCTGAGGACTCGTAAAAATCATAACTTGATCTAGTCCCCGCAGTTTTATCGGTCCCACTGTTTAATAATAGATTAGCTGTTTGCAAACAAAATGACTGAAATGTGTCGAAAACAAGATGGCTTAAATGTGTCGAGAACAAGATGGCTGAAATGTGTCGAAATCAAGATGGCTGAAATGTCGCAAAATTAGTTAAGATCAGCATTTTGATGATTGCACTTAATGCAGAATGTGAATTTAAAGATTTTACGAAACAAATCTATTAGTTCTAATTGACCTGATTGAAAATAAGTTAAGTGTACATTTTCGCTTCTAACAATTTTTTACTCTTCTAAAAAAACATTTATTTTGACCCTATGTATTGTTAGAATTCAACGGAATTCTAAATGCCTGAAAAAGATGCAAAATTAATAATACTATGTAAGATTAGTAGAAACTTTCGTTTTATTATTATTATTATGATCCGAACCTTGGAATGTAAACCTGTAAAATTGCTTGAACAGGGCTAAAATTTTCTGTAATTCCCCCGTTTTAATTCACTTTTTCCTTTAAAATTCATCATTTTCTCTGCATAAAAATTGACCAGGGTAACAATTTATTTTCATTACCCCCTCCCCTGAAATATATTAACCTATTATTTTTAATCGCTCATCCATTAAATTGATATTGATATTAACTTATGTACATAAAATACATCACCATCCTGTTATAAAATATTAATATGCTTGACCCGAGAAACCTGTTTTGTACTTTGTACAATTTATGAAATAAAACTAGTCATTTGAAAAGAAAAACTAGGAGTTTACAGAGTCAATGTGGTTTGTCTAAAGAGTAAGTTTATAATGTAATTCGTTGTAAATTGTTGAAAGAGTAATTTAATAAATATGTACTGTGGTAATTGTGTAAGGAATAAGTTCAAAATTAATACTATTTTGTTAATTATTGAAAAAGTAAGTTCATAAATATATACTGTGGTAATTGTTTAAAGAGTAAGTTTCTGAATAAATACTGCGGTAAATTATGTAAAGAGTAAGTTTTAAAAAATACTATGGTTTGCGGTAAATTTTGTAAAGACTAAGGTTTTGAATAAATACTGCGGTAAATTGAGTAGAGTAAGTTTTTTTTTTAAACTGGTTTGTTTAAAGAGAAAGATCATATATAAATCTTTTTTAAATAGTTGAAAGAGTAAGTTTATAAATAAGCACGGTGTTAATTTTTGAAAAAGTAAATTCATAAATAAATACTGTTGTAGTAAAAGAGAAAGTTCATGTAATTAATACTCGGTTGTAAATTGTTTAAAGAGTAAGTTCATGTAAATAATACTCGGTTGTAAATTGTTTAAAGAGTAAGTTCATGTTAATAATACTCGGTTGTAAATTGTTTAAAGAGTAAGTTCATGTTAATAATACTCGGTTGTAAATTGTTTAAAGAATAAGTTCTTAAGTAATAACTAAAACTATGGTAAATATATTAAAGATTATGTTTCTAGATAAACTAGCTGGGGAAATAAGTCAACCATACTTGACTTTGAGTTTTGAAACCAAGCAAGAACAATGTGAGAACTGAACATACAGGGTGTCCCAAAAAACATGGGAATTCAGTGACGAATTCGATATCGTCTTTGTTATGAATTAGCATTGTAATATCTAATTTCAAAAGCCATAATATTATTATGTCTGGTAGAGTTTATTTTATGAAAAGGGTAAAAGACTGCAAAGATGTGTCAATAATGTCTCCGCAAGATAAACAGTGAATACGGACAAGGTTACTCTGTTTGTATACTGTAATTTTCTTGTAAGTGGACAGGACCAGATTGAACCCCACATCCCATTCACCACTGCTATGGTCGGCAGCTCCTGGCTCTTTAAGACTCACAACTGGTGTATTAAGAGATCCCTATTAAAGCAATCAAACTCCTCAAACTTTGTTCCTCAAAATTCTTTCCTCAAATTCTTTCCTCAAAATTCTTTCCTCAAAATTATTTCCTAAAATGATCATCCTAGGTTCTTCTCAGTAATCAATTGGATTTAAGCAAATGTTAATAATAATAATAGAAATAACCAGTTGGAGTGCTTAAAATAGCCTAAACCATTACCAAAAATTAAATAAAGCCAGTTTAAGTTTAAATATTAACAATTATGAGCCGATGACAGACCATATTTTCTTTTTTCCAAAAGGTCCAAACTGATGGTACTCTGAAGTGGCCGGAGCAGATCACCTGTACAAACAACACGTCGTTAGCTTTATTACATTGTATAGTTCAAAACCTATTAATATTCAAAATTCGGTGTTATGAAAAATTTAAATAATTAAAAATCAAAAATTACAATAAGATAAAATAAAAATTTAAAATAAATTTTAAAAAATAAATAAAAGTGCCTCTGTGATACAAAAATCTAACAAAACAAATTATAATGCGTTTTCAATGAATAAAAAAACTACATTTTCTCTATTCAAGACGACATTCTAAAGTTTCTTGGTCTCCCACCTCCCCTTCCAACTGGAATATCCATCGGAAATTTGCAGGAATTTCTTTTCCAGAAAAATGCTGACAGAAACTTTCCAGTATGAGTAAATCATTTTCATTCATGGATGAAAAATTTATCGTACATACATATCATATCAACAATATATAGGTTAGATTAAGGTACAAATGCAAGGAAAGTTATTTCAGAGGTGTACGCATTTTTTGTACTGCAGTGTACTGTCTTTGGGCGGAAAAGTAAGCACAAGACGGATTCGACATCCATTGCGACATCCTAACTCTAATCCATTTTCACAGAAATAATCAATGAAATATTCTGGTAGTAGGAAACTATTATGTGAATTATCAAAATTATCAAAATTGAATGCTTTAATCCTCCTCGGATACTAGACAATCACTGATGCATCTATTCTTGTTCACAAATTCCGCCCAGAGCCTGAAATTTAAAAGAGTTTCGTTGAACGAAACTTCCGAGTTTCCTTTTTGGGGTCTTATTATTTGTGTTGATTCTGATTTAAGAGATCGATAAAAATGGTAAGATATAAAGAATAAAATAAAATAATATTTCAAAACAAAAATATCGATATCTACAAAACTGGGTAAACCCATTTGTGAAACCCGGGTTCCAAAACTGGTTTTCATAACGATACCCTGTCTTAAGTTTTGGGCTCTGAGAGAACTGGTTTCGATATGTACGCAGAGTAAACACAACCGAAGTTAACAGCTTTCCTTGGGTTAGATATTCCCTGCACGACCATGTGAGCGAATTGTGATTATCAAGGACATACAAAGCGTCCCATATCATATTGGATTATCTCCAAGCTTTAACGCCAAAATAAGCAAATAATTTCTTGTGTCTCTTGGCATGACCGAATATTTTTCATTAAAAGTGATTTCTAAAACTTTATTTTCTGTCAATTCTAGAAAGTGAATGCTAATCAGGGGCGTACGAGGGGGGGGCCGCGCCCCCCCCCCCCTCTACGCGTGCCTCCCCTGAGAGGCTGAAGGGGGGCAGCCATGGGGGAGGCTCTTTTAATATTACATCTGCTTGCATTTCCCTTCCTCAGGCCAGGCACAGTGGCGTACCTAGGGGGGGGGTAGTAGTCCTCTTGCCCCCCTGGAAAATACAAAATTAAAAGGAAACTACGTTTAGAAAGTAACACCTGACAATGACAAAGACTAAGGATTTGTCTAAATTCACTGTTAATACAAGGAGAGAAAAGTTTTAGCCTTCTAAAGAGAATACTTCTTTACACAAGATGTACTATGACGGAGAGCAGACTTAACGATCTTGCACTTATAGCTTTACACCCTATAAGGCTGTCTGAGCTCTCTACTGAAAAAAATCATTGAAATGTTTGTGCAAGCAAATCCCAGAAAATTGTAGCTTAAAAGATTTGGTTAAAATGTAGATTGAGTAAATTCTATCTAAAAATTTCAGAAGAAATTTCGTTTATTCGTAAAAATATAATTTTTAATGATGCTGTGATTATTGATTTAGTTAGCTGTGATGGAGTTAAGTGATAAATTTATAAAGTCAAAAAGTTAGTTTTTCAAGCAAAGGAATAATTTTTAGACTCTAAGGTTAATAACACCCAAAAAAGTAGTCTTTTTGGTGTATTTTTATGGTGAACAAAATAAGTCCAGGTGGGAGAGGGGGGGTAAAAAATTTAAAAAAGGTATTAATATTTTTTCAAAAAAGGGGTTTTTAAGGGGGGGGGACCAATGTTGCCGGGGTGGGGGACCAAAAATTTTTTTTGGCGCGCTTACGCGCGCAAATTGTGCCCCCCCCCTAAACAAAAGCCCTCGTACGCCCCTGATGCTAATATTTTTTGACTTAACAGCTTGAAAACAAACTTTTCAACTATAAAAGCGCTATTGTTGAGTAATCATGTAATGAGAATTAGTCCGGAAACATTGAGAACTCATAGATTAAAAGGGTGATTGAACGTGAATCAGCTGGGCATTGCCATCCTTGCATGGAGAGTCACTTTAACCAGACACAATATCTCTCTAAAATCAAATATATTTAGCCCCTAATTTATTTTCCATTAGAATGTTGTAAGATTTTACAATCAATTTTGGGTGAATATGACGAATTACAGATTGAGGTTTATCTCTTGTAAGTTAAGAATAGCTGGTTGAAAGTCTACTATCATATCTGCACTCTCCAATTCTACCTGAAAAAATGATAATTAAAGAGTTATCTGGTGCCCCAGAATAAACAAGGAAAAATCTTAGGATTTGGATCGTGATTGTTGGAAATTACCATGGAACAATAAAAGTCATACTAAAGGTAAAAATAATAAGGTTAGGGAATTGGTTTACCTTAGAATCCCTTGGAGGTATAATGCTCATATGTCTCTCCTCTATGTCTAACCGTTCTTTTCTCTTGGTTTGTGGTAAGACATCATCTAGAATCTTTCGGAAAAAATGATATTTGGTTTCAGAAAGTTGATTTTTTCAGCTTAATTAAATGTGGAAATTTTAGAAATTGTGAAAAGTGTAAATTACCTTCATCTCATATTGTGTGAAGACATAATCAAGGAGCTTCCTAACTCCAATAATGATGACCAACATGATTGGGAACAAAATAGATACTGCTTGGAATTCTTGGATCAACCACAGTACCATAAAGCATAGAACTTGGATCAATGAGAAAAGATTAACTCTTTTCAATGGAAGCTTCTTGATAAAGGAGAAGTCTGGTTGGTACTTTTTTGGCATGAACATGATTAATATTCTATCAAACATTTGAATACCATTCAAAGAGTTTATTCCCATATACAAAAAGACTCCATAAAGAACAGGCATGGGTATGTATCCAAGGATTGGGGTCATGAATGCTGAGCATCCAACTAGAATAAACACAAACATTGCTGTTACCCGTTGTTCTCGAATCCCAAGGAATATCCTCTTTTCCCCGGGTGCTGAAGTTTCTGATTCTCGGTGTAAAGACTTGACATGGGTTATTGAGAGTATTGTGCTGGCTACATACCAGGGTATTCCAAGTACTGAATTCACAATAATAGTGAATGCCAAAACTAGGAGATCCAGATGATAACCTCCACCTTTTCTCAGTTTGTTTTCTTTTCGGTTTACTATCACAGCGGTTATTTGCTGATCCATAAATATGAGAATGGAACCTAGAAGAGCAGGAATTATTGCTGCCAATGCAGTCCACCAAGGGTTCCTTCCAAAAGGTGGAATTAACCAGTCCCTTCCAGACCAGGTTGGATTAAATGTACTTGGTACATTGAGTTTTGGAGTTTTAATTCCTAGACTAGCATCCACCAGTACCATGATTAAAATAGCAGATATCACAGCAAAGTCTGATATGTATGAACGAACAATTACTGGAAAGAACTTTGAATCTTTGAAGTTCTTTAGAAATGTTGCTATAAGATATGTGCCAAAGAATAGAATAACACTGAGAAAGAATGCATTAGGTTCATAGTTACATCCCTTAGTGGTGAAACCATAAACTATGTTTTCATCCAATGTTGTTGATGGGTCCATTTCGATCCAGCATTTTGATCCTGTAGAACTTGAATTGTAAAATTGAAGAGATTCTTCTATTTCGGTCTGGTTTAGCTTGTGAAAAATCACTCCAAGGGTAATGTTCCAATTGTCTGGTGTGTCCGCAGGTTTGCAATAACAGGGAGAAGCAGTGTATGGCTGAGATATAGCAATATTAGCCACATTTTCTAGGGACTTCTTGATGAATATAACTGCAATAAGACAAGCAAAGCATTCCTCTGTAAACCTTGTTATGTAGCATACAAAAGAGCTGGCATCTGTAACTACAAGGACTATCAAAATTATGGCTATCCAGACCCCAATCCACAATCGAAAAGAAAGATAATCCCATTCTTGCTTTTCACTAAAATCAAACACCAATGTCTCAAATACAAGATCTGGCCCAGTTAGTCCTAAGATGGTAAGTGGCTGACCAGCAAACAAGGCATAGAACACTCCAGATGTTAGGCCAGATACTAATGATTCTATGGAAGCCATACGATTTTTTGTAACCTGACCAAGTATACCACCAAAGGCAATAGTTGGTGCCAATGTAGCAAAGTACAAAAAAAAGATAACAGCAATACTTTGCGCAGAAAAAGCATCCTTGAAGTCAGATAAAAACCAGGGAGCTTTTCTTTTTATGTCATTCACAAGACCCCCACAAAACTTTCCGCTCAACACCAATCCTGCATTCTTTCTTAAATTATATTTTTCCTCTTCTTCATCAACCTCTTCATTTATGAATTTTGTTGGAGTTCCCCCAATAACATCTATGCTAAGTGCCCTAGACATCTTCCTTGACTCTTGTGATGGGACTGAGCTTGGTGGTTCTATTCTTGTATTCCTGTCCCATTCCCCAGGCGGAAGAACTGTAACAGAGTCAAGAAACTCATCAAGACCCATCACAAGATGTTCTTTAGTTCTTGCTCTGTAAGCAACCTCATGAAATACCTCGTCTGAAAAACTAGTTCCTATTGAACGGCCAACTTCCTTGTAAGAGTCTTTGCTGCTTGCATCCAAGGGTGGGCCAAGAAGAATAAAGATAAACCTGGTTGGCAATGCAACCTCAGTCAAATCTCCCAATTTCACAGCTTTTGCCATCCGAATGAAGACAGGTATGGGTCGAGTGAGAAAATCTACTTCTCCCACCAAAATATTTGCAGCCTCAGCTCCTTTAGGAATTTTCTTTAGGAAGTGGGTATTTGTTGCTTCCTCTGCTTCATGAATGCTGTGGTTGGAAGAATAATGAAAGTCTCCTGAACTTATCTTGTTTAGTTCTGAAAAACTTTTCACTGCATTCAAAAGAAATCCTGAGTCACTTCTGTTCTTCTTTATTCCTTCAAACTGATGCCTGTGTTTTTGAAGAATAATGGCCTTCAACCTGTCTTTCATTTCAAATGTTATATAATCATTGCTAATAAGGCTCTCTATGACAAGGTCTACAATATCCTCCAGATTATTTGCCTCCACCTCAAGGAATGATGATCCTGTATTCAAATACGTCCTCAGTTCCATCAGTGAATGGAGAGACAGTGAAGAAACATGGGGTTTACTCCATCTATTTGCTCCCTCTTCCACATCTTCTTCAAACTTTACCCAGCGTGCTGTTTCCTTCCACTCATCCATCTGTAACTCAACCAATTCTGAGAAGAGTTGATGAGGCTCATGTCCTGAAATGTCTATTTTAGCAAAGTTTCATCAAAGATTCATCTTTCTTACAGTCTGCTTTACTTTAAAAAGGCCGGGTTTGAATCTATAAAGCCTGGGTAGAATGTCCTGCAGCCCTCCCCCAAGAAAATGGCTTTAAGGGAAAGAGGCACACAACATGTTCATGCTTAGAGATAAATGTTGAATTTAGATAAATTTTAGACATTTTCTTGTATTTTATTTTTTATTCTTTCATTGGAGATGCTTAATTTAAGCTTTTGTTTATTCAAATAGTTATCAAGCATTTCACCTGAAAGTGTATTCCCAAGAAGTTCACTCACTACATCAATAGCTTTCTTGGCCTCCTACAACAACATTTAATGTTTTATTGTCTCTTTTTAGTTTTAGAATAGTTATAAGTGTTGAATCTAAACCCTGATACAAATTTGAGCATTTTAGGAGTGTCATATTTTTGGAATATTAAAAAGTTAGATTCGATGAGCAATTAAGAAAATTAAGTATATATAGACCCTATTTCCTATTAACAATTTTAGCTTTTAACTGATGTTACACTGAAAGTGGCCTAATTTTATCCATTCTTAACTTTTGTTGCATTTTTCTATTAGAATTGGCGCATTTTCAAAATATTCTGTGCCTTATTGGTTAATCAGTCTTGATGTTTACTAGTTAAAGTCAAACAAGGATAATTCAAATATAGAAAACCTAATTCTACCTGTATTGCAACATATTTAGCATTGCTTTTAACTTTCTTTCCCTTTCTTCTTCTTGTTTTCTCCCCTGGTCCCTGGTCCATCCAATCTATCTTGTTCTTAGGCTTATGCTGACGGACTTTCTGATACCTGTAATAAAAATAGTAATAACCCCAATATCTTGGAAACCTGAACCTACCTGTATATATATATATATATTATAATAACCCTAATTTACATGTCTTGTATATACAACTATGTTTGTTAATCTCTGAACAGACCTATCAGTCAATTACATTTTACCTGTATCATTAAACCCAAAATATAGGTAGTTTAATATGAACTCAGTTTGATTACGGTCAGAGTTAGTTCTCGGTAGAGAGTTCGAGAGGGAGTTGTATCTGGATTCGTACATACTCAAGAATACAGAGAGTTGTATCTGGATTGTTACATACTTAAGAATACAGAGAGTTGTATCTGGATTGTTACATACTTAAGATTACGGAGTGAGTTGTATCTGGATTGATACAACTATTGGAGTATGGAATTTGTTACAAAAGTAGTGACTGCGGTAAGACCAATGAACCCCAGTTAAATGCCACTGACTCCAAGGAAGAAAAGTAAAGCAAGTACCTGATTTAACAGATATAAAGAGAACCCCTAGAAAGAGTAACTATGTTAGTAGAAACAGTAACAGTGCAGTAACAAGTTAAGACCGCAACCAGCATTAGAATATACAGAGTACCAAAATGTACAAAGTACCAGAGTGTACAGAATACCAGAGTAACAGAGTGTACAGAGTATCAGAGTGTACAAAGTACCAGAGTACTAGAATGAACAGAGTACCAGAGTACATAGATTGGACACAAAGGTACATGGAAAAACTAAATGAATTAGTTATAGCTGGGAAAGCAACCATGAGGATAGCTGAGTAGATCTGAAGAAAGTATTAGTGAGTGAATACTGAATTTGGTCAGGAGTGCTTCCAAATACAATGGAGACCTGGAGAAAGTGTTCAAATGTTGCAAGAATTTGAAAACTCATTTGTTTAACCATAAATGGGAAACTGTCCCAGATGAAGAAGTGAAGACACTTTCTTGGCCAAGCGCTGCGACTTGGACAGGCTAGGGGGCCGAGCGCTGTGGCCACATATCTTACATTAAAGATCCATGTACAAAATTGATAGAGGGGAGGGGTCCAGAGGGACGGTGGGGGGAGTCCAAAAATTGCTCTCTAGGAAATGACCAACTTACTGGATACAAGCATACATTCCAGACAATAGGAGCCTGGTAGAATTCAAAAATGAACTGTATAATGCAGAGCTTAAGGAAACATAAGGAGCTGCAGCATGAAAACAATATCAAGGCAATGCTGGACCACCATCTGGTCAACTTGAGAAAGTACAACACTGACCCCAGATCTTATTCCAAGGATATGGCTGGGTTAAGGAGCATCAACACTTAGTTTTGAAACAGTGGGAAACACCACAAGATCTGATGAGATCATCGAGATACTAGTAATAGAGGGGACATCTGGAATTTTAGACTTCTTGTTATACAGCCACTGTAAACAATGACCCGATCAGAAATTCTACCTGGGGGGATCAAAATTCGTAGATCAGTGTTTTAAGACATTATTGTTTGAAGTGAAGCCTACAATATTCAAGCAAAGAAAACAAGCCCATATGATTTTTGTATAAAAATGAGACATAACAAATAGAGAAAAAAATAAAATCCTTCTCCTTAATAACATCTTGTTTCTTATCAAATTCTTTACATCTGAAATATACATTGTGCATTAACTCTTCGGAATATAGGTTTCTGACTTTTAGAATGAAAAGCAATTCTGAATTAATAATAGATCTAAATTAGGTTAGACTTAATTTAAAGTTATTGAAGAACTGAAAACTGTTAAAATATTTATTTTACATAAATGAACTTAACGTGAAACAAGTGATTTTTAAATATAAATAATCTATTGGTTTTGTAGGAGCACCAGTTTTGAAAGCTTTTGACACAATCCATTTTTCTTTACAATTTGTTTTATCTCCTTGGCTAAGTGCTTTAAGCGGAGAGTGCATCATTTCTGAGTATTTTGCTATCTTTGTTTCTAAAGCAATTTTTGTCAAAATGTTCACTGCGTATTAAACTATCCACTCTTTTTTTATGTTATGAAAAATTTCTGAACCCGAAACATCGTTGTTTACACAATTTTTGACACTACAATATCTCATTGTTGAAAATATTATAATTAACTGTCCACACAATACCGTACAAAAAGATGTACTTAGGATTAAACCCTCTGTACTCTCTGATACCAACTCAGTCATAAGGAAACATTTTTCGACTGTACAGTATAAACCTAGCCAGGCAAAATTAGGAGAGTTATGCCTGCCCCCTGGATAAGATGCTAAAAACAGGACAAATACACATGGAAGTAAATACAGTGCCAGGAATAATTGTGAGGAATAATTGTGTACAAGTCTGAAGATGAAAGAGGAAAGATGTCTGGTGATGTCAATGTGTTGCAAGCCAGAGATAGTTGTCTATTCTGCAAGAAAATCTGTCAGCAGAAGAGAGATTGCCAGTCCTACAAAGACTGGAAGGAGAAGAATCCAAACAGGAAGACAGAAAATATGAACAGGAAACCAGTTTCATGCTATAACTCTGGAGAAGGAGTTACTATGTGATTGCAGAAGTGAGAGGCAGAGCTCAGGGTGGAGAGATGAACAGCAAAAGGTGGAAAAATGACTGAAATGGCGAAGTTCATGACGGATATTAAAGAAGTGACCAATAAGATAGCATTTGATACTATTTTTTAGGTGAAGGGTTCCAACAACAGATGGCTGAAAACCCTGGAGATGATTGAAGTTAAATACATGAAAAATAATAATACTGATTTAAGAAACATTTCCGATAGTTTAAATGTCCGACCTATTAATCCTGAGCTACCAGGCAGCTGGCATGTTAAAAAAGAAAGTGATGAATTGGGAAGAGAATTTAATCCTAAGTTTGAACAATATGAATAAGATAGAAAAGGACGACCGTAAAATGATAATAAAGAAAGAGAGAAAAATCAAGGATCAAATGATGTTAGGAAAAGAGAGAAATATCCGTAGAGGGTATAGAGTTCGAGAGCAAGTTGTATCTGGATTGATTCATACTCAAGAATACAGATATAATTGTAACTGGATTCATATGTACTTAAGAATTCAGAGAGAGTTGTATCTGGATTGATACCTACTTAAGAATACAGAGAGTTATATCTGGATTGATACAGACTGAAATAACTATTGGAGTGAGGCATTTGTTACATACCTATCAATTATGGACATGCATAAAGGTAAAAGGCGTAAGAAAATGTTTTATATCCATAACAACTACTATCGCTCCAATTCTATCTGTATAATATTTGCATTTCTTGACAAATTTTAGAAAAATTTTAAAAAAATATTGTCATTTTACTTAACAAGAGGTTTCTTGGAAAAAAGGCTTTTCAAAAAGATAGCTTTTTACTGAATAAATTTTTTTTTAAAACCATAGTTTTTTTTACTGAACAAATGATTTTAATGAACGAACGATTTTACTGAATGAAGATTTTACCGAACAATCGTTAAGAGAGAAAACAAAAGAAATAGATGGAAATGAAAAATAATTTAGAGAAAGAAAAAAATAATATTTTAATGATTGAAAAAAATAAACGTAATGGGTCGTTCACGAACGATGAATTAACAAAATAAAAAAGTCGAACGTATCAAGCTCTACTCACTCTAGTCTTTTTAGATTAAAAATGGTAATGTTTTTTTCTGAGAAGAAAAAGCGGTGATAAAATTTCTGGAAATTACATCAACATTACGCAATGATCAGGCTTAGATTGAAAGGGTTCCATTGTTAATCGGACATTCATGCTGGATCATTTTAAATTGCATAAAGCAGTCCCATCAAGTACCATACCTTCTTTCTACATCTAGAACCTGAATTGGTTTAAGCCTGGATCCCGGATCATGTCTTCCTTCCATCTCCTTCACCTGGTCTTCACCTTCCTCTTCAACATCAGATACCTGAGCAATCTATTGTTAGAAGTTATAATCTAAAATCATCAAAACAATTCAATCCCATAAATGGCCGAATTTTCGTCCGTCAAAATCAAAATATGTAAAACATAAAAGTTAGAATATATGAAGTTTGGTCCGGTATTTGGTATGTTGTATAAACAAAAATGATGCAATAAAATCAGTTGCATAAATTTAAAACGCAATTATTCTTAAAGTTTGCTTTTTTTAACGTTAACTAAAGAAGAAGGGGCCGGTGCAGGCTTGTATTATCGCGCTATGGGTTAAACTTTTTAAAAGGGCATTAAAAGTAAATTTTTACAGAAGCAACATCGTATTGAAACAACTTTATAATCATACTTTACATTTCTGTTTTTCAAAATATTTTTTACTTGCAGAAAATTAAAGATAATTTTTAATGTACTTTGATGTTTCAAATGCCATCTTCTGATTATTTCCTCGCTAATTTGTTGGAAATAATAAATGTTACGTTATTAAAATATTACAAATCTTGTCAAACATCTTTTGTCCATTATTCTGGTATTTTAATATAAATATATATATATATCTCATAATTGTTAAGTTCAAAGTGTTCGTACACTGAAACACTATATAACGGAATACCGGGAAACTTAATATATAAAAAGTGGACAGGTTTATTTGACCTAGAACTAATTAACGTTACCAAGAATATTCAAAATAAAATTTATATTTTAGTAAAATTCAGGCAATTTTCTAAACCAGGCTGCAGCAAAATCTTAAATTAAATAAGGTAAAATAAGGGTAAAACTATTTCATCTAAAATGTCAAATCCTTTTTTGCACCAGCAAAAAATTAGCAAATAAGAAGCAACATTCATGAAAAAAATGATAAATAAAAACTACGTCAATTATTAATGATATTAAAAAAACCGCAATCATAAGAGAAGGTTTATTTTTCAATTTGTTTAAAACCTGCTGATATTGGTATAAAAAGATGCTCCTTGAGCCGCTGAATACTGGCTCCTGTCCCTTTCTTTATTTTTCTACAATTCAAAAAAACTAATTTGTCGATACTTGAGGCAAAGATCTTTCTAAAAAACCGTTTTTTTTCTTATAATATGCTTTATTTTCTAGAGGGTTTTACGACCTACAGGGTAAGACAAAAAAAGTGTGATTTGCGGCGCCGGGTGCAAAATTGTAACTTGTTTTGTGCAACTCTCCTGTTTGGTGTTTTTTCAATATTTTTTGAAAATTTGTAATTTTTTTGATACTTCAATGGCCCAAAAAAATTCTGTGAACCTTTTCTTTTCTCAAAATCAAAAATTCAGAAAAACAAAATGTGTAAATAAATTGTTTCTATATAATACTAAAATTTTTAAAAGATTGAATCACAGAATCTCAGAAAATTAGCAAAATTGTAATTAAAAAATTCGCAATTTTCAGTTTTGGTATAATTTTTACGGAAAAATTGTTTTTCAATGGTACTTAAGGTTTTACTAAACAGCATATATTTAATACTTAATAATATACTAAGAAGAAAGGAACTAGAGAATTTAAATAACGTTTCCTTAAAAATTAGAACTAAAAATTGCGAATTTTTTCATTACAATTTTGCGAATTTTCTGTGATTTTTTTATTCAATCTTTGAAAAATTTTAGGTTTCGATATAAATAATTTATTAACACATTTTTGCTTTTCTGAACTTTTGATTTTGAGAGAAAAAAAGGTTCACGGAATTTCTTTTAGGCCATTGGAGTACCAAAAAAATTACAATTTTTTCAAAAAAGTATTGAAAAACACCATACAGGATCGAGTGTTGCACAAAAAGGTACAATTTTGCACCAGGCACCGCAAATCACATGTTCTCATTCTTTGAACAAAGAGTTTCAATTTTTCTAAATTTTCTCCTGCACTTCTGCATGATTAAGTTTTGGTGACGCTTTTATCAATTGGAGTTTTTGCTAAAAATGAAAGGAGTATAGGCTTACGGCGAAAAAATATCGATGGTGATCGCTACTAATCCTTCTTTTATCTGTTGCGTCTATAAGGAGACAATTGTTAAAAGGACTCATACCGAAGACTTTCTGAATTTGTTTGAACGCCTCGTCCATACAAATTCAGAAAGTTGCAACATTCGACTTGGATCGTAAAAAAATCAATTTAATTCCAAATAAATCAATTTTATATTACAACCTATAATCATTGTTATTTTTTCGACGCATTTGTATAAAGTTGATATCTCATCATATTTTTATTTGTTCTATATACAATGCACTATACTAACATTAAAGCAGGAAGTAATTTCACTCTCTCAAAAATATACTTAAAGAGACTGTAAGCGTAAATTCAAGTGACAATCAATTAAAAAAATGTAATGTTAAGCTTACAGAAGGACTAATAGTTATTTTTTAGAATTGAACACTGAACACTTTTTCAGCTAGAAATACGAAGATATCTTTGACATTATTGATCAGAACAGTACCTTTCTCGATCGTGAATTTACCTTTTTAAATGAAGGATCACTTGAAATTACAAGGACGGTCATAAACAAACAAACAGTGTTTACCTGTTTAGAAAAAAACATGTTCTGTAGCGTGGAGCTCGTGGAGTTCGTGTTCAGATTTGAATTGATTTACGACTGGAGAAAAGAATATGTGTAACAGGTATTTATACTAAATACAAAACATGCAGAACAAGCATGCCGCAATGGTACAGTGGTAGTAAAACTTGTAGGGTAGCGGGGGGATATAAGAAAACAGATTTTTCTCTGTCTGTGATATATATGTCTTATTTTGATATGTCCGATTATGATAAGTCCTATCTATGTAATGTCCTAAAAATCTATGAAGTGTCCTTTACATCTATGAAGTGTCCTATGAATCTATGAAGTGTCCTATAAATATATGAAATGTCCGATATATTTATGAAATGTCTTATATATCTATGAAATGTCCTATTCATGAAATACCCCAATATTACATTTCTTAATATCTATAATCATACAAATGTTCTTCTTACAAATGTTCAATCTTTTAATTTGTTTTGTGAATCTGACACGCTATTTTAAATTGGAGATTCCCTAGATTAACCTAACTCTTCAAAACTGTCTCTCAATCTCAAAATAAAAATAAAAATATCAAATCAAAAAGATTTTGTTTGCAAAAAATACACGGATGATATTTTATTTTAAATAAGAATCAAATTGCCATTTTGCCATTATGGTATTTGAATTAGAAAATATTGCGCAATGACGTTTTTCAGATAATACAAGTCAAGGGTGGTTTTGTTGTATAAATACTATATTTACTTTGAATAGATTTAAATATGCAGAAAGATTATATTGTTAAAAGAAAATATTTGAGAAGGAAATATTTAACAATCTCCAAACATATTGGTTATAAGTATATTTCCACCCAATTTTTAAAATAGGAATTTAGATACATATTTATTTTTTACATTTTGAATTAATTGGTGGTAGATTGTAAGTATAGATTGTATACTAAATATTGTATGTGAAAAAGAAATAGGGTTAAAACAAGATATTATTATTGGTTATTTTTTTCTTTTTTATAGAATAGTATTCGTATTTTTTAATTATGACAAAGAAAAACTCGTTTGTATATTGACATTAATTTATACTTTAGCATATATTTATAATTCTGTTTTTTAGTTTAAATTAATTGTATTTTTTATCTATTTCGTCCCACTGTGCACAGTATAAGAAAAGTGTACTATGCGGCCACAAGCAACCTTTAATTCACTAAATTGCGTGATTTTGATTGAATTCAGACATTGAGGCAGTAATACTTGTTATTTTCTTGGTTTTCTACACTTCAGACCATTCTTGTTTTTGACAGATGCAAATTCAGGTTTGAAAATTCGTTACCAATTTCCCCGCACAATTAGGGGTGAAACGTTTTAATTTTTTTTTAAAAATGAACAGATCATTTTGTTAACGACGTAGGAAAAAACTATTGTTTTTTCAAAACATTGTATAAGGCTATATTTATGATCTTTTGTACACAAATTACTGCATAAGTTGTACAGTCTTCAGTATTTTGGAATATTTTTTATGCGCTTGTATTTTTTAATGTATTTTATTTGGATGCTTAGGGCAGGCAGTCAAATTCTTAATACAAATAAATTGAGTAACGTTTTTTTTCAAATCCAAACAAAAAATCTAAAAGAAAAGATCCGGAAATTATGAGCAACGTTTGTTTTTTCCGCATACAAAAACTCCACAAGGAAGGCTTAATTTTATGTTATTTTGAAACAGGGGAGTATAGTTTTAATTACAGCAGCTTAGCAGTTTTTAATACAAGTTTTATATGTTTTGGATCCATGTGAGTGTACATGAAGTAAGTGAATTTTTTTTGTCAACTGTAGAACCTCAACCTTTTCGAAATGGTTTTTAAACTTTTTATTTCACAAGCAAAAAAAAACTCATATATAAGTAAAAAAATTAATAAGATTACAAAAAAAGCCTTCATTCGAAATTTAAAAAGACGCAAAAGTAAATTATCTTCAAGATTCTATACTTAAAAATGTGTTTCCTTTTTAAGAAAGTTTTTATTCTAGATGACATCTGTGAGAAGTTATCTACAAACTTTAGATAAAATTATTAGAAGTTTAAACTGTTCAACTCCAGTGTTATATTTGCTGGGGGGGAGGAGGCGGATAACTTTTCTTCTTAATTTATAGTTAGAAGGAGCATGAGCGGGGGGGGACTTAGATGTTGCTTTTTGTACTAGTACTTACCAGAGGGTAAAGTGAGTAAGGAGTTTTGAGATTTTTCTCTAGTATAACTGTTTCATGTTTGTGGACGCGTTTGAAGAAAGATTTAAAAAGATAACTCCGTTAGTTTAAATATTGTTGAATTATAGACTAAAACGCGATTGAGTTTAACTACAGTGGTTTTATCAATACGATGAAGACCATCAAGCTTACAAACAGCCTGGATACACATAAACAAAGAAGTGAAAAGAAGCGGTAAATTAGGAAAACAATTCTTTATAATTACTTGTAAACTGGTAATTCGAAAAAAAATTGTAAAAGGGAGTGTTTGCGAAAATTGTTGCGCCTACAAGGAGAAAAAGATTAAACAAAACTCTCACTGAAGAACGTAGCGTCCATGCAAATCCACAAAGTTGCAGTGTTCCCCTCAGATTGAAAAGAATTTAATTCAATTTAAAATTAATTTAATTCAGATATTGCAACCTATAATCATCGAATTTAATTCGATGCATTCGTAAATAGTTGATATTCAAAAATATGTTTTGTTTGTTTCATATACAATAAACTGTAAACAATAATGATTTGGCCGCTTGGTGTCTCTGCACTTGATGCATTAGGTTCCGCGTGGGTGAGACACCTAGCAACACCTATGCGACCAAAAAAATCATCGTTTAAAGTAAATCATACGTAAAACAAATAAAAAAATATTATGAAATATCAACTATATATATTTGCATAGAATTAAACTTAATCATGATAGGCTATAATATCTAAATGGTTAGTTTTGAATTAAATTGAATTATTTACGATCTGAGTGACATATTGCAACTCAGCGAATTTTACAGACTCTACGGTCTTCGGTATGAGCCCTGTTTAACCATTTTTTCCATACAGACGCAACAGATAGAAGTTAGACTAGTATAGGGATCACCATCGAATTTAATTCGACGTTAGCCCATACCATCTTTCAGTTTTGTCACTCTTTAACAGTCAAAACTTGAACAAAAAACGTAATCTTCATTCTATTGATATAAATGCCAAACACTGAAGATAAAACCGAACGCATCTCGTCGGCAGGCATGGGTTTGAGTAAAGGTAGTTGTTTATGTAGGTGTTATTGGAAGGGGTATGGAGGTTGTAGAATGATAGGCCGGGTGCATGCACATAGATCCAGACTGCTGTAAAAAGTTGCCTCATTTTCAAGACCGGGTCAACTTTGAAGCCTACAACCGCCTGTAATTCATTTATAGTTTTTTAAACCTGAAACATGATCATTTTAGAACTTAAAAGAAAACACTTATTTTTAAAAGAAAACGGCAAAGTTCTTATAGATCTTCGCGTGCCACCTTGCAACCTTCAGATCACTTTGTGCGGCGGGGTGTATGTGCATCTTGTACACTGAACATGTTGAACAGGTCATACTATAAATACGCTACACTATAAAAACGCTACACTAAAAAAAACGCTACACTAAAAAAACGCTACATAGGCTATATTCGCTACAAGTTTATTGCCTGTTTCTGTGTGTGTATAAGTTTATAATTTATAGAGATATATATTCGCTACTATTCTAAAATAAAATATATATAAAATATATATAATTTATATATTGTTTTTTCTCTAAAACTGTGCAGGATGGAACTAAAACCATTATTATCAATGAGGTTAAGACAAAAACTACTGTTAAAAAAGTGTTTGTTAAACTGAAAGAAGGAAGCTATGTTTATAGAAAGAAAAGAGTTATTGGAAAGAAATCGGCTGGCAAAGTAAGGGCTCAATTTGTTTGTACTTCCTGTGAACGGATGAAAACATATACAAGTTGTTTCGCTACTGTACTGCTCCAAGAACAAGAGGAAGATGACGAATATCATCTGGAGCCTGATTCCTATCCTCATCCAGACAATCATGCATGTGTTTTATCTGGTATAGAAGATCAAGTTTCAAAGTTCCACGAACAAGAATTAGATGAGCTGAGAAATGGTCCTTGCCAGGCAATCCCTGCTCTTTATAAGAAAACCAGGTTTAAAATTATATGTAAACATATTTATTTTTTTACTTTTAGTATTTTAAGTGTGATACACATTACTTAGCTGAAAAAAAATGATTTGTTTTGTTATGGACAAATTTTGTTATTAAAATATTTCAAGTTTGTGTATATTACTGAAGCAACTTCGAAATTAATATTAACATTTTTAGATCTGTATTCACTCGAGAACTGTCTGTCCGGGAAGAGAAAATTTTGTTTTTGGATTCGATCAAACCGTATGAAGTTTTACAAACTCAAATATACGCCATCAGAAGACTTTTTATCCCGCCAGCTTTCGCTCTGATAATCGAGATCCATATAGTGCTCCACTAACTCTTCTATGGTTTGAAGAAACATTTTTTCAATCCGGACATTATCAGTCCATTACTCCAACTGATTCCAGCATTATAATGAAGCATTACAATAGGATGAATAACTCAACATATCGATTGTTTCAGTCTCAGGTTGCCAGGATGACACTGAGATCTGTCAACTCAGATGTTGAGCAAATTCAACAGCCTGAGATCCATAGTTCTGCAATTATGCAAGTAACTCCAACCTTGCTCCAGGAGAGATTAGATCAAAACAAACCATCGACCCAGTGCAGAACAAAAAGAATGTCCACAACAATTTTAGGCAATATGATGAAAAATATAATAATGCTTATAATTAACATTTGTTTCCAATGAATATTTCCTAAGTATTTCAATTTTTAGATAGTTCCAGCCCCAAAAGAACTAAACTGTCAGATACAACAGATATCACTCATCCATACCAGACCATCACCAGAATTTGTCATCTTTGTAATTTAAATTTTAAACGTAAGAGAGGCTGAAAGAGGTGTGTTTGTGGCCGTTATGTACATGTAAAATGTCATAAAAATAGAATTAATTGCCCATTCAAGAATGAATGACCGGAATAATATGTGGTACACTTATAATTTTTCCATTTATGACTATGATAATTTAAAAGTATATATCTCTTAAATTATAAACTTATGATTTATTTTCAATTTACGACTATGTGAATTTAAAAATCTTATACACAAACAGAAACAGGCAATAAACTTGTAGCGAATATAGCCTATGTAGCGTTTTTTTAGTGTAGCGTTTTTTTAGTATAGCGTTTTTTTAGTGTAGCGTTATTTTAGTGTAGCGTTTTTTTAGGGTAGCGTTTTATAGATACACCGTTGAACAATGGTAAAATAATGTACAGATTATGTACAATCTCAGATTGCATAGTAACAAATTACCATGTGGTACTTGTCTGTACACTGTAAATTGGTCACACTATATAAAGTGAATCAAAATCCAATTTATAATTAGCTAGAACAGGCTGCACAATGAAAATTAGAATACAAATACACACACTACATAATGCATAATGTTGTGCGGGTTGCACTGTTTAACCTACAGTTTATGTAGTATGTGCTAGAAATTTTTTAGAGATGAAACATTATTCTAAATTTGAAACTGTCATTTTCACTGATTTATACTTGAAGACTTTTGAATAAATGGATTTTTCAAATAAAGGTTTTACTTCTTTCATCGCTCTCTTTTCAAATCCAGATCATTAAACACCATTACTTGGAGTAGAAAAGACATAGTTTGGAAATGTTAGAAAAGAATATTTTTGGATCTACATATTTATATTTCCGGTTATAACAATTTGATTACATATTGTTTCACTTTTAATTTAGCATTTTTATATATTTACATTGTAAATTGCAGTGGGAATGTGAGAACTTTAAGGATTGATTTTTAAAATTTTTTAAAATTACATTTAATTATTTAATAATGATATTTCATCCATATGTGTTAGTCGTCTTATCAAGACATGATGCCAAGACTATAAAAGCTTTACAACTTTCCCAGACTTCCCCTTCTGAAGTTAAAAATCTTATCCCCCTTCCCCCCTTCTATATGCTAGCTGTCAGTTGTCACATATGTTAATACAGAAGAGTCTTTCAGGTGGACTTGATTTTTCAAGCTGTGAAAATGTTGTCTTTGGAATATATCTATTCAAAAGTAAAAGAACACCTCTGAACTTTTTTTACAATTAACAATTTTTAATAATTTTTTAGATTATTTAGAAAGAATTTTTTTCAAAGATTAAATTATCTATTTGTTTAGAACAAGAACAACAACAACAACAACAGCTTCTTCTTCTTCTTCTTCTCTTCTTCTCTTTTCTTTATTCTTTTTCTCTTCTTCTCTTCTTCTCTTCTTCTCTTTATTTTACTATTCTCATTAACTCGTCTAGTCTTCTAGTCTTCTAGTCTTCTAGTCTACTAGTCTTCTATTCTTCTATTCTTCTATTCTTCTAGTCTTCTATTCTTCTATTCTTCTAGTCTTCTAGTCTTCTATTCTTCTAGTCTTCTAGTCTTCTAGTCTTCTATTTTTCTATTCTTCTATTCTTCTATTCTTCTATTATTCTATTCTTCTAGTCTTCTAGTCTTCTATTCTTCTAGTCTTCTAGTCTTCTAATCTTCTAGTCTTCTTGTCTTCTAGTCTTCTAGTCTACTAGTCTTCTATTCTTCTATTCTTCTAGTCTTCTATTCTTCTATTCTTCTAGTCTTCTAGTCTTCTATTCTTCTAGTGTTCTAGTGTTCTAGTGTTCTAGTCTTCTAGTCTTCTATTCTTCTAATCTTCTAGTCTTCTAGTCTTCTAGTATTCTAGTCTTCTATTCTTCTATTCATCTAGTATTCTTGTCTTCTATTCTTCTATTCTTCGATTCTTATATTTTTCTATTCTTCTATTCTTCTATTCTTTTATTCTTCTATTCTTCTAGTCTTCTAGTCTTCTATTCTTCTAGTCTTCTAGTCTTCTAATCTTCTAGTCTACTAGTCTTCTATTCTTTTATTCTTCTATTCTTCTAGTCTTCTATTCTTCTATTCTTCTATTTTGACGTCATTTAAAAGTATAACTGCATAAATGAAATGTCATTAAAATGTTCATAGATATAATTTTGACTCCATTTAAATGTTAATTGACATTATTAGAAGGTCAGTAAGATGTTAAGTGACATTACTAGAAGGACATTGAGATGTTAAGTTATATTATTAGAAGGACATTGAGATGTTAAGTGACATTATTAGAAGGACATTGAGATGTTAAGTTATATTATTAGAAGGTCATTGAGATGTTAAGTTATATTATTAGAAGGTCATTGAGATGTTAAGTTACATTATTAGAAGGTCATTGAGATGTTAAGTGACATTATTAGAAGGTCATTGAGATGTTAAGTGACATTATTAGAAGGTCATTGAGATGTTAGGTATCGTAAATATGGATCTCATTTTGGGTATATAATTTAATATTGTCATTATGATGACTCAAAACATTCCAAATGACATGAAACAAACATCAAATTGACATAATTTCAGGATATTTGACATCAATCTAACGTATTAAAATGACATCCCATTGACATTAAAATGAAAACTTTTTTACATTAATTTGATGTCTTTTTGTGATGTTAAAATGACGTTACTATCACTCTAAATAGATGTCAATTTGAGGTTAATTTAATGTCAGTTTTCTTGCTTGGCTACCCTGATGTTCCAGACTGAAAAGAATATTGTGAATTGTAGAATAAAAATTTTACACAACTTTTACCTTTAGATTGAAAACAAAAATAGCAAAAACTAAATTTAAAAACCTTCATTTAACATGTTTATGCTATTCTTCGATTTTGATGAAAAAAGATAAAAAAAAAAACATAAAAAAGTGTTTATCAATCAAATATCATCCCAATCACACAAAGTTATTCAGAAGTATAAAACTTCAGTTTGTTGATTGCCTCTTCAATGTTCCTGAGAGAGAAACTTATAATTAAAGTTTATGTATTAATAATTTTAGGAATCCATGTATTCACATTTTATTGGTTATGTTTAAACTAGAATTTCATGTTTTATTCCTTATTTGAACATCAATAGATAATTAGATAATTAATAGATAGGAACAATCATCTATGTTTAAACATCAGAGGCCGAATTTAAAGAATTTGAGCGGCGGCTTAAATTTAAGTCGCGGTTCAAATATGGTTGGTTTAACTTAAAATTATATTCAATGTTTCAAGATTTCAACCAGCACTTAATTGAACAGGTTTTTGGCGGATTTGAGACGCCGCTCAAATTCATTAAATTCGGACACAGATATGTTTATATATCTATAATTATATCACCAGAAATTTAGACCAATCTGTACATGCAGTGTTACACTGTACAGGGTTCTTGAGAAAAATGTGTTAGAAATGAAGGGGAAGATTTGTTCTATATTCACAAAACCTCTCACTGCCATCTTGTCAGGTTTTCTTAATTAGTAATTTGGATTAATAGTAATTTTGCAAATGTTGTAGATTTTCTTTATCAAATTCTTTATATTTGTAAGATGTTTGTACGAGATTAGTCCAGGAATCTAGAGGAGAGAATTAAGGTGGAGATAAATGAACCCGGAGATTCTAGAACTAGAACCTGCAGACAGAGAATATATTTCTCCGTAAAATATAGAATCCCTCCGTCCTACTCCTACCCGTCCACAGTAATGCACCAGTCTACATAGTGAACATATAGGATACAGAATACACTGGATACAGGCTACACTAGACTACTAGACACACGATACACAGGACACGTTGAATACACATAGATTAAAAAATGATCGATCCAGTAGTCAGAACTTGTAAGTTGTGAATCTCTGGACCAAGGCGCGCATTGACTTTCATCTCATGTTGACCTGCAGATTAATCTAATCTCCGTGATGGTCAAACCTTTTTAATGGGTGATTAAGTATTGAGCCTCAGATTTAAAAGTGCCCACATTGGATATCGAGATCATGAGTTTAAGATTAACAATACTCTGCACTTAGGTTCAGACGTCAATGCTTTATCTGAACTTACTTACTTTATTTAAACTGACATTTTACAAAAGGAATTGAGTCTTTGCTACAAATTCTGATTTTCTAATCCCTATATCTTAACAACACAATGTTGTAGACCTTAGATATTTCAAACTGTTGATTTGGCTAGATCAAATGATCTACGTTTGAAATATCAAAGGTTTACATATTTAGGTTGCAAAGATATTGGCATTATCAAATTTGAGTTTGTGGCGGAGACAAAATTCCTTTACAAAGATTTTTCTTTAAAATAAGTTTATAAAAGCTTATTTTCCCACGTTATTAGGAGAAAAATCTAAAATTTGGATTGTTAAAGTGCAGATCGGTTTTAATTGGTTAAAAAACGATGTAGGTCATTATAATTCAGTCAGCCAACTACACTAGAAGGGATGGTACGGTAAAGACAAGACTACTGTCCTTTTACTGGTTCGGATCATGCAAATTTTTAACTCATGTCAGTTTTTGATAAAAGGCATGAGACAACTTAAGGTCGTCTTTAGTTTTTCAATATTAATAATCGACAAAAAGGGTAAAAAAAAACCGTGTGCAAAAAAACTTCCTTAAATGAGGTCTAGCTTCTTTTATTTTTAAAATTTTAAAATTTAAAATTTTTAAATTTTTAAATTTTTAAATTTTAAATTTTTAACTGCAGATTGTGTTAAAAATATAAAAATAAAATATGCTGCGCAGAGCAAAGATAATAAATGTTAATTCTCTTGTACGTTTTATTTTGCTTACAGAAGTAGATGTTTTACTCCTTTTAAATCTAACCTTTAAACGATTTAGAAAAACACGTGTTCATACTTCTAGAAAATTCTGAAAGTATATAAAAGTGTTGTTATTTTGTAAAAGTCTAAATTACTAAAGAAAACATATTAAAATGCAGGGAGCGGGAAAACTTGATAAATAACGGTGAAAATTTGCATAGAAATGAGAATTTTAATTTCACAACTTGAGAAAATGCTAAAATAAATGGATTTTATATCCTTTGTATCCATTCTTTGTTGTGCTTGGCGTAGAAATTTTGTATTCTTTATCCGTATTTTTTGT